GAGGCACCTATTCACTGGAGTTTGTTGCTAGAGGTTTCTCAGCGAGCAAACTCAGTGGAGGGAGAAGTCTTTGTTGTTCTAGAGAATTCAGTGCCTCTAAATTCTGGAGTTGAAGACAGAAATGTAAAAGGGAAGGAAGTATTAAGACACTGAGAAGACACCAAGCGAAGTGGTGTGGTTGGTACAGCAGAAGGAAGGGATGCCAACCAAAGGGACCTGGACAAGCTTGAGAAGTGGGCCCACGTGAACCTAATGAGGTTCAACAAGTCTAAACGCAGGGTGCTGCACCTGGGCCGGGGCAATCTCAGTCATGAGGACTGAGAGAGCTTCCCCCAGAGAGCTGGGGCTGTTCGGCCTGGAGAAGAGAAGGCCTTGGGGTGACCTCATTGCAGCTTTTGGATACTTAAAGGGGGCTTATAAAAAAGGTGGAGAGCAACTTTTTGCTTGGGCAGATAATGACAGGAGAAAGGGGGATAGATTTAAACTAAAAGAGGGGAGATTTAGATGAGATGTTAGGAGGAAAATCTTCAGTCAGAGGGTGGTGAGGCCCTAGAACAGGTTGCCCAGAGAGGCTGTGGATGCCCCATCCCTGGAGGTGTTCAAGGCCAGGTTAGATGAGGCCCTGAGCAACCTGGTCTAGTGGGTGGCGTCCCTGCCTATGGCAGGGGGTTGGAACTGGGTGATCTTTGGGGTCCCTTCCAACTTAGGCAATTCTTTAATTCTGTGATGAGACAGGGCTGAGTAAGGCAGGCTGCTGCACTCAGCTGCATTGTAGTTTGCACACTGGCCAGCTGCAAATCCAGGAGCAAGCTGCAGGGATCACATCTGAAAGGCAGAGCATCCTCCCACTGAAACCAGGCTCGGCCAGGCTTCTGTGTGTCTGTCTCCATCGTGGCAGTCAGCAATGGGAGTGCTCTTGTCACTGTGTCATGGCACTCAGAACATTACTGTATCCTCATGGGACTTCTATCCCCAGTGAATGCAGTAGATGTAGACAGCACACACACAGCTTTGCTGTGTAGGGAAGTAACTGTGGAGTGAGGTGGGGCGTGATTCCTGCCTGTGCTCTTTCGTACAATTTTGCTTTCAAAGCAAAGTGAGCTATTTCACACTTCTCCTCTGAGAGAGGAGTTTCTCAGATGCCTTCTCCCTAGCATCTAGTGTGCTGTATGTACATCTTTGTCTCATGGTGATTTCTTTCTGCAGAGAAAACAGGACAATTTTAACCCACTTCACTGTCAACAGAAATGTTAAAACCACTTTGAGAGGAGTGTATGCATGCAAAACTTTCTGACCACAGATGTGTCATTGCTCATGGCAAATATTTTGTTCCTTTCACCGTATGTGGATAAATCACAAAAAGCAGTAGTGAAATCTGTAGGGCATACTGCATGTCTGGAAGCTGGGCTGATCCTTTCTTTTGGGGAGATAAAATCTTTGGCTGGGATTTTCCCGCTTACGTGCAAATATTGGTGTTTTTCTAATAAATCTTTTTCTTTCCTTACCAAAACAGATACTTCCTGAGCCTGAAGCACAAGCTAATAGCTGTATTACAAGGAAAGTTTAGGAAGCAGAGGACAGATGCCCAGAGCTGGCAGACACCTAAATTAAAGCCTGACTTCTTTCCCAGGTGAGTAAGGCTGCAGGAGATAGGACATTTTGCTCATTTAAGTACGAAATATCAAATCTGCTGAAACACAGTGTCCAGCCTCTTAGTGAGTACATGCAAATGAGTGAGTAAGAAAGTTACCCGTGAGTATAAACCGTATGAATGTCTGCAAGACAGGTGTCTCAGCAAGAAATCTGGAAGCCTCAAACTGTGTTTTGTGAAAGGCCTCTCAAATGAAATAACTGGTCTGCAAAACTGTATGTAAGCAGGAGTTGTACTGACCTCTGTAGATACATCTGGGTGGTAATATTAGGAAAGGAAAGCAATTATTCAATTAAGTCAAATACTGAAATAAGAGGAGATGGGTGGGAGCTGTCACCCCCATGTCCGGGTGGAAGAGGCGTGAGGCGCTGGGCGAGGTGGGCCCAAAATGTTGGGCAATCCACAGCAGGATTCATCCCAGCTTACCAGGTGCTTCCTTCTTGAATTCCAGGGATTTGGGCAAAGTCCCTCAACAGAGCAGCTTCACCTGCCCATCCTGCAACCCACTGTGCTTTCAGTGCTGGTTTAAGCCCTTCCCCTTTCACTATCCAAATGCAGAGCGAAGTGCAAGTGGGGTTAAAAAACACTGTGCAACAGGTCTCCCTTCCCCACTCTCATTCTTGCTAAATAAACTAACGATTTTTGGCAAAGAACTGTACATGTTAGGAATAAATCCTCAGTTCTTAAGGTTGAATTAATTCCAAACAAATCCTGGATTTTGCGCTCTTTTTCCCTTGGATAAATCATTAGCAGTATTCTGGAAAGCCTGTGATGGCTTTAGATTGCAGGTTTTCAGATTTTTTTCCTTTTATTTCTTAGCCATGTGTGTCTTTGATATTCTGCTGGTGCAAATGGAAGTCTCTGCAGATTTCTTACCAGATACCCAGTGTCATGATTTGGATATAAAGCTCTACAGATGAATAAGCTGTTACAGCTACCCACCATAGCAAAGGGAAAGGATCAGAGCATACCTGATTTGAGTTGAAAAGAGATTGTTCAGAGGCCTGGAAGATCCAGTTGAGACCTCTAGAATGGAAAATGTTGCCTTTGCAGAACTGTAATTTCCCCCCAGAAATCTTGAATGGAAGTTGTCACCTTACCCTGGTAGTCAGTGCTTCTGCAGAGCTGGCAGGGGCACCGTGAATCATGTGCAGAGGCAGGGAACTCAGACAGGCAGTGGCTGGCTCTGTACTGGCTGTGGGGAGACAACAGCTCTTGCATTCCTCTTTGTTTTAGGGGGGAAAAATCAATACAGAAACTTATAGGACTGGGCTTGGGAGGAGAAGAAATGCCACAGGCACTTGTCCATACAGTTTTAACTATTCTTAATTTGGTCAAAATCTCTTCTGTGCAGCGTGTTATTGCTGAGGGTGATAGCCAAGAAGCCAAAAACTTCTGCATTCTATATTAATCTGTGTTGTCCACAGCACTTTAAGTGAAATTACTGTTCAAGTTACTTTGTGATCTGTGGGACCAAGAACAACAAATGAATAGGAGCAGGCATAGCAGGAAATGGGGGGGGGGGGGGGGGAAGCTTTTCAACAGAGGAAACAAAACTACAGGTCAGTTTTTAGTCTCAGTTACAGCAGTGTAAGCCCAAAGTAATGTCAGTAAAACTAATAGAGATGCCTCAGGCTATAGAGATGCAATTGAAATTGGTTTCCTCGTATACTTCGGCATTTTCTACATTGTGAGGTGCTGAAAATCTCTCTGTTCCTGTGTTCAGTCATTATCAGTTAAAGCGAAGGACCTCTTGGCATAGCCCACTGATTTTCTTCTATTTCTGAGCACTATTTTCTTCTATTATGCTACTTACTCTTCTTCTAAAAGGACTCTGAAATTTCAATAGTAAAACCTTTTTGTCCATTAAGTGCAGTTTGTTAAGGGGTAAGTTATGAACACGAAGGTGATAAGGATTCAGTATCTGCTAGCAGGGAAGCTAGCCAGATTTTCTGAATTTACTGGGGTAGTCAAGGGAAGTGGAAAATGTTATGGAGAGAGACTTCTTGCTGCAGTATCCTGGTTGGTTTTATTTTCATGCACTTGGACATAACAAGGACATGTACCCTCAGAAGCATGACTTACATGCCGAACATCAAAAAGATGCTTGCGCTTATGTTTATGTCAGGTTCTTGTTTCTCTGTTCAACAACTGGATTTCTTTGGTGCAATCTCACACATAGATGTATCAGCTTCAGAATATTCCACTTCTATACACTGGGGTCTCCCAATACCAAGCTGGCAGCTCGGGGAAGAAATCAACACACGCTTTGTGCATAATGCTTCTCACAAGCGTACAGAGAAAAGACAGCTGTAAGGCTGGGATTAATAGCCCTGCCTAGAAGATATATTGCAAGGATCCAGCACAATGTGAGTATGAAAACTAATTGCTTTGGTTGTCATCATCCTCATCCCTTGGGAAAAGGGGCTGTTGGCTCCCGGAGTAGCACCAGGGGCAGCGGTAGCAGCTGCCTCTCTCAGGCTGGGAGCACGTTGTCATTAGGTTTATCTGGGAACCTGTGAGCACTGATAAGAAGTAACTGACTGATGTGTGAGGCAACTGCCAGTGGATTATTTTTTATTGCCTTGTTTGGTTGGGAAGTGGTAGTGCTTAGCTTCCTCTGAGGTCTGAAAGGTTGCTTTCCCCTGGGGTGCAATGGTGCAGGCTGCTGCTCTGGGGGTCAGAGCTACTCTTATCTTACTCCCCAGCAAAGTGGGGGTTGTTTCTTCAGATTCATGTGTTTGCTGCTACGCTGGGCTCAGGCTTTTTATTGCATACTCTGGTTTGGTTTGTCTCTGTTCATGAAACTAGTTTTGTAGTCAAGCAGGAAGGAATAAATACGTGAAAAGTCTGCAAGGAGAGGAGCTGTTGAGGAACTCTGGAAATGGGACTAGTCTGTAAATCTGAGCTTCCTGGTACTTGGGGTCATTGCAATATTAGTTAGAAGGGCAAAGTGGTGGAGGCAGGGTTGTACAAAAAGGATTGCACTTTGTGCAGCAAGTCAGCCATTGGAAGAACGGCACAGAGGTCTTGCTGTGCCCATGTTAACCTAAAACTGCCTTTGGATTAGAGTTACAATCACATTTTTAAAATAACATGCAAATCTAAAACTGGCATGCATGTGTGTGTGTGAATGTAAGCAATGTGATCGGGGCAGGAGAGGCAACAAAATTTAGTCGGCAGCCTTTTGCCATAACTCCAAATCTGTTTCTTTGCAACCCAAGTCTGTAGCTACTGAAGGCTCGTGGGGGTTACAGGTGTGATGTGGACAGGGAGGGTGAAAAATGCTACCATGTACAAGACAACTCTTCCTGCCACCCCAAATAAAGAGGAATCAAATCCAAAGAGATATGCATAACCTGTTTATAGGAAAAAAATCCGTTTCTGTTTTCCAGAAATGCCAACATAAAACATTATGGATGGGAAGGAAATAAGTTAGGATCAGCCTCATGGGAATGGAGTTCATTCTTTTTTTTTTTTTGTGTGTGAAATATTTTCAGATTTGGATATTTAAATAATTTAGATAAGTAGTTCAGGATCCTGTTTTCATGAAAGCATCTCCAAATGTAGCATGTGGATCAAGATTTTTTCTGGCTGTTCTTTCACTCTTTTGTAACGGGCTTTCCAAGGACTCCTTTAAAACAAAATAATAACAGACCCCATCCAGACAGCAGTTCAGGTTTGCCCAGCAAAGGGTGATTTGAAGGATGTCTCGTAGCTTTGGCTGATAAGCCATGTGCATGATGCCATTCTTCACCAAAAAGTACAGGAAGAATGTCACATGGTAAGGTGTGAAACAGACCAAAAACGTGATGCAGTTTGCCACTACTATCTTCTCTGCTCTGGTGGCATACGTGTGGGGGTTGTCTGGTTTCCTGCGCTTTCTCAGACACCTGACGATCTGAACGGTGCAGAAGGCCATGGCTGTCATGCTGCCAAAGAAGGTGGTCTGCAGGGCACTGAACAGGGCTGTGTTTTCCCATGTGCTTTTGGAGAAGTTGTGGAAGCAGGATGAGATGTTGTGGCCCTTTTCATGCAGTTGGAAAGTAGAGACGGTTCCAGCTGAGACCCCCAGGCAGATGACAGCACAGACCACAGCAGCTTTCTTGGTGGATCGCAGGGTGGGAGCTATGAAAGGGTGCCCTGATAGCAATGTAGCGATCTATGCAGATGCAGAGGGAGATGAGGATGCTGCCATACATGTTTACAAAGTAAAGACTCTCCAAGATGGAGCAAAACACAGACCCCAGTTTCCACTTGTTTGGATGGTGATAGGAAATGATTTTAAATGGAAGAGTGAACAGCAGCAAAGTATCCAGGAAGATGAGGGCTATCATGTAGACTGTAGCTTCTGACAGCTTCTTAGCCTTAAAAAACAGGAATGACAATGCCATCACGTTGAACAGCAATCCCAGGCTAAATGTGGGAGTGTACATGATCAGCTGGAACAGTTCTACTTCGGGGCTGATGTTGTTGGTACTGTTGTAATCCATATCTCCAGGCATACTGCAAGAGAAGAAAGGCACCTTCACCACGAGGAAGAATGAAGATCACATTTAAGACCTGGTACAAAGGCCAGTGAGGTCTGTAGGTGTCCACAGACCTGGAGATGCTTTTTCATCTCGGGCTGGTGCGTGCTGAATTGCAGCTCCCAGTAACGTGGAGTTACTGTGCCCAAGGGATCTTAGAGCAAGGGTGTAGCTCAAGGAGAAGCAAGGCTTCTTGGGGTCCAAGCCCTGCTTGCGCTACCACCCACTACCCTGAACTAGGGAAGGCAGAGTATGGAAGTGTCTGCACCATCCCCATGGAACGGTGAGATCCCTGTGCAAACACAGGGCACCAGCCCCTCCTTTCAGGATTACATGGACTAAAGAAATGGAGGCAATTAGCCACATCAGGTTTCTGGGATCAAGCTATCACAAGAGACCCTGGGGAGCCGAGAGCACAAGGGTTCCTCGTATTTATTAATGTGAAGAACTCAAACAGTTATAGCTAACCTGCAGAGGTTAAGTCTTCAGAAGAAAAATGAGCCTTAAGAACCCAAGCATTTGCTTAAGTCAGCCAGACTTACCATAGCTGATAAACTGCTGTCTGATGAAATAGAGGTGGCAGCAAAAGTGCAGAGATTTTCCCTCCTCCACAAAGAGGGTACTAAAAATGTTGAGGTAGACACAACTGAGCAGGGGTCACAAAGTAATTTTCTCTTTTAGAGGAAGGGTGCTGGTTTGATCAGATTCTGCTGATAAGGACCACGAAGGCTCTCATTGGTTTCTGCAGTCCTGGTCTCAGCTAGAACCACTTACAAATGCAAATACAAGGGAATACCTGGTTCTTTGTTAGCCATTTCTCTCACAGCAAGTGTAACCTGTAAATAAATCCTTTTAAAGATCTTTCTGCTAGTGCTCAGAAATCACCTTCATCTGGTGATCCATAGCTGTTATTACTCTGACCTGGTGCCTTTCCTACAGGAGTTACTGATTTTGATGTGTGTTTTTTTTTTTATTTCAGATTAGGAAACCTGTCATCAGCTGTGCAGTAAAAGCTCCTGTTCTGCAGATCAAGTCACTTCCTTGATATTTCAGAGGTAAGCTCTCCTGTGCTCTGCTTTGGGAGAAAGATCAGCATAAGGAAAATGTAGTTCTTGGATAAAAACTAGCAATTAGAAAGCAAGAGGAGGTTGGCAGTTTGCTCCTTGAGGACACACCGATGCCAAGTATATGATTCTGTAAGCTTGCTAGTTTAGGCTACAGAAATGAGAAAACCAGTGCCAGAAACCCAGCCTGACGAGGAGAACAGGCTGCTGGGGTCAGACGCAGGGGTCCTGCAGGCTGTGTGTTGCTGCAGCAGGCACAGGGTTTATTCAGGCTGCCTGCCCTGGGTGTGCAGCCCCAGCTGGCAGTGCTGCTGGCTGCGTAAAGCACTCCGTGGCCTCCTTCATGACAGGGCACCACTGCCCGTAAAGCACGGGGGGACATGGCTCAGAGGGGCAGCAGCCCCATCAGTTGCGCCTGCTCTGCCGCCGTCTGTAAGGGACTGAGGTAAGTTTGAGGGGAAATGAAGAAAATCCCTTGGCCAAATAAAAAGGTAGCAGGAAAGCCTGCGCCTGGGGGCATCTGAGTGTGCTGGAAGGGAGAAGCATCCCCAGCGATGTTCAGCCCTCCTGCAGCCCTGAGGCTTGGGGTTTCACTGGGAGCTGTGCTGGGTCACCAAGCCTTCAGATTCAGGTGGGGTCCCTTTATTGCCCCTGTAGGGGATTTCATTAGTCCTTTTTTTCCTTCATTCCTTTTATTTCAGCTTCCTACCAAGGTTTTTACTTAAGAAAAATTTAGTTAGGATAAAAAGGCATTTCATAGTCTGTCATGTTGGTTTCTAAACAAAAGAAGAAAATGGATAGCTCTGTTCATTCTTAAAAAAAAAAAAAAAAAAAGTCAATATGCTATAAGGAAACCAAATTATGTAAAATATTTAATTTCCAGATCTTGTAGCAAGAAGAAGAAAAGAAAGCTTATGAGGTAAGGTTTCCCTACAGCGAAATATTATCTCTGGTCATCTTACCTTTGGGCTTTCTCTAGCACTGTAGCACAGTTCCGGGACTTTTTCTCCTTCTTGGCTTGTAGTGTGCTTGAGTCTCCTGTGTTCTTTGAAGGCTGCGGAGTGAGCTGCATGCAAAGTGAAATTCAGTGCTGATGATAGAAAGCGTGACGAGCTGCTGCTTTTCATGTCATCACGCTTCCATTACAGCAATGGTTTCCCCACGCTGACTGCACGGATGTGCTGTGTACGTAGTGTGTCACACACAGCTCATTTAAGGATGTAAACAGATTGCTTTGCGGGGCTTGTGTCTCCGTGAGTCACCCGTTCAGAACAGTTTCTGGTAACAGAGAAAGGAATTCTGGCCCTGCAGACCTTTGTGATTCTTTTTGTACAAACAGGATTTTATGTGTTATGTGTAACATCTGTGAGTAGTGTTAGCTGTTAAAATGTTTGTGCTTTAAGCTGAGCCCTGAGCTATCGCTGTCAATTTCTCTTACTTTTCAGGATACTGGAATGGAAAAAGAGATTGTCAATTTCAGTGGTGATTTGATATGTTCATTTTCAATTGGTGTTTAAGAAGAAGAAGAAGAAAAAAACCCAAACATTTACTCTTAAATCTGGTTATACTGATAGCAGGGAATGTACCTACAGAGAGTGTCAGGTGCTGCTTTTGTTCAGAGGCAACAGGAAAAAGATTTATTTTTTTTTTTGCCTGTTGTATGTATTTTTGCAATCTTACCATAGATGGAAAGAAGGGCTAAAGGGGTAATTTTGCTTGGTCTTCTGCCTATCCCTTAAATATCAAAACTAAGGATTGTCTTGGCTGAATAAAAACTGTGCATCTTCTGGGGAAGAGGGGAAAAAAATAGTGCTTGGGGTTTCTGCGTGGTATTTTAGTTGATGTGACTCAAGGTTTAAAAAAAAAAAAAAAGAGGAGGAGGGAGGGGAGGGGGGCGGTGGTAAAAAATAACTTATCTTGTCCTCAACTGGGTTTCACTTCTATTAATCCCACTGTGGTCTTGTAACGCTGCATTTTGAATATTTAAAAAGAACCCACAGGCAGACACCACGACCCCAAGGAGGCATCAGGGGCCTGAGGCAGCCTTGCTGGGAGCATGGGACGGGAGCCCGGCTGTCAAAGACCAGGTCGTGCTCCTGTCCTTGTCCTGTGTGTGCAGATGCCAGGCCACCAGTGCTTGTAGAGTGTGTTCTCTTCGCCCCCGTCGCATGGATTTCCCCTCATGTACTTGGGGTTTTCTGTTCTCTCTCATATTCCCTTTGATACATATATTCTCATGCTACCTAAGTGCTGCTTGCCTCGCCAGAGGCTGCCCAGAAGCACATATGCTTGGCCAAAAGCCTTGTGTGGCTGCATGTTTGGAGAAAGATCCTTTGGAAAGGGGAGGATGAGGAAGCAGCAATGCCACAGTTGTTCTTGGCACACCACAATCCAGCCAGTATCAAGGGCCAGGATGCTTTTTTTTTTTCTTCTTTTTTTCTTTTTTACCTCCTCTCTTCTCTCCAGCGAACATCCTGGGAAGCTTTCAAGGGAGGATTCTGAGACAGAGTGGCCGGGACAGCATGCAGGTGGTACCGATGCACATGGACGAGGTATGAAGGCTCCTCTCCCTTTCTCCCTTCAAAACTGAGAGTAGAAAAAAGTGACGCTGAGGGTTGGTGGTAAGGGGGAAACGAAATAGTGTGAGTAATGTACAGAAAGGTTGGGATTGTCCACGAAGGACTCTCAGGCCGTTGATGAAAAACTTAACTTGTGATGCGGGGCTGAGGAAACTGTGGGCAGACAAGGTACCTGCCTTTCTCAGCACGGGCCCTCCTCTGTGCTCGTGGGCTGTGACTCTTCGGTAGGACCTCAAGACAGAGTGCGCCAACTCCCTTCTTGCAGCCTGGTTTGCTGCATGGTGGGGAGAAGAGGGCTGCACCCTGCAAACACTGTTCTTGGCGCCTCTTTGCACATCACTGATGACACCACTGGTGAGCAAAGCACCACCTGGAGCAACTCCCTGCAGGGCATCAAGGAGAGGTACCGGGGTGAGACACCCCAAACGGGGGTGGACCCCTTGCCCTGTCGCCGTCGGGCTGAGGGAGGGGATCTGGGAGCTGAGGAGGAGTGGAGACAGGTCCCTGTGCGACGTGGCAGGCGATGCCCTCCCCCTCCGGCCCCACCTTCCCAGGTGCCCTTACAAAACAGGTTTGAGGCCCTGGAGATTGAGAGACCGGTAGCTGAGGAAGAGATAGAAAGTGTTCCCAGGAGGATGCCTAGGGCGAGGAGGTCGACTCCACGCATCAGAACTGCCTCCACCAAGAAAGAAAGAAGGGTGATTGTCGTGGGAGACTCTGTCCTTAGGGGGACAGAGGGCCCTATTTGTCGGCCTGACCCTACCCGTAGGGAAGTCTGCTGCCTCCCTGGGGCCAGGGTCAGGGACGTGGCCAGGAAGCTCCCCAACCTGGTGCGCCCCTCTGATTATTATCCGCTCCTGATAATCCAGGCGGGCACTGATGACATTGACAACAGAAGCCTGAAGGCTATCAAAAGAGACTTTAGGGGACTGGGACGGTTAGTGGACGGAGCAGGAGTGCAAGTAGTTTTTTCGTCCGTCCCTACGTTGACAGGGAGGGGTACGGAGAGGACGAGGAAAGCCCACCTGTTAAACACGTGGCTCCGGGGCTGGTGCCTACGCAGAAATCTTGGGTTTTTCGACCATGGGGCAGTTTACTCAGCACCTGGTCTGGTGGCCGTAGACGGGTCCCTATCCTTTAGGGGAAAAAGGATCCTGGGCCAGGAGCTGGCGGGGCTCATTGATAGGGCTTTAAACTAGGTAAGAAGGGGGATGGGGCTGGAGCGAGGACTGTTGGGGCTGTACCAGGGGGAGCAGTGGCAAGGCCGGAGGATAAGGTAAAGGCCCAGCTGAAGTGCATCTACACCAATGCACGCAGCATGGGTAACAAACAGGAGGAGCTGGAAGCCATCGTGCAGCGGGCAGGCTACGACTTGGTTGCCATCACGGAAACGTGGTGGGACCAGTCTCATGACTGGAGTGCTGCGATGCCTGGCTATAGGCTCTTCAGAAGGGACAGGCAGCACAGAAGGGGTGGCGGTGTGGCTCTCTATATTAGAGAGTCTTTCGATGTTGTAGAACTCGAGGCTAGGAATGACAAGATCGAGTCCCTTTGGGTTAGGATCGGCAGGGACAACAAGGCTAGTGTCCTGGTCGGGGTCTGCTATAGACCGCCGAACCAGGATGAGGAGACGGATGAGGAGTTCTACAGGCAGCTGACAGAAGTTGCGAAATCGTCAGCGCTTGTACTCGTGGGGGACTTCAACTTCCCAGACATATCCTGGAAGCACAACACAGCCCAGAGGAAGCAGTCTAGGAGGTTTCTGGAGAAAGTGGAAGATAGCTTCCTGACGCAGCTGATTAGTGAACCTACCAGGGGTGGTGCCCTGCTAGACCTTCTCTTCACAAACAGAGAAGGACTGGTGGAGGATGTGACTGTCGGGAACAGTCTTGGGCAGAGTGACCACGAAATGGTGGAGTTCTCTATTCTTGGCGGGGCCAGGAAGGGAACCAGTAAAACCACTGTATTGGACTTTCGGAGGGCTGACTTTAGGCTGCTCAGGACACTGGTTGGTGGAGTCCCATGGGAGGCGGTTCTGAAGGGCAGAGGGGTTCAGGAAGGCTGGGTGCTATTCAAGAGGCAAATCCTAATGGCACAGGAGCGGTCTATCCCCATGTGCCCAAAGATGAGCCAGCGGGGAAGACGACCAGCCTGGCTCAACAGAGAACTGTGGCTTGAGCTTAGGAGGAAAAAGAGGGTTTATAATCTTTGGAAAATTGGGCAGGCCACTAGGGAGGACTATAAGGATGTAGCGAGGCTGTGCAGGGACAAGATTAGGAAGGCCAAAGCTCATCTGGAGCTCAAGCTGGCTACTGCCGTTAAAGATAACAAAAAACGCTTTTATAAATACATCAACACAAAAAGGAGGACTAAGGAGAATCTCCATCCTTTACTGGATGCGGGGGGAAACTTAGTTACAAGAGATGAGGAAAAGGCGGAGGTGCTCAATGCCTTCTTTGCCTCAGTCTTTAGTGGTAAAACCGGTTGCTCTCTGGATACCCAGTACCCAGAACTGGTGGAAGGGGACGGGGAGCAGGATGTGGCCCTCACCATCCACGAAGAACTGGTTGGTGACCTGCTACGGCACTTGGATGTGCACAAGTCGATGGGGCCGGATGGGATCCACCCAAGAGTACTGAGAGAACTGGCAGAGGAGCTGGCCAAGCCCCTATCCATCATTTATCAGCAGTCCTGGCTATCGGGGGAGGTCCCAGCTGACTGGCGGCTAGCAAACGTGACGCCCATCTACAAGAAGGGCCGGAGGGCAGACCCGGGGAACTACAGGCCGGTCAGTTTGACCTCAGTGCCAGGGAAGCTCATGGAGCAGATCCTCTTGGGAGTCATCATGCGCCACTTGAAGGGCAAGCAGGCGATCAGGCCCAGTCAGCATGGGTTTATGGAAGGCAGATCCTGCTTGACGAACCTGATCTCCTTCTACGACAAAGTGACGCGCTGGGTGGACGAGGGAAAGGCTGTGGATGTGGTCTACCTTGACTTCAGCAAGGCTTTTGACACCGTTTCCCACAGCATTCTCCTCAAGAAACTGGCTGCTCTTGGCTTGGACTGGCGCACGCTTCGTTGGGTTAGAAACTGGCTGGATAGCCGGGCCCAGAGAGTTGTGGTAAATGGAGCCAAGTCCAGTTGGAGGCCAGTCACTAGTGGCGTCCCCCAGGGCTCGGTGCTGGGGCCGGTCCTCTTTAACATCTTCATCAATGATCTGGATGACGGCATTGAGTGCACCCTCAGTAAGTTTGCAGATGACACCAAGCTAGGTGCGTGTGTCGATCTGCTTGAGGGTAGGAAGGCTCTGCAGGAGGATCTGGATAGGCTGCACCGATGGGCTGAGGTCAACTGCATGAAGTTCAACAAGGCCAAGTGCCGGGTCCTGCACCTGGGGCGCAATAACCCCAAGAAGAGCTACAGGCTGGGAGAGGAATGGCTGGAGAGCTGCCAGGCAGAGAAGGACCTGGGAGTGATGGTGGACAGTCGGCTGAATATGAGCCAGCAGTGTGCTCAGGTGGCCAAGAAGGCCAACGGCATCCTGGCTTGTATCAGAAACACTGTGACCAGCAGGGCTAGGGAGGTGATCGTCCCCCTGTACTCGGCTCTGGTGAGGCCGCACCTCGAGTACTGTGTTCAGTTTTGGGCCCCTCGCTACAAGAAGGACATCGAGGTGCTTGAGCGGGTCCAGAGAAGGGCGACGAAGCTGGTGAGGGGCCTGGAGAGCAAGTCCTATGAGGAGCGGCTGAAGGAGCTGGGCTTGTTCAGCCTAGAGAAAAGGAGGCTCAGGGGTGACCTTATCACTCTGTATAAGTATATTAAAGGAGGCTCTAGCGAGATGGGGGTTGGCCTGTTCTCCCATGTGCCTGGTGACAGGACGAGGGGGAATGGGCTAAAGTTGCGCCAGGGGAGTTTTAGGTTAGATGTTAGGAAGAATTTCTTTACTGAAAGGGTTGTTAGACATTGGAACAGGCTGCCCAGGGAGGTGGTGGAGTCACCATCCCTGGAAGTCTTCAAAAGACGTTTAGATGTAGAACTTAGGGATATGGTTTAGTGGGGACTGTTAGTGTTAGGTCAGAGGTTGGACTCGATGATCTTGAGGTCTCTTCCAACCTAGAGATTCTGTGTGATTCTGTGTGATTCTGATGCTGAATGTGCCACCTTGTGCCTTTCTCCCGAAGAAGGAGTCATTTCACATGCATTTTTGACTTGCCTTGTGAGGACTTTGCCCTATTTCCACGGATTCCACTCACACCTCTCCCCTTCAGCCCGTGCAGGTGGCCCTGGTGAAGCCCTGCTGGTTCCCAGTGCTCACCCTTGGGGCCAGCTTGCCCATTGCAGTGTGGAGCCGTGCCAGCCATCCTGAGGTGCTGCTGGCCTCAGGCAACGGACAGCACCGCAGGCAGCATGGCCGTGGTCTGGGGTCTTCAGCCGGTGGTTCTGGCTGTCAGGGAGGATGTCAGGGTGGTGCTGGAGCTGCTGAGATGCTTCCAGTCTGGGAGCCAAACCAGTACCAGTTGCACAGCACAGGGTCGTGCAGTGGAGACCTGGCGTTTTTCTGTTGACTCAAAGCAGAGTCTAACCAGTGAGAAAAATAATTGTGCTGCTTGAGAGAAGAGAGGATCCACTGCTGTGGTCCCCGTGCTTTCCTCCTTCATTTCCCTCATACGCTCTCCAACATCTTTTCCAATTTTCAGTTTCCTTCACCTCCACCTCCCCAGGCCCCTGGATTTCCTGTTCATTGGAAGGGCTCTGCTGGGGAGGCAGCTTCAGGAGCCAGCCAGGAGGGAACAGCAGCAGGCTGGTGGACAGAGGCCACAACAGAGCGATGTGCAGAGCCTCGGGATGGTCCTGGGGAAGCTTCTACTGCAAGAGAGTGTGTGGCTAGGGTTGCCACGAGGGGCTGACAGCACGCCCGACCTCCTTGGTCCTGCCATGAGCCCTTGGTGGGTGGCACCCAGGAACAACAGCCTCTCCCTCCATCCCACCTGGGACCAGGAGGCTTTGGGAATTTGTTCCTGCCCGTCCTGACACACGGGCCACATCCTGACCTCGGGCCACAGCATCCCTCCGGGAGTGCCTGAAACCTCCGGGCGAGCCGGGGCTGGGGGAAAACGCACCGTTCCCTGCAAGCGGTGTGTGCAGAGCCATTTGTTATTGAGCTGCTCCCTCCCGTGGTTGCAGGGGGAATTAGAAACGTGGCTTCACTCCTGTGCCGTCAGCCTCCACCTGTGTTTGACCACAAGGAGGAACAGTTTATCCCATGGCTCAGCATCTCACAACTGCCCCCACCAGCCAAGCACTGGGCTCTCCGCATTCACCAGCCTCAGTGTTTGCTCCGCTGCCCACACTGTGCATGGCCCGAGAGTGAAGAGCACGGGGAGAGCCAAATGCCCGGCCCTTGGTGGTGAGCAGAGAGGGCAGGAGCATAGAAACAGAGGAAATGGAGCTTTCCTGTGGAAGAGGGGACCCCAAGTGTTGCCCACCGGTGGCTGGTGAGGGCAGAAAGCTGCTGTGCTTACAGAGGTCTGACCTGGGTGCTGGCCTCCTCGCCGGCCTACGGGGGACCCTGCAAACCGGCTGTGCAGCAGGACCACGAGTGTCTCCATGAGGAGGGTCCTTCGATGGTGGAGGAGCTGAACCTGCTGCCTGGGAGAGCAGCTGAGCTGATCTCTCTGAGCTCTGGCATGTTTAGTTGTGAGGCGATCTAGTGTTTGTTGGGATGGGTGGCTCGATGTCAGCAGAGATATCAGCTGGGAATGCTCCTGTGGGACTCCCAGGGCCGTGACAGCAGGAGGGTTTTTTTCTGCCTCAGTGCTCTGAGACTGGTGAAGCTTGAGACCAGTGGAATCTGAATGAACTGAAAGGAAAATAAACATTTTTCCTCGGTCTTCTATGTTCCGATGAAACACCCAGGCAGCTCAGGAGTTCCGCTACGTGCTTGTTCTGCCAGCTCTGCAGCTGCAGCACCAGCTGGTGCCAGCGTGGCAGAGGTCTGCCTGTCCTGATGCTGCTTTTGCACCTTCGGGTGCTCTCCTGCTTGTCAGAGCGGGCACCCAAGCAGTGCTGGCACACCCCAGCTGAGGGCCCTGTACACCACAGCACGGACTGCGCCTCTTCCCAGCCTAATGACTGAGTCATTTTGACACTTCAAAGGTAATTTGCTATTATTTTTTTCCTGCTCAAACCATTAGCTACATTTGTCTTCAAGTCATATGTACCTTTGAAAGTCCTGAAACAGCACTTTTTTTCATAGCTCAACTATTTCCCAGCACATCATACAAACCTCCAACTCATAAAACTCCTGCCCCTGGCCTGACAAAGGCCAGGTTTCAGCCGTAATTTTGCAAGGTAGGAAAAACTCTGTTAGTGAAGATGATCAAGAAGATTTCACTTTGTTTTTTTTCACAGATCCAAAGTTCACACACCACTGTAGGAATGTAGCTGCATAATGAGCAACCTTTCCAAAAGGTGCATGCACACATTTTGAGCCAGCTGAGCTGCTCGTATTAGCAAGGGACTGCGTCCTCCCAGTGCCCAGCCTGTGTTGACTGGAAGAGTCTTGGTCAGCCCCCACGTGTCATTTGTTCTCAATGGGAAAGGTCACTTTTCCACGCCTCATTTCTGGGGCCTGTGAAATAGCACAATGTGTGTGTGTGGTGTGTGAGAAATTGTTACTGCAGCCTGAAGGTCATTGAAAGTCATTGTGAGAAAATAGTTAACTGAGACAGAACCTAAGAGTCATTTTAGGCAAGAGAAAAAATACTTCTTAGAGGGCGTCCTGTCTTTGGCTGAAGCCAGCAGCAGTGGATATTTAGGGGAAGAACGTAAGAAACTGGGATCCTACTGCTGACAGTACTTCCAGCAGTAAACAGCTTAAAAAATAAGGAAAGGGTGGTCATAAAGGCTCCCTCAGTTAGGTTCCGCTGGTGACTTTCTTCTTTCCAGTTCCCACAATGTTTTTCTGCTGAGGTCTTTTAGATCCATGCTGTGCATTTAATCTGTGCCTATTTAGCAGACAAAGCTAGCATTTCAACGTTGAAAATATATATATACATGTATATATAATAATTTCTTTAGTATTTTAGGAAAGCAGTTAGATAACTATGAATTGTGTCACCTAACAACATGAACGATTCTTAAAAACAAACAAAAAGCAGCCTATGATACTACCACTTAATTTTTCCAGCATTTAGTAGAGGTAGTTTGTATGTTAGAACTGACACTAAAAGTAGGTAGGTTGCCAGCTGAACTGTGGTTTCTGGTCTTCCTAAGGTGGCAGAAACTGCAGGACAGCGAGTGTCCAAGTGAATTTTGTTGAATAACTAACATGAAAAGATGAATTAGAGATGCAGTCACAGCAGTCAGAATTTGGCAACACCACTTTTCCCTGAATTTACGTTGAAAACAATCCTCAAGGAAAATATTTTTACAACAAGATGATACAGTTTAAAAAAAAATATGGTTTCATTCTTTTTTTAAAAAGCTGTATTATTTCATTATCCAAGCTGTGTGTGCTGCTATTGTGCTAAATGTCAGGTTGTGGCATACTATGAACTTAACAGGCCAGCAGCAAGGTACACGTTTATTCTATCTTGAAGTACTCCTTGGATTTAGCTTCTTTGCTATCACCGGAGTTACAGTGCACAGAGGATTTGGCTGTTAATAAAATTCACTGTCTTCTAGTCTGGACCTGTCAGTTTGGTGCTTTGCTAACCTTATAACTTGTTGATCAAATGTTGCCTCTGCCAAGCGCTGTGCTGTGGTGGTGTTCATTGTGCCGAACCAGGCCAATTTTAGAGTGATTTTAGGGTGTCTGCACAGCACATTGCAGTGCACCATGGTGGACTTGCATGGTCAGGCCCTCAAGTCTGGGGGTTTCCATCCTCTCCTAAATATAACTGTTCTGGTGTCATTCATCTTGGTGACAGTGGTAGGGTCTGTTATCTTTTCGGTTTTACACATAGGAAATTGAAGCAAAGAGAGAGACAAAAGGACTTTCCAAAGGTGATATAAAACATCTGCAGTGGAGTGCAGTTTCCCAAATCCAAATAGATTCTCACAGAGGCCAACTCTGTTTTTAGGTAGTTCCTACCCAGGGACTGTCTCCATGTCTGCAGCCCAGCAGAGACAGCACTGCCTCAATCATGCCTGGATGTTCACACTCCTTCGGGAAGTCCTGCAGTCTTCAGAAATGATTGGTGCGCCTGCCCTTTCATATGGAGAATTAACTGTTCTCAGCTGGTAAGTGCATTTCTTAACTGTGTTTAAGCTGTGTATCATCATGCAAAATGAAGTAATGAAGAAAAAGGCAACCTATATTTCATCTCATCTTCCATATTCAGTGTTCTCTTCATTCGATCTTTTCAATCTGTTTATTTAACTTCAAGAACATTTTATTTAGAGAGTGACTGTGTATAGGTGTTAAAAGCATAAAGAAGATCCATTTGCAGTTACATTGCATGCAGATTTCAGCAAGGATTAAGAGAAGAATTTCTTTCTTTCCCTCTTTTTTTCCCTAGCTGAACTCAGGAACTGGTGTCCTTCAAGCAGGTCCTGCACTATTGTAGGGGTGTTGATGGCTTGGTGTTTGTGCAGAAACACTGTTTAGTTACCTGATATGGAAATTTTCTGAACACATAATTCATCATTCCTTTTCCCATTATTACTCCCTTTAAAACACTCTAGCTTGGAGAATTTGTAATTTGAAATATTTGCTTTCTTTGACTAAGAATCTCTTGTGCATTTAGTAGAACATTTTATTTCTTTTCTATTCTTTTCTATTCTATATTTTTTTTCTTTTTGTGCTGTGCCTAACCAGCAAAGTTTCTCACGACACGCACAAGCACCAAAACACCGGTCTGGTTACGCTAGAGCCTACTGCAGTGCTGCTGATGGTTTTTAGACTACGGTTAAGCAGTGGTGTTAAACACTTGCTTTCCCCTATGTGAAAATGCATGTGGCATCCCACATGTTTCTTAATCACAGAAAATTGTCTGAAATAGTCCACGCATTTTTGTTTCCTTTTCACACATTTCTAATTTTCTTACCTTTGATGTGACATTTTTTAAGTGGTGGGTTTTTTTTTTTATGTGCTGCATGGTAGGTTTTTTTTTGTTTTTTTTTTTTTTAAAGCTCTGGTTGCTAACAGTAAGAAGGTTATGTGGAGGGAAGTCCATTCCCTCATCCCAGTCATGTTCAGATGAAAAGCAAAGGAAGAGGAAGACTCGAAGACTTCCGATAGCTTTGAGTCCCTTCTTGTCGTTGGTTTTGTGTCTCTTGTCATCGGTGCCATTTTGTGTTAGGATTCAGGTAGCTTTTCAAGGGCTGGCTTCTGAGCTGCTGTCTTTTCTCAAAACAGCTGCAGAGCGGTAACTACATTTGGGCTCAGAAGGGGAACTCTGAAGTTCCAGCCCTACTTTGAACACAAAAGCCTTTAAAAGCCATTGATTAATGATCTCATGGGCATCTTCCCATAGCTTGCAGAGACCGATGGGGAGGGACAGGGCAGAGAGGGGCTGTTCTGCAGGACACTGGGGATAGGAGCTGAGACCCTGATGGCATGTGTTGGCCAGGACTTGGTGAGGCATTTTGAGCAGTGGTCGCTGGCTTGTTCCTGACTTGCTGGCTGGCACAAGTACTTGTGGAGCTGTGTGGTAAAGCAAAGCAGGAGACAAAAATGCCTGAAAAAGCAGCTGGCCAAACAGTGGCCCCATGGTTTGGCAGCGTGAATGTTGCTTGATGTTGGTTTACCTATAAAATGAGAAAGTTGTGAGGTTTAATGTTGGTGAGGCAATAGAGACAGAACTGTTTTGTATCACGTTATCCTTAGAAAAGCATTTCTTGAACTGCAAGAAACTGGCAGACTTAACAATCTGTCCAGAAAAGCATTCAGCTAGTGCTGTGTTTAACCATCTAAGCCCCCTGTACTGCAGGGGAGTGAAAAGTCTCAAGCAATAACCACTTTTAAGGGAAGCAGTTCTTCCCAGGTACCCATTGCTTCACCATGTTGTATTATCCCATTGAATCCCACTAAGCTCTTGGCTTTGAGACATGAACAATGCAATTTAATAGATGTTTCATTTTTATACTATTTCTGTCACATTTCTAAGTAAAGACTTCTCATGTTATTGCTTAGGCTGATATTTGTTATGCTTTTTGGTACTCCTAATTATTCAAAGAGCAAAATTTGGGGCTATTTTTGATTTGTTTCTTCTCTGTAAGACAGACTCCTTAGGACTGCTGGAGACTGAAGCAGACAGAAGTGATGGATCTTCTTGTTGTCTGTCTGTCTGTGTGTGCTTATAGGAAATGACAGGACACATTGGGAAGGAGAGGAAGGAGGGAGGTAAGGGGTCTGATGGCCTTTCACCTCTTCATGTTCGTAGTGTGGCATATACACCAGATTGTAAGGACAGGGCACGCCGGCACAGCTGAGCATCCATTCTGCTGCCCTGGGTCTCATTAGCCCTAGGCAAGCTGAGTGGGCATTTCATCACCCAAATGTTGCCCCTTTGGTTCAGCTTTGCCTTGGATCTACCTTTCCACTGTTCATGATTCATTTACTCATGTCAGTAGGTATCCAAAGATTGGGGGGGGAAACAAAAAAAAGAGAAAGCTGAATGTATGAATTTTCATTATAACAACTTCACAGGAGTCAGCTGAAATTGTGGGGGATTTTCTGACCTTATGTCCCTTCTCTATGTGTTTCTATCTCTCCTCATTACAGGTGGCACGAAGTTCACATCACCTGGACTTTGAGGTAGCCTGTATACCTCTGTGTAGTTGTATGTTGTTGTGTGTATGCACAGTTAGATATGTAGCCCCTATGGAAGGGGATCTGCACAGCACCACAGCTCGAGTTTCAATCAAAGGAAATGATTGAACCTCTCCCTCGTGGCATCTCCCTTTTCTTCTTTCCTCGGGTCATCTCCTGCTTGCCTCAGACGGCTGGGGTGTTGGAGGGAGCCTGCACCTCTCCGTGCCTTTTTTCTGTTTTGTTTTTCCTGTGCCTTCAGAGAAAGGTTAAAAGGGCTTTCATCAAAGAGCACTTGCCATGAGTTTAAAAAGGTCTGACGAGGCAGTTGGACTCATAGATTCAGGAAATCATGTAGGTTGGAAAAGACCTCTGAGATCACCAAATCCAACTTGATGATCTTTGTAGGTCCCTTCCAACCTAACTATACTAATTTCTAGTCCTCCTGAATTAAAATATTCATTTAACTGCTGATGTTGTACCTTTGTATGATACCATTACGACTTTTCATACTCATTAATTCTTAGTGAAATCAAATTCGTATGAATAAATACAACCCTGATGAAACTGTTACTAACATTTATCAGGCCACATCCTTTTCCTGTTGTTTTCCTGGTAAGCAGTTTTAAGACAAGTATTTAAACATTTTAGCATAAAATTTCTCTGGTATTGAACATTTCTTTGTAAAAAGCCACAACCACTGATGTAAAAGTAACTAGGGCTGTAGCTTTGATGCTTAGTTAGCAGTCAGGCTTGTGATCTGAATTAAGGGAGGGGGGGAAGTGTTAGAAATATATATATATATATATATATATATATATATAATATAATTAACTACAGGATTTTAAGAAATATTTTAATCCTCTTACCCTGGTTCAGCTTCTGCAGTGTTGGCTTCTGGTTGTTCTGAGTAAATTGTTCCAGCATCCAAAATATTGTTTCTTCCATTCTGTTCTCACAAACTTGTGAAAAGTACATTAGGTCAAACTTGAGATCAAGATGAGTCCAAGCTTCTAAAACTGAAGTCTGGTGACGTTTTGGTCAAGTTAAAAATTTGTTTCTCTACTGTAGGAAAAAGAATAATGATCCTAAATCAATTACTTGTGCTTGCTTTCTTCTTCTTTTAACCTGTTTATCAAACTAAGAAATATTGACCACTTCTATGTAGGAAAACTCCTGCTTATGATTCTGAATTGAGGAGGAGATGCACATTTGGAGGAGAACCAGTACATGTTAGTTTAAGTGTAATTCCCCTAGAAACACATGGATACACTATCTAACAGTGGGTTACCACTGTTCTTTCTCCTCGAGAGCACTTTCCAGGCCAGGGTCCAAGGGGACTGCTGGCAAAGGGAGCTGCTGCTCAGGAGAACAGAAATTTACAGCCTGCTCCTAACAGCAAATAAGCAAGAAGCAAGGAAAAAACAAACGTGATGCTGTTGTAAACCTCTTTGTATTTGTTAATTTGGTGCTAGCTATACCATGAGTCTTCTTTCTGTACATACTGGAACTGCAAAGTGTTGAGCGCTGGCTTGCGTCTTGCATTCAGCTGAGTTTTCACAGCTGCCTTGTGTGGCCAAGCCCTCTCTGGCTGCAGCAACCTGCAGGCACACAGGCAGTGCCTCCCCAGCCCCTGCTCCAGCTTGTAGAGGTTCCTGACACCCAGCACTGCCCCAGGGAAGGGCAGGGAGAGCAGGCAGCCCCCCTGCGTGAGCCCGAATATTGCCACTTTGCACCTTCCTCCTGGTGGAGCAAACTTGGGAATGAGTGAGCTCCTCTTCAGAAATCTGCCTGTGGTGAAGGGCTGTGTTTTAAGGTGCTTTCATGGCAAATATTACCTTGTCTGTCTGTTTTCCATTGTCTGTCCGTTCTCCAGCTCATGCTGCCCCAAGGTGCACGGGGCATCTGGGCTGTGGCATGCTGCTGAAGGTGCTTGAGAGCGATTGAGAGGGGGCTGGGTACTGCACACAACCTCCCAGCAAGAAGGAAACCCAGACAGATTTTTCACACTCTTTTCATGTTGCATGCCACTCAATTCACTACACCCAGTTCTTTACTTTTTACTGACCACGTTCTCCACCCCCAGACATACATGACGTTCAAGTCTCCTGGCTCACAGAAACAAGAAGAAAGGTGACTCTGTCCCAGACTTTCCAATACACAGGAAAAATCAGCCTTTTCCTGAACACTGAGGGAAATCTGGGTCAGGTTCTTTGAAGAGTCCCAGCTGTGGCTTTCAAGCAAACATCAAACCTGAGGAAAGAGCCCCATGGACAGGCGAGTCCCCGAATGGGCAATGCCAGATGGAAAATGGCAGAGGACAGCTGTGGGGCACCCCCTGTGCTGGGATGAGGTGAACTGGCTGCTCAGGGTGGTGCTGGAGGGACAGTGGTCCTTACCTTGGCCTCAGGTTGGCTTCCTACCTCAGGTGGAAGCTAGGAGACAGGCGAGGTGGGATAGTTTGTTAACAAGAATTATGCAGTTTAAGCAAATGAGCCACAAGCCAGTTTTGAGAACTGAAACATAAGGTTAGGGAGCAACATCTTAGCTGCAAGGCTGAACAATGGAGCAGAGCCCGTGTTTTAGCTGGGAGTGGGACAGAAACATGTTGTACAGAATACTAAAACACATAGTAATTGGCATTACCTCAGAAACTGGAGGAGGACTGTGATGTATTTGGTACTCTAGATGGAGCAAGCCACTTAAAAAAATCCAATCAATTTTGGTTTAAATGTGTAACTAGGCCAGCATTCGTCTCATAGGAAACTGTGTTTGTTGAGAGACTGCTGGGATCGCTCTGCCTGTGTGTATTGGTAGCGCAGCTGCCTGTGGTGATGGGCAACCAACAATGTTTTATTTAGATCGTTTTATAGTATGGTGGTTTTGTTGTTGTTGGTTTGGGTTGGTTTGTTTTTTTGAGTTACTCATCTTAGTAGAGAGCTAGGTTTGAAGCTGTGCATCAGCTCTTTCGGATGCAGGGCGTGTTGTGCACTTGGGCCTTTAGGGACCAGCTGCCGAGTGCCCCAGCCTCAGTGCCGCTCTCCAGGCTGTGCTTGTGCTAAAGATGTATGCAACCACATGACAGAAAATGGCAGGAGTCACTAGTTTTAATCATTCTGAATTTTTTCAGTGCCTTATGATTCCTGGTGGTGTGCTATTAAAGAGGCTTCTGGCCCCAGAACCGAGTCACAGACAACATCATCTGTACTGATGTGCAAGCAGACATGTTTAAAAGGACCTCAGCTCAGGTAGGCATCATGGCCCAAAGTGCACCAAGTGGCTCTGCAACCTCCTCTTTTTCTCCAAACCTCTTCCTCAAACGGGGCTGAGCCTGGCTCCCTGTGGCTGTCGGCTCAGCTCCTGTGGTGCAGGTGCAGCAGGGTGCACCCCACTGCTCTTGACAGCCTGCAAGAAAGGAAATGACCTGCCTATCTGCAGCCAATGCCTACAATTTAGCTGCAAATTTGTGTCCAGCAAGGTGAAAAAACTGAAAGCTTTGATATTGGTAGGTGAATTCTGTACTTATGTCCTTGGGCTAGTCTTCTGGCTTCTGAGTTCTAGCTAAAGTAATAAAGAAAAAAATCCCAACCTTGTAGACACACACTCTTTAAAAATATATATATTTAAAATACTTTAGAAATGATAGTAGTCAGAAATTATTTTGAATCCCAAGTGCCTGCTGCCAATGTATCTCAGATCTTTGGGAAGTTGCAGACCTCACTGAAGTTCATGGGCATGCTCTCCACCTTCCAGCCGAACGAATGGGAGGAGCACTTTGTTCCTTTTTTAGTGATGACTGGAAAAACAGGGACCTGCAGGCTGGACTAGTGATGATGAGTCCCTGTTGTGGTGTGAGCTCTGGCATCAGAGATTGGGATGGTATCAGCCACACTGAACTCTAATCCCTCTTAAAATACTTCTGGTGTTGGGATTGAGAAGGGTCTCCATCTGTGGGTGGATTGGATGCAAACAGGATGAAGGATTTACCTGGCTACAGCTCTTGATTAATACAGGGATCAAATAGGAGGCAGAATGCAGCAGAAAGTCCAGAGACAACAGCTTAAAAGCAGGAGACAAAATTAAACATGGCTGCATGAGCAGGGGGTGTTTCAGGGGCAAAATGCTGGAGGGAAGATCTGACAGAGGGCTGGAAGTAAGGAAATGGCTCCTTGCTGTTTCCTACCTGCTGGGTGCTTGGAGACAGAGTGTGATGTATGTTCTCTCTCAAAAATATTGTATGTTAAATCGTGTCAGCTTCTCACAGGGGAGAAATCTCCTATTTGTTTGCTGAAGTCTGGCCAGGGGTGGTGATAGGCTAATCCTAAACTGAAGATCAATCTGAACATTTCACACGATAGACCCAGTACGTGGGCAGTTAGGAGATACGGGAATATTTTTATTTAGTAGCAGAGCTTTTCATTTTTCTTTTTCTCCCGCCTGCAGCATTAAGCAGACACAAGGGCAATTCCCACTGAGTTAGACTGAAATCTGAGAGTGGTGACATGCGAAGCCTTTGGCTGTGCTCTAAATGAGTAGTGGTGTAAGGTGCCGCAGACAGGCACTTCTCAGCATGTGCGTTGAAAGGGAGCGTGTGTTGCTTCTCTCACGCCGTCGGCATCTGCACCAGGGACGTCTGGCTGCAGCACTGCCCGCGGTCCCTGCCTATGCTCGTGTCTTCCCAGAAAGCAGACATCAAATGGGCTTTTGCGCACTTCAGCCAGCACAGATTTTTTTGGACAGGGCTGTAAAAATAAGAAATGATCCAGCAGGATTCCCCAAGCTGAATTTCCAGCACTGGAAGTCAAAAAAAAAAAAGAAGAAAGAACAGAAAGTTTTGCTATGTAAATCAGGTAAATGCAATTGAGATTCATTTGGTGAGGTCTGTGACTCAAAATGAACCATGCTGTCTACTTTTCAGAAAAAAAAAGATTCAGTTCTCAGGATGTCTGTTTCTACTACAAAACCCTGAAGAGAAACAGGTTTTGGAGGTATAATTGCTTTACGTAATAACGTTTCTGTGTTTGCTGAGCTTAGTGTTTTATGTTGCATAAAAAACCAGCAACACAACAAACCACACTTGCCATAGTTCGTTTTTTTTTGGCATTTTAGCCTATACTTAACCTCCTACAGTTTCAAGGCAGTCACGTTGCAGGTGCCTGGCTTTGCCGTGCAATCTAGCTCAGAAAGTCAGAAGCAGAGGGCCGGCGATAGGCGCACTTCTCTGATTTTATGGGAACTGCAACATGCTGGGCACGCTCACGAAGATGAGGTGCAGTGGCAAATGGAAAACAGATTTGGAAGAAATCAGAGCAGTTATTTTCAGAGCTTTGCACTGCTTCAGCATTTCTTCTCAACTGTCATAGGAACAGGGAGTGACTCTTGCTTTTGTGGGACTGGAGCTATTAGCCTTTGTAGCAGCAGAGAGAAGCCCGTGTTCTGTAAGAGGTTTGAGGTGCAGGCATAACCTGAGGTGTTAGGGTCTCGCAAAAGAAATAACGTGTTCCACATGCATTTGCACAATTCGAAGAAGTGCTGCGGAAAATTCCTCAGGCGACATAAATGTGAGCAAGGGGGAAACTAGAAGTGGCGTAAAGTTCTGTTATTTGTCCATAGACAAGCCAAAGGTTTGAGGAAAAACAACAGAACCTTCACTTTCTCCAGTAACAGCAGGCAATTAGTAGATTTAGTGCAGATACTGACAACAGTGTGTTTGACTGCCGATGCTAATGGCCACGTGTAGGCTGACCCTTATCAGGGCAGTCGCTCACGGTCTCCTTTCCAGGGCTCTGATGGCTTCTGCCATAATTACTGGCCGCACCTTTTTCAGTAATGAGCTGATTGGGGCAGCAGAGATGCTTAATAAGCAGCTGTATGGCTCCATTGGCAGGATACAGCTATGCAAGTGTCTAACAGAGCAGCTCCGTTATGTGGTTCGAGAGCCCAGATGTCCTAGCAGCCCTCTGTCCTCGGGGAGGAGAGGCTGCTGCTTGTTGAGGTCGATCCAGATGTTAAAAATGTGAATTGCTCACTGGAGCTGCCAGAAGCACTTCATTGACTGCTGGGGGAGCTTCAGCAGCTCCTCGGCACTTCAGCCAGGTGCTTTGCTTGGGGTGGGAGCAGCTGCTTTGCTCTGGGGACGTGGGCGTATTTACAGTGTGGTAAGATGCAGGTCAGAACGGTCTCAGAGGGCCCCTAGGAAATTGAAAAGTGATGCTGAACCCTGGAAGTGCTGCAGGAGGGCCAAGATTACACCTTAGGTTCATTTCAGCATTTATGGAAGATAAAATATATGATATTTTTTTTATATATGACTCATATGACTGGACAACCTACAACCTTTCTCTGTTCTCTCTTCTAGCTTCAACTGGAATACCTTGTGTTTTTTTCAAAGCCGCATTTTTTTTAAATTTGATGTCTGTGATCTTGATGTGGCAATCACGTACATCAGTGTGGTTGTTTGCAGCTTCTAGAATAGCAGCAGGGTTTTACCATGCGCTGAACAACCTAAGTGCAGCCTTGGTCTGAACGAAGTTTAGTTGGTGGAGCAATGTCCCTCACCTGGACACACACACACAGTTTGCCAGGTTTCAGAAAATATGACAAAAAAAAAAGCAGTAGTCTAGGGCCTCGAAACTGAGCAGAAAGGAGCAGGACCATTTTTCCTTCTTATTTATTTTTATTTATTTATTTATTTTAGCATGGAAATCCGCATGTCCTTGAGGCTGTTGTACTTCACTGAGTGGAGGCAAAACCCAGCTGATTTTCCACACCTCCCCCAGACCTACTGGCTGACCAGCAGCAGCAGCAGCAGCCTGCCTGTGGCGGTGCCTCTGGGCACGAGGTGGGTGCCAGGGGCAGGAGCAGGAAGATGTCCCGGGGGCAGCATCGGGCAGCCCAGATAGGAGCTCTCAGCCAGCTGCTGCGGGTGGGTCCAGGGCTGGGGCCCGAAACGTGGGCTCGCAGAGGGCTTACAGAAGTGGTGAGCTGGGGTGAGGAGGAAGTGAATAGCAGGACGTGGTTGCTTCCAAACACCTGCTTCTCAGGCGAGCTTTGAGACTTGCCGCAAGGTCTGCAGACGGGCCCTGCCTCCCCATGGTGCAGCCACTGAAGTTATAAATGAGTAAGCACCGCAGCCTTCCATAGTGGCAGCGTGTATAAAGGTAACTGGTCATGGTGGTGAAGGTGCCAAGACTTTTTTTTTTTTTCTTTTAAGAGTGTCAGACAGCATAGCTCAGGCAACACGGATGGCATCCTGGTGTCCAGGAGCAAATTTACTGCAGTGCTGGTTTACTGCCAGCCTGGCTGTGTGCAGCCTGCACAGCACTGCAGAAGCTGGACTCACTGCTGGGCAGGCAAGTCCTAACCCTGGAAGAATGGGTGTTGGGGAAAGCAGTGGCACCTCTGGCCTGCTGGCAAGGCAGGAGATGGCAGTGATTTAAAAATAATGATAAATTAAAATCCTGCATGAATTTGGCTCTGGTAATTCCTCTGTCATGCAGTGAGTGCTGTCAGCATTTCATTTTATTTTATAGATATTTGAAAGCAAAATGCATGAAAGCAAAATTTCAGCCATGGCCAAAGGCAATGGAGTTGTGCTCCTCCAGGGCATGGAGTTACCTCGCAGGGCCTGGGCTGCTCGGCTGCTGCCTGTCTGCTCCACCACGTTGCTTCCCATGGTGCTGGTGCAAAATGGAGAGCAGTCTGTGCAGCCGAGGGTAATGTCACTTGGCTTCAGACGTTCTGACTTCCTCAGATGAAAGATGCTGTAGCGGGGGAACTATTTTTTGCCTGGTGATGTGTGCTTCCCCCTAGACGCTTGCTCTAGTCTACACGTTGGCCAGATGTTAAAAAGATAGACAGAAGATGGTGTAAACTTGCAATGTCCCTGCCGAGGGGACAAGTTTTATCTCTCTGGAGCTTTCCAGCTAACACTGAAGTAACAGAACTGCAAAAGCTCCTCACACAGCGATATTTTGTGGCATGCGGTTCCTAGGAGTGGTTTTAGATGCAGCTGTCTCTCTTGCAGGCAGAAACTCATTTCAGTTACATGTTTAGAAGCAGCACAGGATTCCCTACCTAATATTCTCCACAGCCTGTCACGTTTCCCAGCTTTAGGAAATGTCCTCTCACACATCTTCACAGCAGAAAGAGCTCCAGCTGCTTTCAGAAGCAGTCACTGCAGCCGAAGGAAGCCCTGGCCCCTGCACACCCCGTGCTGGTGGCTGCAGGCAGGCCCTTCCCCTGGCGAACAGCAGCAGTCACAGCTCGCCCACTGTGATAGCCACTTTCCACTGCATGTTGCAGCGTCCTCTTTTCGTCTTCCTCCACACTTTCCTTCCCCTGACAGAGACACTTTCTTGGAGGGTTTGAGAAGAAGCTGCTTCACCTTCGAGTTGCGGAGCCTTTGAGCTGCATGTCCGCATGCTCTGCATTTTGGTGGTGCTGGGAGTGCAGCCAGAGCAAAGCTCATGCATGTGGCCTGTCCCGGTGTTTCTCTGCATGCTTAGCAAGCACACTCATTTGATATTTAATCAAGCCAGCTTTCCCATCCTTAGTATTGTGTGAATAACACAGGCAGGCACATTTCTCTTTGATTTGTTCAGGACAAGCATGTTTCTGCCCCTCTTTGTATTTAATGGTAGTTCCCCTTGGAAAATTGATGTACCTTTTGGTGCTCAGCAGCCAAGGTCCCATCATGCCCAAGCTATTTGTGGCTCTGGTGCCCTGCAGGCTCTTGTGGCATTGCAGCACTGCCAGAGTCACCTCGGGAGGCGAGAGGTTTGTACTCGGGGCTGGTTGGCTCTCAGCTCTACGTCTCCTCCTGCGGACTCATGGGCTCCTCAAAGGCACATCTCTGCAGCTCCTCTCCTCACATTTGGGTGGGAGGATGGAGAGCGTGCCCACGCCTCGTAGCAAGGAATTTGTCTAAAGTGGAAAATGTTCTGAAAGTGAGGCAAGGGGTGGGGGGGGGGGGGGGGGTGGGGGGGCGGAACATTCAAAAAAATTTTGTTGGGAGAGGCAGAAGTCCAGGTACCTTTGAGAACACTGTAGCTTCTGTTTCTCTTTTCTCCTCTGCGTGCATTTTGGACAGGCCAAGTTGTGGTGTCGCGTGTGTTTGGGGCAGGTTAAGTTGTGGTGCAGGAGCCCAAATGAAGTATCACTTAGAAGAGCAGCACACAAAAATGTGAGGTTGAGGAATGCTATCTGTCTGAAGATCAGTTTCAGTCTTCAAACCAGTTTCAACATCATTTTGTGATCTGCAGGCTGCTTTAGGCAGGGGGATGGCGTCTCGCTTTGCAGACTTCTGAATGCTTCAAGTTACTTGGTGGGATGAACTGCTAGAGTGACATCATTTCAGAATATTAGATTTTCTTTGTGAGAAGAATGGTGGCTGACTGTTCTCACATAGAAAAAACTCTTCTGGTTTATGGTTTTTTTTTTTTTTTTTTTTTTAAACATATTTTATCTGAATGAAACAGTTGCTGGACTGCCCCTGTAGGGTGCGTGTCCACCTGTGCCCACTGCTGCCTCTCGCTAGGAGGCAGGAGACTGTCCGTGCTTTGCTGTAGGCTTGGATCCTCCCTCAGGTGCCTTCCAGCTTGCAAATCGTGGTATCGTGCAGGCAGCTTTTTGAAGGCTGTAAAAATATATTTTTTTCCTGATAGGTCTTACACTTTCTATTAAACCAGCAGAATTCACAGCAAAATTTGTTGTTAAAAATTGTTTACGCATGTAATTTCAAAGGAACTTTCAGGGCAATAATACTTTTTTTTTTTTTTTTTTAAAGTTCAATATTATATATACTTTTATAAGATTAGAAGTTAGTGAAGTGGCACTGATCTAACGTTTGGCTCTCAAGTAGGCCTGGGAAATTTAAGATAACATAATCCACCAGGCAAAGGAACAGGAAAAGTCTGGGGAAAACCAGGTGTCCCCTTTTCCTTCTACTTTGATGCTTTATGGTTTTTCAGTTGCTGTATGAGTCTACCAAACGCAGCTTGGAAGTCACATTCACCATTGAGCAAATCGTAATTATAGGATGTTGGTGGAGTAACCTGACATTGATGAAGATACCCTAAAAGGCAGCGAGCCCTACCCTGTGTTGTGACCACCTGTGGGGTTTGGCCCAGCTGGAGATGCTGCTGGAGGGGTCCCCAGGCCCAAGAGGAGCACTGCTGCAAAAGGGTGGGTGCTGAGCCTAGGGGCTGCTGGAGGAGGCATCTTGGATGGGCTCTGCAGGAGATGCTGGCAAACACAGAAAGAAGAGAACTTTCTTTCCTGTCCCCCTGAGCTACAGGTAAGAGCTGATGGGTAAGAGCAAGTCTGAGAGTCACATGCATGAAAGGGGGTGAAAGCAAAGCATTGGTACAGTGGGCTCTTTTATTTTATGGTATTAAGAGGCTTGGTAGAAAAACATTTAGGGTAGTTGTGTACTGGATGAGCTGCTGTCACTGGGAGATGGGAGGGAAATAATAATTATTTTTGAAAAGAAGAGTGAAAAAAGGGTCATGTGTTTAGCCAATGGAAGTATGTGCATTAACTGGACATGCAGAGGCTTCCTTACAGTAGGTGTTTTATTCTTTTATGATATTCTGCTTCCAAGTAAGTATTCTAATCCATATGAAATAAATTTAAAAATAGTTTACTGGAGTATTGCTGAACAAATCTAAATGGGATTCCTTTGTCTGCATTGATCAGTTTGCTTGTTGAGGGAGGCAATCCTGGCATTAGCCTCACCAAATCAAACCTTTCTTGGGATTCCAGAACCACGATAGGTAGCACAGGTACCATGTAGGAGGTAAATACCACCCTGCCCACGTGTCTGTCACACAACACTGCAGTTCAGAGGGTAAATGTCAGCCGTGGGTGGTTGAGAAGGCCTTGTGAAGTCCAAGTGGGCATGATACTTGAGTTTTATGAGCGTATGTAGCAAATTGGATAGGGTGTAGAAGACAGTGTAATGGGATCCAGTGAATGGCAGGTGAAACCACAAATTTATTGGGTTAAATGAATTGGAGGGTTTTGTTTGTTTTGTTTTATTGGTTTATGAATTTATTTTGGCTGATACAACTTCCCATTTGGATAGCTTGGTTGGTTTGCCAGGGAGTATATTCTCTTCACTAGGTGAGCTTTATATCAGGAGTAAATTCCAATAACCTGTCCTATGATGAGTTTGGTAATTTAAATATGATACCTTTCAAAATTCATTTCAAATTACTGGATATTGGGGGTTGTAAGGTCTATTTTTCATTTTTAACCTGCATTGTATGAGAAATCACCATAGTTAATACCTTGGTTACTTCTGCCTACTATTTGTGAGTGCATCCATCGGGCACTTGACTGGATGAAAATAAAATTGTTTTTTGTGAATATTCTCACCTGGGTGTTCTGAAAGAAGCTTTTTAAGATTAATTGCATCAGCTTCTGATCAATTCACAGAAGACAGCAGAACTTAAAATGTTATTTTTAAAGGCATTTTTAATGGGTGTTTTTGATTAGCACTTTTTTTTTTTTCTCTTCCACTAGGACAATGCTTCTGTAACCTTACAGTAAAACTGAGTCCCTGGGAGAAGAACTGGGTATGTGGATCATATGGATATATGGATCATATTCAGGTTCTTATCAGTTTTTCTGTGTATTAGAAATAATGGTGAGAGAGAAGAAATCTCTTCTGTTGTGCAGTCTGAAGATAGAAATTGTGAACTTGTGTGTTTAGTCAGGAAGGCTTTTGTTGTTGTTTTTAACATGTCAAATGTTTTTCAGTTTTATTCATCATCAAAAGTGTTCCGTGCTGTCTCAAGTTGTGATTTTTGTGTTCTTGATTGCTGTTGTCCCTGGTATAAAAATACAACTAACTGGAGATTCTCCTGAACTAACAGTAAATTTCTTAGAGGGGCCTATATGCAAAATTCTGATTTCAAAAGAAGCGTAATATTAGCTAGAGGTCAAGGAAATAATTTAAATATATTGTTGAAACATAAATTCATCTTGAAACACAGTGAAATGAAAGTGACACCTTCTTACTGAAAAGATCTGTTCTTCTTGTGCTAGAATATTTGACAATTGTAGTAGCCCTGTAAAACCAGCACAGCTGGGTGCTCTTCCTTCTTTCTCTTCCTTCAGAAATTTCAAGTATGCTTAGACAGGCTGCTCTCATTTACAAATATAACAAGCAAAATTTATACAAATGGAGTTATATATAAAATCACTTCTGGCCAACAAAGTGGCACTGGTGGTGGTAAAAAGGGCAGTAGCCCAATCTAATTTCCATGTTCTGTTCTTTGAGTTTCTGTGGTTCATGGTGTAAGCAGACTGAGTTTGTTGAGCAGTGTAGTGGTACATGATGGGTCCCATCACTCCCTGTTCTTACAGATAATTTTCGTAAACAGACCTCTGTTTCCTTCACGGAGAAAATTAAATTGATTTCTTTCTGTAAATGGAAGTCTCTCCTTGCCTGCATGTGCTGGGTCTCTACCCTTGACTGGGCACTGGCATGAGTGAGCGCCGTCTCTCTAGCCCTGGCAAATCAGGAGTCCCTGCATACCTTTCCTCTGTGGATCTGCAGACTTAATCCTTTTAAGATAATAAAATTATCTTTTACAAGTACTTAGTGAAAAATAGGCAGAAGAAGAGCATACTGCTTCATTGTCCTCGTGTCAGTTATCCTGACTTTGTGTGATACGTCACAGTTGCTGCTGCATGGTTGTTTTTTGGAAGTTAGTGCATTTCCTCAATCTTGTGCTGTGCTTTTGACACATAGCTATAGTTGTAGAGCTATTGGCAACTAGTGCCATAGCATTAGCAGCACTGAGAGGCAGCTTTCTGTCTTGGATGGGGAAAAAAAACTTGTGTTTGCTGAAAGTTGGAGTGATGGAAAGGGACCTCTGGAGTCAGCTTCTTTCTCAAAGCAGGTGTTTCTCCAGCACTAGATTAAATCAGCTCAGTTATGAACTTTGACTGCATCTTGGAAATGTCTGTGGGTGGATATCATACAGCTTCTCAGTAGAGAAGCATTGCCCTCTTAGTGAAGAAGTTTTTTGAAATACTGAACCTAAACCAAGGGCCTTTGCTCCTTTCTGTATTGATGTGAACAATGGGCAGCGCTTGGCTCCATCACCTCTACCACTACCTGCCAGCATTCTGCATGATACCAGCCTTTGACCTGTGCCCCACACACCCAACCATCCTGCAAGACACCTGCTTGAACACCTCCAGTTTCTTCCCATCTCTCTTGAAACAGAAAGCCCAGACCTGGACATCCTATTCCAGTGTAGTCTCATCAGTCTCATTAGAGGAGGATGATAACTTTATTGGTTTTGCACTAACCACACTTTTAGTGAGTCCTGGTATCTCTTTTATCATATTTACTGAGAGGGCACCTCTGGCTTGTATTGAGCCTGGTGCCCACTGTCACCCTTCTGGGAGGACACCTACACCAGCCCTACTTTCCCAGCCTATGCTGAGCCATGGGATTGTCCTACCCCAGGTGCTGTACTTCGGGTTTCTCCCTGATGCACTTCAGGACATTTCTATTCCCCTGTCCTGGAGTTGAGAGGCTTGTTGGAGCTTATAGGGTCACAGTGGAGTGAGGCTCTACCTCTTGCCATCTTAGACACACCACGCATTTACTGTTGTCCACACTGAACAACAAAGAGAGAAATCTGTGCATTTTGGAGGAATTACTGTAGGAGAGTTGGTAGGGGGATTACCAAGAATTTATGTAGAGGGTTTCCTTAGATTTTTTATTTTTATTTTTAATAATCTAAACGTCAGGATGCGATTGTCTGTACTTCTTTTACTTTTTTTTTTTTTTTTTTCTTTCCCAATTATTTCTGGTAATTCAGTTGTTCTTTGTTTCCATAGTTATGAAGTGCTTTCTGAGCTAAGTCTTGGAGCTGTTTTAAGGAGCAAATAGTAAAAAAAAAAAAAAAAAAAAAAAAAAAAAAAAAAAGTGGAATCGGGGATAAGAATCACACTGCTGTCAGACTGAGGAATTAAAATGTATTTTTATAGCATATACTGCACGTATACAGTTTATTTAGTAGAACATGTTCTTTCCAACACACACATTTCATATGCAAAGTAATGTGAAAGCTACAAAACAGGCTAACTCATATTGAAAAGGTTGCAAGTTCCTGAATGACCGAGGCAGAAGCAAATAATGTTTTGAACACCTACTGTTTTGTAAACCTCTTCCTCCTGCACATCTGCAGATAATGGCAAAATTGATGTCAAAACCCCATGCTTCTCATCAAATTTCATGCCTCAGCTGTGTTAATACGTTTAGTATTAACAGGTTTTAAAACACTCCCACATTACGTCCAGTATTAGGTGTGTACAGCTGTCCACTTACATCATCAGTCATTTATTCAATAAATCAATTGACTGAAAACTGTATTTTCAAAACTAAACCCATGCCTTTTTAACTTGTGTGAGACAGAAGCTGCTTTCTTTTCACATTTTGAATAAAGTGAACATCTGCCCTGGAATGAAGACTTCGTTTCAAGCAATTTTAAACATTTTTACAGCTGTTTTATAAAGAGACAAAAATGGGTTTCTGGATGTGAAAGTGCATCTGGGTAAGAGCAGGAGCCATGGCAATATAATGGCACAAGAAATGGCAGGCTTAAATTGCAAGAAGGAAGCCTTTAGTTTCAGCTTAGAGCCAAACTTACAAATGGCCCAAGGGTGGTGATATACGCGAAGGGCTGACTGAGGATGGTCAAGGCACATCCAGAGACATTTTGTGAAATACAAAGCACAGGCTAGGAGGGCTTCCTCGAGGAATGAGTGGCATAAAGCTGATCCAGTCTTTCATCTGTGAGCCAGGAGTACATCAGATGAGTGCTTCCAAACTATATTTCCACAATGCTGTGCTTGCTTCCCTAATTCCTCTTTTCCAAGAAAGAAGACAGAAGAATTTTATACATGTATCTTGTTATATCTTTGGCAGAAATACAGTGATGGTCACCTCCAGTTCATGTACAACCTTTCACTAAATGCACTATGTGAAGGGATTCTTTTGTTTTTCATGTGCAAAACCAGTTTTAAAATGGTAGGAGAAACTTTAAATTTAAAATTGCAGAAACCATTCTGATTTTTTCCAGAATTAATATTATTATTTGTTCTGTGATTCCTCAGCAAAGAGAATCAGGGATGTTTGTTGCTCGTTACTGTTGTATACCAGGTAAGGTGTCCTTTGTGGAAAAGCAGGGGCTGCTGTCCTGTGTAACAGCCCCAGCTGGTGTATAATGCTTACAGGAGGGGTGGCTCTGTGTTACTGCAGGCCAGCCAAGCTGTCCAAAGCAAATGAGTTCTGACAGAGACCTTCTGTAAGGTTTACCGAAGGAAAGAGCAGAGCCGAACTTTGGCCAGATACTTTCCTTTAAACGCTTAGTTACCTTCTAAGCTAGCAAGAAGGTTTTAAATAGTTATTTCTGTGTTTGTCTGGTCTTTAGCAAAAAAAAAGTTTCTGATCACATTGGCAAAAGGAAAACTGTTACAGCTGTGACAAAGGCTGATTTTAATGGGCATTCCAGTGATCTGCGTAGTTTTCGTGTGGCAAACCTTTCACGTTCAGTAGGTAGCATCAATGCAAATGCTTCTTTGGGCATCACTGTCACTTTCCTAATGCAGTTTCTTTTTTCCAGAATTCTTCCTTTCATCTTAAGGGAAGAAAAATATTCACATTCATGAGGAAAAAAAAAAAAAAAAAAGATGTCCTTCTCAGTCCTGCAGCCTCCCTGCAATGGCCAAGGTGACCTTACTGCTATGTCTAGAATAATGCTGTCAGTGTCCCCCTTGCAAGGCAAGTGGCAGCTGGGGAAGAGGCATTCTTCCACAGCAGGAATCATGTGGCACACGGCTTAAAGACAGGACACAGTTCAATAATTTTTTTCAGGCGTGCTTTCTCACGAAATTCTCTTACAGCGAAGTAATAGAAGATGGTATCAAGACAGCAGTTCAGGTTGGCAACCATCATTGACACCTGAATGAAGAGGCTGATTTTTTGTTTTAGATTGCAGTCCACTATCACGTGCTGTCTCACCAGGCACTGTAGGCAGATTGCAAGGTGGACAGGTGTGAAACACACCAAAAACACCACAAGGTTGATGATAATTACTAGTAAGGAGCTTCTGTCTTCTGCTTTCTTTTTAGCACCGTTTTTGTGATTCAGAAGAATCCAGATGTTTTGGGCAGAGCAGAAAACTATCACTGAGAGTGGGATCAGAAATCCGAAGACCTCCACAGAAACAATATAGGGAATGCTCCAGGCCTGTTTTGACATGTTGTGAAAACAAAGTAATTCATCTTTCTCTTGAAACACGTACATCGGGCTGCTGCAAAACCAAGTTACTGCCCAGATGAAGCAGCAAACCAAGATTGCCCACTTGGGGGACTGGTTAGCCCGACCTTCAAATGGGTACCTTATGCAGATATATCGGTCAACAGTAATGCAGACAATGATGAAGATACTGCCGTAGGTATTGACAAAGTACAGAGACTGGATAAAGGCACACAGGAGTCCAGGTGCTGCTTTGGTAGAGTAGTACAGCTTAAGCGGGAGTGAGAGAAGCAGCAGGATATCTGCAAGTGCGAGATTGATCATGTAGACTGAGGTTTTGGTCTGTCTGCTCCAAAAGCGGCAGAATATGGAGAGGGCCAGGACGTTGAGAGGCAAGCCAAGAATGAAGGTGGGGATGGAGATACCATACTGGATGGTGTCTGCTAACTTGTCGATGACTTCAAAGTCACATTCCATGCTGTTGTTGGTCATTTCTCCCCTAAACCACACAGAAAACGGGTTGGAAATGTGTGAGTTTCACAGTTAATGCCTCAATATATCTCGCTGCATCTTTTGTCTAGGTACGAATTGAGTAAGCACATGTTCTAGCTTGTGTTTAACTTTCAGCATTGGTCAATTTGGGGGTTTACAAGTATTTTAATTTGCAGTCGATGATCTCAGATAATCTGGCAAAATTAGCAAATGAAAGGCAAAAATTAGCAAACGAAAGGCATTGCATCTTAGTAATACTTCTTTAAAAAGTATAATTTGTGTGGAGTAAGTATTATCATTCTTAAAAAATATACATATGCTTTAACAAACTATGCTCTAAATATCTTTTTCATAATCTCTTTAATAGAATCACAAATAATTCTAAATGAAGGACAAAAAATTGGAAGTTAAGGTTTCCAGTCCAGCTCAGCTAACCAAGTAGCTTAAAAGAAATTTTAGAAGTAAGTTTATAAGATGAACTTGATCAAGAAAGGATTCTCTCTTTGGAGGGCAGAAAGTGATGGGTAGCTGACAAGCACTTCCAAAATATGCTGGATTTTTCTAAAGAAAGAAAAAACAGTTGTTGAGAGAATTTTTGTTTACATGTCTGAAATACAAAGAGAGTGAAATAGAGAGCAAGAAAATCAGCTAAATACTAACCGAGGAAATGTCCGTGGGCTTTGCCAAATCTTATACCTCTGCTTTTCATGCAGATGTTGATATTATGCTGGAGTTCAGAGGTGGGGTGGTTTACAGCAGTCAGTGGGGCATAATGGAAATATCTGAAATGGATAATCTGGAAATATCTCTGTATGTGAACAGAGAATGTATTCAGAGTTTAACATGTTTATGTTGTGGAAATAAGATTATTTCCAGCTCAAACTACTGAAAGAACTGGCACACAAAGCTGAATTTCCAACCCAGGAGTTACGGAGTATATTATTGTTGTATCTGGAAAAAGATCAGTCTAGCCTATCTGTTTGAAGGAAATCGGGGCAAACCTGGTTAAAGCCGTTCTATAAGTCAAAGCTTTTTACAGATTTATAAATAAATACATAAAATAACTGAAAACATGGTAAACTAAATAAGGTTTGGACAGATCTTGCCAGACAATTAACTTCTTTGATGAAGAGTCTGCTTTTTCAGACATGGACAAGGCTAAAAGTTGAGGGTACTCACACTTTAGAGAAGTGCACTAGAAATAACTATAGCAATAGAAAAACTGGGGATGCTTTGAACAAGGGCAGCTAACTTTGTGATGAAATGGTTGCTAGAAGGCTGGTGAGGACTACGGGGAGGCAAGTGAGAGTTACTAGGGAGATGCACAAATTCAGGCATGTTAATACTTGGCAATGTCTCCCCTGGTGAACCCACTGCAGGCACGAGCATGACCTGTGGGCAGGATGAAGCAGGGAGGTGCTGTTGGTTATGGGGCCAGATCCAGCTGGCACCTCCAGAGACCTGAGGAAACAGCAGCTTTCCTTTGACCGTAGGAAATGGCAAAAGGAAATATGATCGTTAGCAGTGAATTTATGAATGAAATGAAAACAAAAAGAAAACCTTGATTTGTTAGTCTGAGATTGAGTCAATCCCTTTGAGGCAGCTACTCAGAAAATCTTGTGATCGTAGTACATGAGAAGTGAGACAACTCCGCTAAAGGTGGAGATGTATCGATGCCATATATACAAGGGAATGTCAGAGAGAGGCTGCTGTCACCTGGGGCCAGAACAGGTAAGATAGGAGTAAGAGGAGATAGGTAGGAGTAACAGGTAAGAGGAGATAGGGGTGTCATGCTGTTGTGTGAGCATGTGTGCCCTGTGAGCTGAAGAACCCATTTAGCTGGGGAAAAGTCTGATGACATGAAACATTTTGGGGGAGTGACAACACCTGTTGATCCAACACTTCATGTGCTACATAAATATACCAGAAAATTGTTCGTGGTGTCTCTTAAAAGTATGAGTTTTGATTCTGCTGCCACCAAGTTTCTGTCTCACCAAATGCTTTTTCTGTAGAATTCATTAGTACAAAATTATAGATAGCGTTGCTCTTGAAAATGGTTAGTTTCAGGAAGATGTTATCCAGCCTTTAAAGTGGTAATTTCAAGTATCTACCTGGAGTTCCTGATTCTCAAAAGCTTGATATTTTTAACCTTGTACTCAAATTTCATGTTATGAGTAAGCCAAGAGAATCGTTTGAAAACTATCCCTGTGAAGTAATACATCTGCCCAAGGTTATCTGAATGATTATTTTCATTGACACCTTGCAGTCATTTAATGAGCATCATCTTTATCATATTGGCCAAATTATTAACAAAAATACTGAAGCTGAAAGATACTGGACTGTACTTCACACATCTTTCCTGTACAACAGACTGATTAGTAGTCCTCAGTGGGTACCACCATGTTGCTTACTCATTTTGTAGAAGTTTCATACAGATCATGTTCCCTTCATCTGCTTGTGAGAATTTCTTTAGAGATAGTGTTTGAAGCCTGCTTCCCCCTCCCACACTGTTCCCCAGTGCTGTCTGTCTGTGATAGAAGAAAGTCAAAGTACTTCAGTTTCAGTTATTCTCAGACAAATCTGTGTGAATCGATACTTACTGCTGAGTTGTCTTCTGGGTGCTTGCAACAGATTCTTCAGTGGGTGATACAAATATTTTTCCAAATACTGAAGGCACCCTCAGTGATCTACCATTTCCCAACTTCTCCTTTTCCACCTTCTTAAGAGACAGGCAGCGTGTTTGCTCTTTCCCAGTCTTCTGAAGAAAACTCCTCTGTCCTCCAAGAGCTTCCTGAAGAAATTGCCTGCAGCTCTAGGATTGTTTCAGACAGCTTCTAGATGTCAAAAGATAATGTTAGAGTAGAGCGTGTGCTTAGCACTGCTAAAGGAAGGCAGTGTTAGCTGGTGCAGACCCGGTGCCGTCACTGCGCCGTTTGTTCTCGATTCTTCCTATCGAGTGAGGATTTTGCACTTCTTACAGACTAGTTAAAAATTAATGGTTTACCAATGAGCAGAAGCTAGTGGTTAAGCTAGCAGCAGATGTACTGACCTAGGAAATGGAATACCAAGATTTTATAGTATCAGCTTTGCTGATTTTGAGCCACGCAGCGGGCTGCATGAGTTGTTTTCTTTTTGCAGCTCAGATTTGAGTTCATCTCGCTCTAGCTTGTGATTCCCACAAATCTCGATGTTAGTACAGGTTGGGAATGATAGATTAAGTATATGGTTATCCTGAGAGCTTCACTGGCAGGAATATCCTCATCATAAAATCTATAACTTGCTCTAAGTGTAGGTGTAGCTTTAATAATAAGGAAATGTTAATCGTATGACAGAACACAGCAAACCAATCATTTTTAATCTGGCTACAATACAAAAGAGGAATGAGGAAAAATCAGGTCACAGCTTCAAGCAGGGACTTTTACAGTATTTACCATAATTACCCTTCTAATCAATTCAAACCAAGTAATGTCACTGCTATGATATAAATTACTCTTTTATGGTTGCTCAGTAGAAGACTAAGATGGCTGGGTGCGATAAAAAGTAGTCGGTCCCACATCTGCTATATATTTCATCTGTAGCTGGGTAATTTCTTACCATTTTATACTAAGATTTTGATTGCAACAGAACATACTAATGCTTATCAGTAAAACTAAAATTCTTTCTTTCTGCTCTAAGACAAATAACACTACATTTGATCTTAACTTTTGATCTTTATAATAAATACTTATCAGACTAGCTTAAAAATAGTGCTCTACAGTCTATGCTACTATTTGATTACTGCTATAAATTAAAATATGAATTATTTTACCTGAACCCTGGCAAGGAGATCAGCAGCATTGCTTCAGTCCAGGTTGTTGTACAGAGCATGACAGCATCTGCTTATAGACCATACCCAGAGGCTCCGTAGATGGCATAACCACATCCTTCTTTTCTTCTCTCTTTTTTTTTTTTTCCTATTTCAAAACACACTGCCCTGTGTTTCTTCATACAGACAAGCAAAGGTGAGAGAATTTAGAGGTTTTACTCCTCTACAGTTTCCAGTCACTGGGCCATATGTGGGTGTGTGTGGGCAGTTTGTCTCTGAAGCCAGATTTGGTTTCGGACTAGCCTTTATCTGGTGTGAAGCAGCTGAGAGCTTTTATGGGTTTGTGGTGGCAACCTCTAAACTGAAGATTGTTTCTTGTGCTGGAGGAGACATGGAATGACAAGTTGCAGGGAAGACTGTCATAGAAATAGGGCTTCTTCCCCCAGCTTCAATTTGCATAGTGGAGATCAGTAGTTCTGTACTCAGATGATTGTGAAAGATTCAGCTACTTACACACGTGCAGCTGTTAAACTATTTAAAGGGCCTGTGCTAGTTTTAGCCAATTCTGGTGTTTCATTCATAGTTGGGAGTTGACAAATATATGCTTGTTGGCAAGAGGAGTGAGGTATACAGAGTACTAAACTAGTGACTTATATGTGAGTCATACAGTGGACAGGACACATTTTTCCTGAAATGTGCTGCCTCTTGAGCCCACAGGACACATGGAGCTTCCCAGGCTTTTCCACCAGCAGCACTTTCCTAATGGAGCCTGAATATCTTCTTCTGCTGTGGGGAGAGGTAATTGTGTTTGCAAAGAGTGAACAGCAGCAATATGGGAGTGTTAATCCATTGCTGCTTTCAGGAGGGGATGCACAAGGGTGGAGCACTGCAAAGGACACAAAGCTGCTAGTCTCAACTCCTGGCCAAATGTGCTTTGGGGGGGACTGGTGTCAAATGGATGTTCATGGTTACATAAAGTGAAATAACTTAGTCGAAATAAAAAAATTACTGTTGTTCAATGACAAATGACATTCTCTGAAATAATAATTCTATCTTCATGCAATAAAACTGACCCACTAAGTATGGAATTATATATATATATATATGTCATATGGACGTTTCAAATGTATGAGTGCAGGTAGTCTCCTTCTGGACCTCCTGTGGTTGGAGAGTGAAACTTACCTGGTATTGCTGAGAGCCACTCTTCTGAGTTGTGATAAAAACGGGCTGCTCATTTAGCTTACACAATGCAATCCTTTGTTGAGCCAGCAAATATAGGAAAAAAAAATAGCTCTAAGTAGCTCTAGGTGACATTTTTCAAATTGCCACCTAGCTTTGGAGGTAATTTAATCTTTATAGGAAAGCTCTGTTCTTCCCACAGGAATAGTAGCAGTAGCATTTGTACCACAAGACTTGGAGAGAGAAAAAAAAAAAGAAAAAGAAAAAGAAATTTCTTAACACTCTTTTTCTAAAAAAAAGAGTTTTTTCTCCAAAAAAAAGTAGAACTCAAACAAAGCTTGGGTTAACCTTGTAACAAAATCACGTGGCAGAGGAAACGAAGCCAGCATGATTCATATCATTTGGGAAATGGGTTATAGAACTGGAAGGTCTGAAGGGCTTTACTACTTCTGTCTTCTCAGAGCTCTGGGGTAGCTGTGAGTCTCAGCAACAGCTTGTGATGAGTCTGAAAGCATGAAAAAAAATCTGAGTGCAACTCAATATTAAAAATGCACTTTTATACTCAGTGCTGCCTTCACTCCCAGGACTGGGTTCATTCCTCATGGCTCTATGAACTTCCCATTTGGCGTCACGTAAAGAAGCAGAGCTAAAAAATCAGCATCTCTGCACACATCAACCACACGTTTGCTAAGCTGGCAGTTTGCTTGTGATATGTGTGGCTTCATTGCTTGTATGTAAGCAATTAATTTGGTGGTAGGCAGATAAGTTATGCTTTTGCAGACTGGCTCTTGACTGTTTTGAATTAGGACAGCTTTAATCTAGAGCATGTTTAATGAGGGCAAGTTGTGAATGACTCACTCCCACACCTGCGGACAGATTATCAGCTAAGAAATTAGAGCCCATTTCCCCTTCTCTTTGGTGGCTGCTTTTGTAATTTTTCCCAACAGGTGTGGTAGATGAACATGCTCAGCAGGGAATATTTCTGTGAGCCCTTTGTGTTCCAAGTGCCTTTATCACACAGCCCTCCTGCTTACTAAATGCTGAATTCCAGAGACCCAGGCAGCTACAGGGCTCTGAGGTTTTTGATGGAAAGGAGATGGGAGGGTATTGTTTGTTTCAATTCTTTTTTTTCTTTCTTTTTTTTTTTTTTTTTTAAATTAACCGCATAAATGTGGTAGAGGTATATTGCTCGTCCTGCCTAGAGACAACGGTCTTGTCAAGCTTATTTTGCCATTGTTGCCTTTCAGCTAGCAAACAAATAGTGGTTGGTGGGAAAAAGAAGAACCTAAAGAAAAGTCTGCATAACTAAAAGGGAAGTATATGAGCAAACAACTTATATGGCAAAAATAAGTTGTTTTTTTGTTTTGTTTGATTGTTTTTTGTTTTTTTTTTTTTTTTTTCTTTGTAGAAACTGATGAGTTTTCTCCATGTTTCTCTAGGTGCAAGTGCTGCTCTTGCTAAGCCAGGCAGTACCTGTCATTTTCAAGGAATCAAAGACTGTTTCAGAGGAAACTTGTTCATACAGTGCAAAACCACATACGTTTGCATTACAGCAGCTTGAATTCTGCTGTTCTTTTTTAATGGAAAATATATCAAAACAGCTTTGCAGTTCTGCTTTCATAAATGTCTAAAATACATGTTTGCTTGTATTTAATGGCCAGAATGGATTGAGCTGGGTTTCAGATCTAGAATTAGTATGCTCGAGTGCAAATTAATCAAATTTCAAAGGTGGGGTCTGATGTGTTTCTGTGCCACTCCAAAGGCAAGTGTGACTTTCTGTTCTCCCAGGCAGCTATAAAACATAGAGTTACAGATAGATTCTATAAAACAAAAAGACTCTGGAAGAGACGTTGCTCAGTGAAGAGCTAGGAGGTGAGTGGAAAACTTCTTCATCCTTGTGAAGAAATAGAAGTCTCATCAGCCCAGACCTGAGTCTAAGTCTACCCCAAAGTCACGTTCAGTATTGTGCTGTGACTGGTGTCTGATATTTCGGTGTGTTTTTAAAGGTTTCAAAAACCGGACGGACAAACTGAGCTAAGCTAACAAGTTGTCTTGTTCTGGACAGGCTACCACAGCTTCTTGTTACCACAAAATGCTGAGATGTTCTAACTCCAGCTAATCAGCACACTCACGGAAAGGAGGACTACCCAAAGAGCCAGTGATGCTGTCTCCTACCCAGAAGATATACCTTGATGTTTCTTCTCTCTAAAGAACAGGTAAATTAAGGAACAAAATCAATTTTCCATAGCGACCTAGAAACTGTTCGTTGTATTTGGATTGGAACACAGTGTTTTCTTTATCTGGAGGCCTTTTGCTTCATGCTAGTGCTCATCACTCTTTCTCTGAGCTTGATAATCATTCAAAGTCTGTCTCACAGTAAGTTATCTTAATTGCACTGTTGGGAACTTTAGATGGAGGTTATGTGGCCTCATGTGGCCACTTTTCTGCAGCAAGTGCAGGAAACTGAAAAACTGGAAATCAGGAAGCCTGGCAACTGTTCTTTTATGGGGAGCAGCCACTTCCAGCCTCTGCAAGATGAGACAAGGACTTTTGACAGCAACAAATGTGGTTGTTCTTGGAGCTGGCCAGCTACTAGTATAGATTCGTTCCTGACTTCATTTAAGAAACCTTACAACGGGAAGTATTGCATCTTGAAAGGAAAGGAACTAGTCAACCTGGTGAGCTGTCAGACGCATACTGGAATGGTTGGCTGAACAGAACTACAGGAGTAATATTTTTGAGGTAAAAATAATATCTTCAGCTGTATCTGATACAGAAATTCACCAACAGGACACTAAGCACACAGGATAGCATCTTCCTTATAACTTTAAATGCCCACAGTCCACAGCTGAGGCACAGAGCAACTTGCACCTGTCTAAAACACTTCTGGTTGTGGACATACCAGTAAGCTATAACTTTTCTTGGGTGTTTATAGCCAGGGGTAGCCAGCCAAGCTGCGAGCTTAGCTTTAGTGAAATTGTGTAAAAATAAACACAGAGCTTCCTGTAAAAATGTGCTTTGCAGTCTTCTCCAGTGAGATTCACCAGCAGTGAACAGTGGCACTACCAGAGGAAATGGTAGGTGCATGCAAAACTGGGGTTTCAAAGGAAGCGGATGGCTAATTTCACAATCATCCAGTAGAAGAAAAAAAAAAAAAAAAAAAGGCAGCTAATAGTTAGAAGATAGACCACACAGCTCCTTAACAAACCGTCAGCATTCAGGCTCCCATGGGCTATAATGTCATACTATAGTGAAATAGGATACTTCTCCTGACTGGCAGTATGTGGTTATTAGACATTATTCTTATTCCTCACTCAGAGATTGATCAGATCAGAGAGTCATGCTATGTTCACTAGTCTACATCATATAACACAATATTCTGATAAATGGGGTATAGATTTTTTTTTCCTTAAAGAACCTAAGGAACCATTTTCTTCTCATCCCTTGCATTGCATTTAGTAATGAAACACATAACAAATCATATTGCATTTCCAGTTGTTATTATTTCCACTGTTGACTGGAATATCACCTGGTGGACATCAACAACCATTGCTACATGTCAGGCACAGAGGGTTGCCAGTGAAGGAAAGCAGCAGCAGCTATGCTACACTGCTCCTGCCTTGCACAGTCATTCCTGTACCTTCAAGCAGAGGGCCTCACATGAAAGGGTAGGAGCTACCTTGTCTGCAGGGTTTATGCACTCTGTGCTATGACTTCCTGAAATACCTATTTCTGTTGAATGGCTTGGACTGAAAAAGTGCTGACTTGTATGGAAACTGCATTTTTTCTGTTTTCTGTAACTTTACCTTATCCATATCTCCTCAGCACACAGAGTAGCATTTCAAGACCTGAAGCCCTAGACACCCAAGTCTGTAACTGCAATGGATTAGAGTCAAATGAAAATTACAGGTTGGCTGAAAAGCAACATTTCTCAGAATGGAGATGTACCCTAGGGTGATTGCAGGTGTAGTGAAGGTTGCTATCTTTACATTTATGATTTTTTTTTTCAAGGGTTCCACTTGGGCATTTTGTGCTTCACCATCCTAGAAGTATCAAAATGTTTATTGCCAGCAAGCTACAGCTCAAGGACAGGGTTAAAGTTGTGGTATCAGGTTTTGCAGTATTCGATGGAAAGGGGCAGGAGCATTGCTGCTTGAAGTTGGCTCGGATCCCCCTCTCCTCTCACTGGGTTCACCTCAAGTCTGGAGGGAGCAGAGAGTCAAGTGCGTCTTTTAGTGCCTCAGATATTGTTCTCATGTTTTCAAAAGCACCAACCACCAGAATCACTCAGTGCTGTAGAAGAGTGGAACCTAATGAAAGTCCTGGGCCAAGGCATGATTAATTGCTGTTATCTCAGCAGCACTGCAAAGTGTGTGTGTTTGCGTGTGTGTGCCATTCGCACTGTTTACCACCTCCCTTGTCCAGACTGAAAGGGATGTATGAGAGCATGAGAGATCAAGTTTGTGACTAATAGAACTGATACTGATCTCTTAGCAGTGATGACACAGCAGATTGGGACCCATCTCAGGCATTCAAGAGCATGAACATGAAAATTAGTATTGTTCTTTGTTATCACTTGGTTGAAGAAGCCTTACGGCTTCAACCTGAACAGCAAGCGGAGGAAACAGAAGCCAAAAATACCATTCTTCTAACAGTAATCCAGGAAACCTGTCACTAAAGTAATGCAGAACTATTTAATAGGAGCTCTTTCATCTGCCTTGTACCTGTGTGACATGAAAGTCTAAAATACTTTATAGCTAGAAAATGGATGGTTATCTCTTTCCTTCTGAGGCAATGCCACTGAAAGGAACTAGCTGGCTGATTTCAGCAAAAGAGCACTAGATTAAATAGATATTATTATACTTTGAAGATCATCACTCAAAATATCTGCATCAAAATGCATTTAGATCATTGCAGAATATGTTGCCTCCATTACATTTAAAATATTATTCCGTGTTATAAATGTCTCAGTTGTTGTACTCTGTTTAAGGCAATTTGGTCACTGTATCAGGTTTGTGAAGGTCTAAAGCTGCTGATGGAGCAAGTCCAAATGTGAAGCCACAGATTGCAGCCTTTATCATCTCAAAACCCCCAACTCATTTTCCAAATTGTTGCAATGTGTGTAGGCTAGGTGGAAGCATCAAAACCCATTGCCCCTGAGCACGTTTGCTTACAGCGTTCCCATCCTGCCTTGGCACTGCCCTGTGGACATGTGAAATTCCTCAGCTACAAGAGAACGGAGCAGGTGGCATTCCACACAGCACACCTCGTGTGTTCATCTGCTGCTTGCTTGATGGGCAAAAATGCCTATGAAAGAAACAGGCAGTAAATAAGAGATAAATTATTTTCTCCAAAAACTCAGTGGGTCTTAAGTGACAATTATTCTGGCACTCTGTGGGAGAAAAAAATAAAGTAAAACGAAATGATACAAAATATTTCATTAATGTGTCATCTTTGCATTCAGGATATTTCCCATTTTAACTTATGTGTTGCCAAGTTGCCACTGCACTTTTATTGTTTTCAGACCTGTATGCGTTAAACTGTGCTCTGATGTCGGACTGAGCATGCCTTAAAGGACTGCAGAGAAGGGAGACCTGTTCTGGCACCTCGCAGTATAGCTAAAGCGAATGACACTGTCCTAGGGACAAGGGTGTTTGAGACATGAGCTGGGTCTTGTTTTTTATACTGGTATTGCCTCATCCAGACAATGGCAATCAGTGTGCCCATGGCTAACATGTTGGCTTAGCTTGGTTCTTTTCTTGAAGCTTCTGTACAAATTGCTCTGTTGCAACCAGAGTGCACTGTCAGGCTGCATTTGTCAGTGCAGACTCTTCAGTCTGTGTCATCTCCACTTGTCACTGAGATTTACGGGTATGAGAAAGAAAATGTCAACCTTGCTGTTGCCATAGTCGATCTGAGAGCTGCATCGTCGCTCTGCAATCTCTCCGGCAGAGTTCTGGCTTTCATCACTGAGTTACTTAACGTGGAGATGCAGGGAGTGCTGCTGAGAAACAGAAAGTGTCCATGAAGAGCTAGTCAGACATGAAAAAAAGAAGAAAGTTTAAGAAAATGCTTACAGGGTTTCCTGCATTTACTTGAAAGAAGAGTAGTTTTGGGTGGTTGCCTGTGTTGGTAGCAGAAACAGTACCCAACAGTGCCATCTTGGGGTAGTTTATGTCTATAAGCTGGACAAGAGTCATCACGGTGGGACTTGACTTTTTCTTTGTGTGGTTCTCCTTTTCTCCACAGATATGTATTTACACACACAGCATTATATGTATGTGTGCGTGTGTGTGTGTGTATCAATGCTGTAATTACTTACTAGTGGTAGTAACTGTACTGTGCACGCAGGTTGCATGCACATTTACTTTATGGACCTTATATTGATCTCATCACCTCATCTGCCCTACTTCACCAGTTCTTTAATAAGCTTGCTAGTCTTTGATAGAGGAAGTTCTGGAAAAAAATGGCTCTTTGGGAAAACACGTATCTGTTCTCCCATGGAAAGGGCAACAGAGCACATTTCCTCATTTATTCCAGCACGGAAGGGGTTTCACTCTGAAAAGATCTGACTCTCCTTGAATCTAGGATCTGAAGAGGACAGCAATGGAGGTAACTTCAGTAAGCTGTAGCTCATTTCTTCTTTTCCATATGCAACTAGCTATCTGTCCTTGCTATCAGACGCATGAGTAGTATGTAAAATATAACTGGTGGGGCTTGGTCTCAGGGGAGCTAGATACTTATCTCCTTCTGATTTGTAACGTTAGTGTAGCTGAGTTGATATGCTGTCTTTGTTCTGGCTGCCTGCCACTGACAAGTGTTTTACACACAAGTTAGTGCGAACAAATGGCTTCAGAAGTAAAACTGCACTTCATTTGAGTATAATCATGCCACTTACCATGATCACCTTCCAGCTTTCTGCTGCAAACCGAGTGCTAGAGATTTATTTGAAATTCTGAAAATGTCTGTTCCCTTTAGCACAGTTGCATTCCTATAAATAGCCTGTGTATAAAAGCCTCATAACATGAAGGGGACCAAGAAGGTAATTTGCAGGAAAGTGAAAAACCTCAAACAAATGAAGAGAGCTTCTCAAATTATCCAGTGATAGAATGGCAGAAACTATCACACATTCAGACTTTTTTGTTTTTTTTGAAAAGAGTGCAAAGCTAAGAGAAAAAAAAAAAAAAAAAGGCAAGTAATTTCACCAGCTGACTAAAATACTTCACTTGAGATGACAACATTTGAATTTCTGTGAACACGATCAGCTGCGGGTCTGATGGGCGGTCTCTGAAAGACCCAGCAACTATCTGAAGCCCACGGTGATCCAGCTTGCCTGCTGGTCTTTCCCGTAGGAGGATTGCTAAGACCAGGGTGGTTGTTCTGAGGTGACCAAGAAACTTGTGAAGATAGGCCAAGAATGTAATAGTATTGCTGCCTTGAAGTCTTGTGCTTTTGGATTCCTTGCTGACCCCAGGGGTTTGCATAAATGCACCATGAGTGACATATTGTGGTCTTGGGTAAACGGGTCTTCAGATTCGTAGGGTGGTGCTTGATGGACCAGCACTCATCAGCCACCAGTGTAATCAAGGCAGGTCAGACAGCTGGAAAATGCAATCTCCAGCATTGCTGATGTGATGCTGGAATTCACTTTTCTAGGTGAGAGGAAGATGTTCCTTTGAAAACCGTTTCACTGAGTCTAAACCTGCAACTAGATTTGTTTTGCAGCACCCAGATATGCAGTGGCAACTGGGCAGATATGCAGATATTTCTCCAACTCCACCTTAAATCTGCAGTGCTCCTCGACACTAATGCCAAGCACAACAAGCCTTTGCACCCCAGAAAACAACCTGAGAGTCATCTCCTGGCTTGAAGGAGCAGGGCTTCCCTGAGATGCCTGCAGCAAGTGAGACGGGGGGCTTGCAGCCAGCTGGAGTCCGGACACAGCTCAGGGCTAGACCCTCTGCTGCTATGGAACAAAGCTGCAGAGGGCAGTTTTGGCACAGGGGACTTGTTAATCAGCACTAATTAAAGACAAGAACACAATTTGGTCATCACTTTAGCCTTGACAGAGTTTTCCTGGTGAAATGGGAGCCCCCTGAGAGGCCCTGGGGTGCCCAGTTGTGCCAACACACTGTACCTCTGTGAGACTTGTCATTCCCCATTGTTCAACACACACATTTTCAACTGAAGTTAATTTAACACCAAACTCTGTTGCCTCACAGCTTTGGTATGAAAAGGGCAGCGGTATTGCTTGTGTTTGCACAAATCGTGGTACAGCATCTGCTGTGTCTCTCTGATCCCTTGCAGTGGCAGGTAGAAATGCTGAGCTTTTGCCACCTGTGGGAAGGGGCTTTACCCTTCCCCTGCCACGCATCTCTGAGAGCTTGCAGTCAATAAATCAGTGCATAAAAGAACAAATGTAATGAATATGTGAAAGAGCGGTAGGTAGTATGTTCAGATTTTTATTTAGTCTGTCTACTAATAGGGGCTAGGATAATTCATAATACTGCAAAACAAATGGATGTAGTTAATGAACGTATGCGCATACTGTATTATAGCAATGTTTCCTTATGTTGTTATGTGTTACGAAAATGACTTTCTCTTTTTGCAGCTTCCGAATATAAATATTTCAAATGGTGTTGACAAGTTGGATAAATGGTTTGGGAAAGACAGAACATAATGGAGCATAAGGATGTATGCATAGTTTTACACATATGATCTGGGACTTTGAGTATCTTGGAAATTGAGTATGACTGGAAATGAAATGGAAGGTTATGTAGAAAAAAATCCACATGATTATGGAATATACAGTTTTTGAAGGTTTTAGAGAACTGTATTCAGTCTTGGGTCACTCTCACACCAAAAAAAAAAAAAAAAAAGAGAAAAAAGAAAAAGCAGCCCAATTCAGGAGAAAGTCTGAAAAACAGGAGCAAATACAGTGAGTTACTTCTGAAATGCAGACATAGCTGGGGGTACTTACAGTACAAATGTTGAAGTGTGGAGGGCATAAATAGGTCTTCAAATATGTAAATGGCAGCTATTAAGATGAAGGGAACAAACAGTTTGCTACATCCACTGCAGATGGGAAAAGAAATATTGGCTTTGTACTGCAGCTGGAAATAGTCTGCTTAAAAATTAAAATAAACCCTTTCAGCTGAAGATAGCTGATCAGTAGAAACACCACTTCAACATCATCTGTGAGGTGCTAGTGGGAGTAGGTTAGACAAACTTCTGTTCATTATAACGTGAGAATGAGACAAGACTGGGTTGAATTAGAGATATTTCCCTGTGTAATGTGACAGCTGTACACTGAGGGGTGCAGAGAAGACCCTAACTATTAGACACTGAATGGAAATCAATGTAATCCCAGAGCAGCATCAACTCTTACCTTGGTATGAGTCCTCCTTATTTTCTGCAAGTTGGCAATGGGCTTGTACCAGATGATGTCATTGCTGGTTTACTTTATACTGCAATAATTTATAATTTAGCACTGATTTGCTCCCTCATCTGAGCCTTGGCTACAGCTGACTGGAAGTCAGCAGTCAGTTCCTCCCCACAATATACTTTATAAAAAGAAACACAGTATCAGAGGTCTACAAAAAAAGAAAAAATAAAGGGGAGGGAGGGGGGGGGAAGAAGGCTGTGGCAATGAATTAATGTCAGTTTTCTTCAGATACATCTTTGCCATGTGTTGTCTGTGGATGAAGGTGCACTCCACTGAAGCAGTCCTTTCTGAGCTACTGACTGGAAATTGAGGTAAAGGAGCCTGTATCTTATTTTTATGTTATAATTTTAAAGAGCTGGTTTCAGGGTATTAGGTCAAACTTTCACTGCTAATTCTGCCTGGTTAAAAAGAAAAGGTAATATCCAGTGCATGGAGCTTTTTCTGGTTTAAAAAAAAAAAAAAAAAAAGATAATCATAGAATGGTTTGGATTGGAAGGGACCTTAAAGATCATATAATTCCAACAGTGAATTGAATGAACAGTCCTTCGATATCATTTTGTATTATTTAATTGCTGTTTAAACACCTGTAAGTATATTATTTTACTGTGAAAAGCACGACTGCTGTAGAAGGTAAGGGTAGAAATACCATGCAGCTACTATAGGTATAGATGGCAAATCTGAGGTTTGCTCCTTATCATTGACTCTTCCCTGGTTTGTCCGTATTTCGTCTAGCATGGATAATAATCTAGTCAATAGCTGCAAACAAAGGTACCTGCTTAACAGGAAAAGAAACACGTAAATTTAAACAGTGAAATTTAGGAGAACCACTTAGGATAAACACTGTGATTCTCCTCTGTCGTACTGAATTTGAATGAATTTTAACAGTTTGCCCTGTTCTGCTGCCTGCAGCTGTGAGCAAATTAATGATGGCCAAAGTGTTGTTTGTAACTGTTATCACTTCATCTAGCATTTTCTTAGTATTTGAACAGCATCATCGCATCAACCCCCTGATCTAGACCAAATGAGGATGTGTGGTAGGTATGAGCTCTATGGCAGACGGGTACTTCGAAATTCCCCTTTGTGGCCGGGACACCTCTGTGAAACCCAGGCGCAGGCAGACACCTGCTGTGGTTTCGCTGTCTGTAATTCCTCTGTGCGATTGAACTGTCTGCTGTGGGAGAGGGCAGTTTTTGTGGCTATAGCTTGCCTAGAAAGAGTCAGGCAAAGCCAGTGTTATTGCCTGCAAGCAAGGGGAAGCTGAGGCAGCAGCACAGCAGTCTGTCATGTGCGGGGGGGAGAGGCAGTTGTTGGAAGGAAGGTTTGTGTGTGTGTGTGGACATGTGACTGCAAAAAAAATAAAAACAACAACTTTAGCAACACAAGGGAAGAAACATAAAAAGAAAGACAAGGAAAATAGCACAGAAACTTAAAGAGAAAAAGGCATTTCTTCATATCTCCCCTCACCCATTTAAAAACACAGTAGCAGCTAGGGCAAGCTCGTCCAGCCTTGCCAGAGCTCTATTAACCACACCGTTTTCTTTCCGATGCCTCTTTGCTGGCACGATGTGAAAGTGACCCACTTCAGACAGGCGAAGCAGAAGTTATTATTTTTAGCCTCGTGCTGAAGCTAAGCCTCCGGCCCTGTGGCGAGGGCAACTGCTCCACCCAGATCCACAGCGGCTGCACTGCTACAGCAGTGGTGCACACACTGGCTCCTGTCACTGCAGACGTCTTTGGGAAGGAGACAGCAGTGGAGTCCGAGTGTCATTTGCTTATTTTCACACGCAGGCACACAGGCTTTGCCTGCACATTATACATTATATTTATTTATTTATTTATTAATCTAGGTGTTGATAACTGAGTGACATTTGTTACCGGGTGGGAATGCCAGGGTAAGACCTAGGGCTGGGCAGGTGTTTGTGAGGAGAAAGGTGCAGCAGGTGAGGCTGGCCAGAGCTGGCCTGCAAACGTGAGAGCTGCTGCGTGGAAACACAGCAGCTCCATGGAAATGGCACTCAGACAACGCGTGGTTCATCCTTGTGAAGTCACTTGTCACAAAGTGCCTGGGCGGCTGTATGCTTTTGTGGTTTGATGGACTCGAAGTGGCTGAAGGTGCCTGGGTCTGGCAGGACACGGGGCCTGGTGGCCCCAGCCCTCAGCAGCTGGCCGTGCTGCCGCTGGCATGGGCACTAGCTGAGGGCCAGGTGCATCACATCAGTGACATACCAGGCCTTCCCAATACCATTTCAGTGTTTTTTTTTGTTTGTTTGTTTGTTTTGTTTTGTTTTCCTGCATGCAGAATGTTTGCTATTGCAGACAAAGCTTCTCCAGAAGCCAGCAAATACATCCTTATCACTGCAGTAGAAACATGCCTGTGAGAATTTTCTGTTTAGAGCAGCATTCAGGAGAAGGATGGGAATTCTTCTGAGAAATGCTATTTCTTGTTTAAGGGTACTCCCTGCTGCCCACCCTGTCCCTCATGGAAGCGAGCAGAGTAAGAGCACAAAGCATTTCAGAGGACCTGAATGTTTCATGCATCAAAACTGAAGCTTATGGATAATTTGTCTCACACACACATTTCCCTTACCCCTTCCTTTCATTTAACCCCAAATTCGGTTTCTCTCTTTCCCCAAATCCAGTTGCTTTGCAGTGAGCCAAGGTCTTCCAAGTCACCCACGCTAACACCTGTGGGAGGGAAGAAACTGTCTAAAAACAACATTTAAAGTTATTTTTCTCTTCCAGAGATGTTAGATATATCCATTCAGTACAGATCATGGGGTTAGCTGCATGAGTGCCTCTACATGGCATTTCAGAGTAAATCTCTGAGTAAACGTGCAAATCTCATCTCTCATCTGAGTAAAAGTGCAAATTCCCAGGGACTCTCTTTTGGGCTGAGTGGAAGTTTGTCCCCAAATTCCTTTTTCTGCTTTCCAAAGCCAACCTCTGCCTTTCCCGTGTCCGGTGTGCCGGAGGCAGCTGCAGAGAGAGGTCAGGTTTCCCTCTAGTGGTTTGACGCCCTCTTTGCAGCCCCTGTAGCATAACTGTAACTTGGGCCTTTCATGTTTCAGAGCACATCTTTAGCTTTTGCCAGCTGCCGGTGGGTGCAGATGTTTCCCACTCAGAGCAGTGTCCAGCTCAGCAGGATCTACCTGGTGAGCGCTGGCTGCAGCTGGCCTCTTGGTGTGATGCTGCACCAAGCTCTGGCAGATCAGGCAGATACGTGCTGTACTGTGCTGCAAAAGCTGGATGTCAATAGTGTGTTTGGATTCTTAATTTTTAAAATAATTTTATCTACAGAGTGATTCCATTTGCTCATTGAAGGAAAACCAACCAACCACAGACCCCAGTAAGCTGGAAAAAGCATCTGGTGGGCTTGCAGCCCTTCACAGCAAGGATGGCTTTCTCTTCCAGCCTTGCAGTACAGTTCCTGTGCCCTGCAAATCTGACTTTTCCTGGGCTCAGAAGCTGTTCTTACACCAGTGTTCAGAAACTGGAAAAGTCTCTGGGGAGGTGACCTGTACTTTGAGAGCCTGATTCCCCTGAGACCCTCTTCCTCACAGTCAGTAGGAGAGGCAGGGGGTTCATGCACTTACACTTTTTCTCTGGGTGCCCACAAACAAGACCTCTGTACTCACAGAGATCACTGATATTGTGCGTCAGAGTTAAATCTGAGCCAAAGGAAAAAGCTCTGGCTACCAGCGGCTGAAGCAGATGTTCCTGAAAGACCCAAGAAGTCTAGGAGCACAGGTCATTCAAGCACTTGTAAAAGTAGCTTTATCACCTATGCAGTGATTAATCTCTGCATTGAAAACAAAATAAACCAGCCAAACAAAAACAAAGTAAAAAAAAAAAAAAAAAAAAAAAGCCTACTTCAAGTCCAGAAGTTCCAGCTGGAGAATGTTTACTAGGCCTTCAGGCTCGTGCAGAACATTTTTGAATCAGGAGCTCCAGAAAATTAAGCAATTTATATGAAATAAGGTGTATATTAAACTACCTATACCCTCTGTTCAGAAACATTAGTCATGGGGAACTCCTAATTTCTCTAGTTTTGCAAATCTTATGCATCAGGAACTGAGTTTATGTAGAGGTTTTTTGTCCTTCCCTTTTTCCGTGCCACAGCCTCTGTTGTTTCTCCATCACTGTCTCTCTCATAGATGCTTACTTGCTTTCTGTTCCCCTTACATCCTCATGTCACACTGCTACTGTTTGTCTGCTACAGCACAGGGAAAAAAAAAAACAGAAAAAGGCAGTATTTTCTCTCTTTGGTGACTGATGTGTTATTTTACTTTTTACTTGGAGACTGAGGGTTGCATTCATAATATTTATTCTCCAGTCAGTATTGTAACATAGCACTGAACCATAGAATATCCCAAGTTGGAAGGGACCCGTAAGGATCATTGAATCCAACTCCTGGCACTACACAGGTCTACCCAAAAACTCAGACCATGTGACTAAGAGCACAGTCCAAACACTTCCTAAACTCTGACAGCCTTGGTGCTGTGATTACATCCCTGGGGAGCCTGTTCCAGTGCGTGACCACCCTCTCGGTGAAGAACCTGTGTTGACGTGGGAGGGATGGGTGAAATTTAACCAGAAACAGCACTAATTGCTGCTTTTAGAGAACAGCACTGGATTTTCATGAAACCAAGGCTCCCTAATGCTTGTGTCAGCATGGTTTATAAACATGTTTAACAAGAGGGGTAAATACAGTCCTGAGGAAAAGCTCTGGCATCTGCTGCTCTGATCCTTGAACACACATTGGTAAAAATAAATACATTTTTTTTTTTTTAAAAAAGGCTTGCATAGCTCAGCCCTTTGCAAGTTTGCGGCTTAAAACAAATGACCACGTGTTTTAACTTCTGTCCTGGCATAAATTCACAGTGATGATTCTGTTTGTCAGCATGCTCACACCGCCCGTATTTATTTAACAACTGCGGTAGCAGGTTCACAGAGCAGTCAGGCCTCATGAAAAGCTCCCTGACTGTGGTGTTCCTTTTCTTAATAAGACTAATCTGACCTTTACATCTAGGATTTAGATTAGGAAAGAAATGCATGTGAGAGTCAGTGCCAAAGGCAGGTAATGGTTGGGTACTTCTTGTTTCTGGGTTTGCTGTGTGTGTGTTTTGCTTTCTATCAGCTCATTTTCTGCTGCAGCTTTAACATGTCAAAAAATGTCCTGGGCAAGAAAGTGTGGCCCCCACAGGGACTGGATGCTTGACACTGCTCAGGATAACTCCAAGTAGCAGTGACCAGGTCTGGCCACCAGAACGTGCCCTGAAATGAGTACTGAAAGGTTGAGCTGTTTCTGGGGTCATTTACAGAAAATAATTAAATGAAGGGTGAGGGGATGGGGAGGAGACTTCCCAGGATATAGAAAGGATGGGCCCAAAAGCCTGGTAGAAATGCTGGTGCATCTTCTAAAGCATACTACTTTTCTTCCAGTTTGGTGGCCACATCCAAGAACTTGCCATGCATGTGGATCACCATTCCCGTGGGCAGAAGGTAGGTTAGTTTTCTTGGTTTTATTATTATTTTCTTTCTTTCTCTCTGTTTTCCTCGTGTTCATGGAAATGGTTGCTGTGTGTGACTTTCCTCGCTGGGCACCCTGGGGCAGGCAATGGCAGGCTGGGAAAGGCTGCCCCACGGGCACGGCACCTTCCCTGCTTCCTCCAGCTCTGGCAGCCTGCATTGCCTCCTCACCCTGGTTGTGTCCAGGGGAGGGGAACCCTCTGGAGAGGGGATCCCCCTCGGCAGGGGAGGACGTGTGGTTTTGGCAAGAGGCTGGATCCTGCACGGCCATCCACAGGCAGGCCAGCCCAGCCTGCCGTGTATGGTGGCAATGTAGGACAGACAGACACAGCCTGGGTGACCCTGCCGAGAGCTGGTTTTGCTGGGGACAGAGCCACCTGAGGATAGAAAGCTTCTGAGAAGTAATTGCCGGGCATACAGAAAGCAAAGCTGTGCACGGTAAGCTCTCTGGAAAGGGTAATTGCTAATGCAGAAGTTTCTGAGGTTAGATATTCCCGTGGGTCCTGTACCCCCAGTTCTTTCCTCTGTGACAGTGATATAAGGCATATAGGCAGCTTCTTGTTGTGGCAGGACAGTCATGGGGAAGTAGTAGTGATCTGATTTACCATAAAATTGTAGGTGAAAGAAGAATCCCTTCCTTCCTGCTCCAAGATCACTCCTGATCTTCAGCAGCAATCCTGACCAGGCTGCCCTGCCCGTGATGGCTGCTGAGCAGTCACCCGTTGGTGCCTCTGTGCTGTGAAACCAGATAAGGTTGTACAGTCCCCTTCCTTCCGCCCCCTAGGGCTATTCTCAGAAGAAATTGTTAGATAATATTTGTAACAGGCAGAAGTGTAAACATGTTAACTTAAGCGAGTCATGAAATAGCTTTGGCAAGGTGGAGGAACTGTGCAACCCACGTGGAGTGTGCGTGCTGGAGCCCAGCCCTCCTGAAATGTGCTGTCTCCATGGTGGAGCTGTGATACAGAGCCTCTCCGATGGGAAAGGCTGGTCCTTCAGTTCTTGGTTGGTGCAACATGACTTTGGTGGAAATGTGGTGTTTCTGAGCTCATTTTTATGCATTAATACACTGGCAAGGGGTAAACCATGTGACTTTGGGGCCTGCTACCCACAAGGGCAAAAGACCTACAAACTTGCTGTTGCAATTTTTGAGTTTGATAAAAGTTATGCGTGAAATATCTGTGCCAAACTTCCACCCAACATGAGGCAGGAGGCCTGGATTGAAAGCTGAGGGCCAGAGAGGCAACAGCATGAAGGTTTTCCTCCATCCTGGTAGGAAAACGTCACCAGACAGAAGCTGCATGAGAGTTTTGACGTCGGTAAAGCTACCAGCAAATCACTGCCAGCATTTCTGAGATACAGGGCTGCAGCTGCTGCAGCCTCTTAGCACCTTCACCGAAGGCAAGGAGTACCTGGGGTCAGACGCTGTCTCCAGCGCTCACTGCCCCGGACAGCTCATCCCCTCAGAGTAACCCAGAGCTGTTTCTGGGCCCTCATTCAGGACTTGTAGGAATGCTCCCATCTCAGGCTAACAATTGTGAGCCACCCTGATTTTCGCTTCCCCAGAAGTGCCCTCTTTCTTTCTTAGACAAAAGCGTCTGAAGCATGTCACAGCTTTTCGGTGAGAGCTTTCACACTTTCCCCCCCCACACCTGACATTCAACTGAACTCTCATTTTTCAGTCAGCTGTCCCGACGCTGTACTTGGCAGCGGGGTTCAGTTTAAGTGTAACAGTAACGGAAAGCCCCGGGCAGGAAAACTGCTGTGAGACATTACTGAATCTCTGTGAGCAACAACACGAATGCTGGAGGGAGTTTTGGACGTGCTCCCACGCTGTGTCTGTGTCCCAGCCTGTGCCCTGCAGCAGCTCCGTGCATGCTTTCAGGTGACTCTTTTTTCTTTTTTTCTTTCTTTTTTTGTAACCAATCCCTTCAGTGCTTCTGAAGGGGATGAAACTGGCTATGTCCAGCTCTGTCATGGGTTTGTAGAATCGGAATTAATGTCACGTAGGAGATGCCAGTGCAAGACGTTGGCGTCTGCCTGTGACTGCTGGAGGGATGCCACGGGCGGCCTCCCAAGGGCAGGATGTGGTCGTGCGTGGCACAGGCTGCTGGCCTCGCACCAGTGCTCCCACTGCTTGGAAAGCACAGGGGTGGTGATGTCCAGACTTGGCACCAGATAAATCTGTCAAGTCCACAGGGCAGAGCACATCTTGTGCTGAGGAGGTAAAGTTGTGCATATTCGAAAGCTTGGTGGGGGTGGTGAAATCACCAGGTTTGTACAGAGAGGTCAAGGCAAGCCAAGCAAGGCCTGCCCCACTGTTATGGTTATGGCCCACCTTTGGGTGGGGTGGGGCTGGCTGCTTTCCAGGTGGTGGTGGAGGAATCAGTGTCTTGTCAGCAAATGCTCACATCCCCCTCATCTTCTGAAGATTTCTGAGTTCATCAGAAACATCAGGAGATGGCAGATTGCTGCTGCTTCCTCACTGCTTAATACATCCCTTAGTCCTTCTGTGTTGGAGAGCTCAGCCAAGTGCTTATGGATGCAGAGGACAGTTCTACTAAGGCAGCCAAAAAGCTCCAGGTAGGGAGAAGTAAAAACAAACAAGCGAACAAAACCACAGCAACGTAACCACAAGAAGGTGAGCAAACAGAACAGCACAATCCAGCATTCTGTCTGGGGACCTGGAGTGGGTTTCTCCATCGTGCACGTGGTGTCTGTGCCAGGTATCGCAGCCCCAGCACAACCAATTACTGCCCTTGTATAGCCCCTGCTCAAATAGTGAACAGACGTTTGGTTCCTATTTTGGAAGGACAGTATCTTTTTTGATACCGAGACCTGCTTTCCCTCCTGTTTGCCCTCACTAACCAGCTGCTCCTGGGCAGTCATTAGAAGCGGCAGGGGTCCTGACCAGATCTGCTGTGGTGGTGAAGACCATTCCTGTGCTCCTTGCTCAGCATCATCCTGCACCAGCACAACCCACCCATCTCTTCCACCGCCCTCCGAGACTTCCTCCCTCTCCAGCCCCCAGAGAGCACCTGAGGGCTTGCTGCCACACAGGGGCTTTGATGTGAGGTTTCTGTGGTTAGGAAGTTTGGCCATCTTTGACCAAACGTTGACAGTATGCCTTTCTGTGCGAGTGGCTGCTAGAGAAAGGGGTGTTACTTGGAGCAAGATGGGTTAACAGAATCTGCTCAGAAATGGTTTTTTTATAGGCAGCTTTGTGTCTCCTCCACCCATGTAATTAGTGGTTACTGGAGAAGTTTTTTTTTTTTTCTTGCTGCATCTAAAATAGCTGTTTGGTTTGTGCAGTACTTTCACCTCATGTTGGTGGGACGGAAGGTGCAGAAAAAGACACGCTAGCAATCAGGTAATCTTTCAAATCACTGATCCCTCTGCACACAAATCCCACACAGGGTGTGTGGAAATCTTAAAGATGTGTTTAGTTTTGCTTGGAAACAGTCCATCAAATTAAAGAGGTATTCTGTGCATGTGTTGCCCATCAGCACACAGGTCCAGCCGAGGCAAAGACTGAGCCCTGCTGCACCAGTCTCAGCAGTGTGGAATCAGTGCCAGGGCCGTGCTGCACCTTGGGCTGGGGCAGAAGATACCCATCTGTGCGTGCACAGTGCTGTTTGTTGCTGCTTTGATCTTTGTAAAGAAAAGCTGGGGGAAGATGGGGTGAGAAAGCAGCCTCCTTAAAAGGTCTATTTTGTGATCAGAACCTCCTATAAACCCCCACCCTCCTGTGCTGTGAGCAAAGGCTGGACCTTGCTCACAGATTTTCGTGGTGACGGAGCAGATTTCCCCATTTCTGCCCGAATGAGAAGCCTGCATCCCCCCCCAAGAAGCTGCCAAGGCTTTGATCTCATCCTGTATGGGCTTTGCTGGGCAGCAGTGCAGCCACTGCCCAGGTGAACGGATGGCTCTGCTCAGTGGTTGTCTGCAAAAGGGCCTCTCCTTGAGCGGTCTCCTCCTTTCGGCATGTGCCTCGAGTAGGAGATGTGGAAGCTGCGCTGGGTGTGGGGCTGTGAAGCTGCTGCGGTGGCAGCAGGGCTCAGCCCAGTGCCCACAGGCAGCTGGGAGCCCAGCCCGTGCTCAGGAGATGTGGGTGGAGGTGTGCACCTGGTTTCTACATCCTATCTCGGGACATCTATGTGCTGCCTGAGCATCGTTACAGGGGCTGCTTAGCCATTTTACCTACTCAGCTCTTTGCAGGTGAATGCACTATGGGGTGGCCTGCCTCTGAAGATCCCAGTCTCCGTAGCAGCTCGTACTCCTTGCCCCTTGCTTGGACAGCAGAGGCAATGAGCTCCCTCCCTGGGGACCAACCAGATCCTATAACCACTAGATCCCCCCTGTTTCCATTTAACTCATGAAGAGATGGTGCTCTGTGCCGGTAACACAATTTTATTTACATTGGATACTTTGGAAAAACATGCTGCTACTTTCTCTAGACAATTAATTGCATTATAATGTTGAACAGACTCCATTTACAGTGTCCTCGTTCCCACCCAGCCACCCCAGCTCTTTGGATAGTAGTTTTAATGTCATTTGACTCAAATGCACTCAGTGTGAAGCTTTTCCCCCAGTACAAGTAATTGCAGTTTCTTCTGACCTCTTCTTGTAATTTAGGACCATTTTGTAGCTGTTGTATGGTCTGAATTATGCTGTAAACTTGACGAAAGCAGGCTACATGTGCCTCTGCTACTGCGATTTTGCATTTATAACTAAGAAAAGACACCTGTTACACAAACACATCCACCTTTTTCTGCAGTTGTTTCACTTTGAGTTCGTTTTGGTTTTTTGATACTTGAAAAAATCTGTTTCTTTGTCACAACTGCATAAAAGCCGGCCCTAGACAGGGGGATGGACAGAAGAAACTTTTACCATTGTCTGTACTTGTTCGGGGTTTTGGGGAAAAAATTGAGTTTTTGCAGTAGAATTCTACCATTTTACTCAAATTTGCATATGACAGAGAATTGTAGTGGTAATCTGGGTTGTTGCATCATGATATGGGCTGCTGTGGTTGTCTGAATCAGGGCTGACTTTCATTTATCTGAATCCTTCCCATTAGCAGGAAGTTCCTCCATCACACTCACATTAAAAAAAAAAAAAAAAAAAAAAAGTTTCAACACTTTCAGTGTTAATATTGAGCCTTTTATTGAGTACCAGTTGCATATGGAGACACAATGTGTGCCGCATGCATTTTATTCTAATATGTGGAAAGATGAATTTCAACATCTTCAGTGGATTCAGATTTGGACTTCACTAGCTTGGGAGATGCTTCCTTAAATTCCTTGTTTACAAAGTAGTAACAAATAGCATCAAGGCAGCAGTTTGTATTTGCAAGGACCGAGGCAAGGTGAACAAAGTTGTTAACCCTCTGTATGGCAGGGCAGCTGGAGCTGATGGAGTCCATTATAAAGCGAAGGAGATGTCCAAAGTAAAGAGGCAAAAAGCATATGGTGAACACTGCCATGTTTGCGGTCACAATGTAGGCAGCCTTCCTGATGAGCTTTTTCTCGTGACAGTTTTCATTCTTCTTTTTCAAGAGTTCTGCAATGACTTGTACGGAGCAATAAATCACAATGATCAGTGGTATGAAAAACCCTCCAATGATAACACACAGACCAGTTACTGAGGGCTTAACAGAGGATTTTTCGAAACAAAGTTCATCTTGCTCTCGATTCTCTATCATTTTAATAAGGGACATCACAGAGATGGTGACTATCCAAAGAAATCCACATGCAAAAGATGCCTGCACTGGTGACCTCAGCACTTTGGCTTTCAAAGGATACTTGATGGCAAGGTACCGGTCGGCTGCCACGACAGTGATGATACTGGTGCTCATTAAGCGGTTTATGAAATAGCCACTTTCCAGAATCAGACACCATCTACCTGCCTTCATGTGTTGGAAATTGGATAATGTTTTAAAAGGCAAAGTGAAGAGCAGCAAGCAGTCGGCCACAGCCAAGTTGACCATGTATATTTTGGTTTCTGTCCATTTTTTGAGCTTGCAGCAGAACACCCAGAGTGCCAACACGTTCAGAAAAATGCCCAAAATCAAAACGGGAATGTAAACACCCAGCTGGACAAGCGGGAAGTTTTCATAGACTGTGATACTGCAGCTGTTCTGGTTCATTGTGGTGATATTCAGAGGCACAGCTCCTGGAAAAGTGGATTAAACCTCTTAGATGCTAGACTCTTGATTAACTTGGTGATTAATTTGGGGAGTATTTCATGAGCCTCAGAACTTTACCGCAGTGAAAACTAGACTGTGGAGATGCTGCTGCAGAGCACAATTGTCTGCAGGTACCCAGTGGGATAAAGGAGAGCGACCTCGGCCACGGAGGAGAGAAAAGCAGACTCACTGCATCCTGTGCAGGACAAACTGGTTGCAGAGGGCAACACTGGAAAATGCTTGTGCCTCTGTTTTTGCCAGGCTCAGAACAGCCAGAAAAGGGGGATCCTGCATCTGGGAGTTCTGTGGGCTGTTACAGCCTGTTTTTAATGAGAAGGGTATGCTTAAACCCAGGTCTCATCCCTCCCCTTATCGTGGTGCTCGTGAGAAGCCAGCTGGCATCCTCACCGCTCAAAAAGCTCTGGGAGAGATGCTGCAAAGGGACAACTGTCCTCTCCTTCAGTCCTGAGCTGTCATCACTTCTTATTAGTGGTAAGAGCAATTATTCGTACATCTCTTGTTACTTCAGCTGCCACTGCATCCTTTATTCAGCGGTAACATTTAGTAGTCTGCAGGAAGAAGCAGAGTACCATGGGCTGCACGCTGCCTTTTAAGGACTCTGCAAATCGGTCTTAATGTCATGTTAGAGCAATCTGCCAAATTCTAAGGGGGGGGGGGGGGGGGGGGGAAAGACACAGCAAAAGTTGTGATCAGCAGCTGTGTGAAATAAAGTAGTGAGCTGTACGTATATGGTCTGCTGGGTGTTTTCTTCACCCAGCGTGTAAGGGCTGTTGACCCGCCTGCTGCGGAGGAGTTAATGCAAGAGTATATAATCTATGTGTGACCCTTCACGGTCAGAAAAAACATGGGAGTTCTGTGATGTCTGTGGAGTTTCCTGCAAAGGAAACCTGGATCCATGTGTGCAGATTCTTGGGGCTCAAAAATATTCTGGGTTAAAAATCTCCAGGGCAGTGCTGCAGCATCTACAAGCGCTGCATCTCTTGACCAGCTTTGAAAATCAATGCTGCCGAGTGATATTGCTGTGAGACCTCCTCTTCAGAGGGGAGGGAATGGGCTATAGCTGATACCTGCAGCAGCCCTGTGTTCTGGATGCAAGGAATGAGTTTTGAGCAAAAGCTAAGACTGCCCTTAAGCATCCAAAGCACGTCTACGGTGGCCAATATCAAAAGGAGCCTTTGAAAATACAGTCTCCAGCCCTCTTTCCATTTCTCTGCCACCATGTAGGTGTCCCACCATGGATAGGGGTAGGCAATGCCTTTTGCAGCGCTCGAATAACCGTGTCAGCAAATAGCCAGGAGGAATTACCTGCTTGCTCGCTGTCCTCGGAGAGGTTGGCTGCTCCTTGACCCATTGCGGGGTGGCCTGCAGGTGCGATGATCCCTTGCAGCGCTGCTCCTGGCATGGGACCAGCAAGGTGCTCTGCGATGACCACTCGCTGGTGGCTGTGGCAGCAGCAAGGCTGGTGGAGGAAGCACCCCCGCCCGTCTTCAACGCATTTCCCCAGGGCTGAGCTTCCTCTGTTGCCACTGCCATGGCTTGTACCACCCCCTGTTGATTGAGGAGCCTGCCTGCCATGTGGCACCACAGCAGTTCTTCTGGTGATGGATTCTTGGCTTTGGGTTCTTCTTGGGTTCATTCAGCACCTGACGCCTCACTGGGCGATGCCCATCGGCCTTCCTCACCCACTTGGAGGGGAAATGTCCTGGAGGATCCCTGAGGTCCTCTCTCTGCCATCGGGACTGCCACACGCCATCGCTGTGCTGAGCCCCGGGACACAGCAGCCTCGGCTGGCCCCTGGTCCCATTCGCAGAGCTGTTGGAGAGGTGAGGGCTGTGGTTTGCAGACAGTTTTTCATAACTCGGTTTCAGTCTGAATCACGGTAAGTCTCATCTCCCATAGTCCTCCTCAGCCAGCAATTCTGAGAGAACGTGGCACCGTGACCTTGTGACCTGCCAAATTTGTGTCTGCCCTGGGGTGCAGGTGCCTGCTGGCCAGGGGCTCCTTGGTGGCCATCCTATTGCAACTCCACCTGCAAGGAAAGCTCATCTGAGCTCTTGTTCAGCAAGTTCAAAGGCCCTGCTCTTGGTACCAGCTGTCTTGGGCAAACGCTTCCAGCTTTCTGGTTCTAAGATCTTAGGATCTGCTTCCAGGTCTAAGAGCAGCTTCTGGGGGTATTTGTGCACTGTCAGTCTGCACGTTACAGTTAATTGAGATTAACTCCTTGCCAATGTACAGGCAGCATAGAGTTTGGCTAAATACCTCTCCTAAGGTTTCCAGGCTTCTCTTGCCTTTCTTGTGGCTGCCCTTTGGAGAATGCTTATAGGTAGTTGCTGACCTATTAGTACACCCAGCTCTTTGATCCCTAACCACCATCATCTCCATGTCATGACCCTTGTTAGTGCTGTCGTTTTCAAAGTGATCCAGTTCCTGAGTTTTGATAGTTTCAGCAATGTACAGAAACCACTTATTTTTTTCGGACAGTGTTTGAGGATAATGCACACTCCTCTGGTCCATGGCAAGGCAATCACTACCAGTATTAACCACAGGCAGTCAAAATCAACCCTGGAGGTCACTCAGTTGGTAGCATCCCTCCAGCACCACGCTTCCCATTCACAGCTCAGTGCTGCAGTCACCCTACAGCAGGTGAGGGCAGCTACTTCTATCGTCAGTCCTGAGAGGCTTCAAGGCAGGGACTGTCAGCAGGCACAAAGCAGGTGGCCGTGACATGCTGGTTCAGCAGGATATGGCAGAGCAACTCAGCATCAGCTACAGGTGGGCAAAGCTACGACAAAGTGCAATCTGCAGAGACCTCGCATGGCTCCTGGAGGTTCCTGAACACCACTGGGTCAGGATCCCTGCAGTTTTCTGGCTGCCCATCAGCTGCTCCATGGCACACATGGCTGCTTGCAGAGCCCTTCCTGTGTCCCCCTGCAGGTGTTACCACTTCTGCCACAACCCAATGTGCTCGCCTGGCATTTTCTCCTGCCTCCGCAGCTCTCAGCCTGCCTCAGCCCCGCGAGCTGCCACTACGTGGCACGGCACCGATGACGCTCGTGCTGTTTTCTCACTTCCTCGCTGGCAGCTCTCCAGCAGTGAGGTCTGGGCGCTTACGGCATTGCTGAGTAGCAGTGCCAGGATGAAATGCATTGCAGCTCGCACGGTGCTCCCCAGGGATGTTTACTGACACCAGCCTACCAGGGTCTTGGTGTCCTCTGCCTCCCACTGCTGGCACATGGTGATGGGACAGGGCCTCAGGAGAGGTGAGGGAGGTGCTGGTGTGCCCTCCTCATGGGCAGAGAGACACAGGGCATTGCCTCACCCTGTCCCGCAGAGCCTCATCTGGTGTGTTTTCTTCCCTCGCTTTCTCACAGGAAGACGCAGTGTTGCGACAGCAGATCTTGACCACGATGAAACTATGGGTCTGGGAGCAGAGCACATGGGTCCTATTTTTAGCATGGAAAGCCTGTGAAATAGCAGCATTAGGTTAACAACATCGGCCCCACAGCATGACTGACCCTGGCTGTTGAGCCTGTTTCCCCTTTCCTCTTCCTTAGAGCCACACAGGAACTGAGCCGCAGCAGGTAGTGTGCTCGGGGGGCTCTGTGCTGTGGCCCCTCCTGCAGCATCAGCACCCAAGGGCTCAGCCTGTGCATCTCTGTGCAGATGCTATGGGGAGGGCACGGCAAAGCTGGTGCTTCCTGGCTGACTTGGGGCTTGCAGGGGTCCCTTGGAGGCTGCTTGCATTTTTTGAAGGTTTAAATGTAAGCAGAAGGCAGTAGCTTTTGGCCTGAAATAGCAAAGTCTGTGTACCTCGGTTCACGCACCTGCAGAGGATACAAGAATTTGCAGAATCACAGAATGTTAGGGAGTGGAAGGGACCGTGACAGATCATCTAGTCCAGTCCCCCTGCCAGAGCATGAACACCCAGATCAGGTCACACAGGAACGCGTCCACGTGGGTTTTGAATGTCTCCACAGAAGGACACCACAGCCCCCTGGGCAGCCTGTTCCAGTGCTCTGTCACCTCACCGTGAAGAAGTTTCATCTCACATTTAAGCAGAACCTCCTGTGTTCCAGCTTGCACCCCTTGTCCTGTCATTGGATGTCACCAAGAAGAGCCTGGTTCCGTCCTCCTGACACCCACCCTTCACATATTTATAAACATTTATAAAGTCACCCCTCATTCTCCCCTTCTCCAAGCTAAAGAGACCCAGCTCCCTCAGCCTTTCCTCGTAAGGGAGATGCCCCACTCCCTTCATCATCCTCGTGGCTCTGCGCTGGGCTCTCTCAAGCAGTTCCCTGCCCGTGAGCCGAGGGGCCCAGAACTGGATGCAATATTCCGGATGCAGTCTCACCAGGGCACAGTAGAGGGGGAGGAGAACCTCTCTCGACCTACCAACCATAACCACCCCCTTCTGATACACCCCAGGATGCCATCGGCCTTCTTGGCTGCAAGGGCACAGTGCTGGCTCACAGTCATCCTGCTGTCCACCAGGTCCCTTTCCCCTTTGCTGCTCTCCAGCCAGGCAGTCCCCAGCTTGTACTGGTGTCTGGAGTTGTTCTTGCCCAGATGCAGGACTCTACATTTGTCCTTGTTATATATCATTACGTGTCTCCCTGACCAACTCTCCAACCTGTTGAGATCCTGCTGGATGGCAGCACAGCCTTCTGGCCTGTCAGCCACTCCTCCCAGTTTTGTATCATCAGCAAACTTGCTGACAGCACACTCCATTCCCTCCTCCAATTCATTGATGAATATATTGAACAATACTGGACCCATTACTGGCCCTTGAGGGTCTCCACTAGATACAGGCCTCCAACTTGACTCCGTCCCACAGACCACAACCCTCTGGCTCCTTCCCTTCAGCCAGTTTACAGTCTGCCTCACTACCCGATCGACCAGACCACACTTCCTCAGTTTAGCTGCGAGGATGCTGTGGGTGACAGTGTCAAAGGCTTTACTGAAGTCAGGATAGGCCACGTCCACTGCTTTTCCATCATCTATCCACCTGGTTCTGTCTTCATAAAAGGTTATCAGGCTGGTCAAGCACGACTTCCCCTTGGTGAAGCCATGTTGACTGCCCCTAATGACCTTTTTATCCTTGATACACCTAGAGACAGCACCAAGGATAAGTTGTTCCATCACCTTATCAGGGATGAAGGTGAGGCTGACTGGTCTGTAGTTACCTGAGTCCTCCTTCTTGCCCTTTTTGAAGACTGGAGTGACATTTGCTTTCCTCCAGTGCTCAGGCACCTCTCCCATTCCCCACAGCTTACCAAAGATGATGGAGAGCAGCCTAGCAATTACTTCCACCAGCTCCCTCAGCACCCACAGGTGTGTCCCATCAGAACTCACGGATTTATGGATGTCCTGCTTGCTTAACCAGTCCTTAACCCAGTCCTCATCCACTGAGGTAAATTCCTCCTTTATTCCAAGTTCCTCCAGGGCCTCAAGGGCACGGGGCTCCTCAGGAGAGCCTCCGGCAGTATACACAGAAACAAAGAAGGCATTCAGTAACTCCGCCTTCTCTTCTGTCACCAGGGCACCCACCTTGTTCATCAGTGGGCCTGCATTGCCTCTAATGTTAGTTTTATCGGCAGTGTATTTGAAGAAGCCCTTTCTGTTGTCCTTGACCCCTCTCGCATGGTTTAATTCTAGGGAGGCCTTAGCTTTCCTAGTTGCCTCCCTACATCCTCTGACAACAGCATTACATTCCTCACAAGTGGCCAGCATGATCTGTAGACTCTCCTTTTCCACTTAGTTTGCCCAGCAGATTCCTGTTTAATCGTGCAGGTCTCCTGGTTCTCTTTCTTCACTTCCTATCTGTTGAGATGCTCTAATCTTGAGCTTGGAAAAAGCAGTCCTTGAATACTAACCAACTACCCAGGGTCCCTTTACCTTCAAATACCTTGTCCCATGGATGTTTAAGGAGGGTTGATTCCGGAAAAAAAAAAAAAAAAAAAAAAAAAGCCTTGCAGGTGCTGTAACCTGCAAAACCTCAGGATCCTGAGTGAGCGGGACTCAGGTGCAGTGCGCAGGTGTCAGAGTTAGTGGCTACGAATAGGAGGGTCTGGGTGAATTGAGAGCCATCAGTTGTGCAGACAGGAGGTGAGGACAGTCCTGGCTGGACCTGTACACAGCAGGATCAGAGCCAGCCCAGATTTCCCAGCTGCATGCACCTCTTCTTCCCTCAGCACTGCCTCCAGCTGGATCCACCAGGCCCTTCACTTCCAGATTTGGCCCCTTTCCTAGGCAGTGCTAGTGTGGTAACTTTTTAGGAATGAGACAGTAATGCAGGAATTCATGTGGACCCCTGTGTTTTTCAAAGAGATTTTAAAATTTGTTTAAAGGCTGTGTGGTCTTGCTGGGTCCAACTCACTTACAAAAGCAACGTGTGAAACTATGATAACAAGTAGAAAATCCACAACTGAAGTCAGGAGACCTTTCCCTGTGACGCAAAGGGCTCTTGCTGACTTTAGCAGACATCACTTACACAGTAAGAGCAGTTTGCACACTTTTTCCACTACTTCTATTTTGTTTTTCTTCTAGCGAAAGAATATTTACTGTTTCAAAGCCTTGGAGCACTTTAGATTTTACAAAAAGTTCAGAAAAGCACTTGGCACTGCTGAGCTTGGACCTCGAGAACTATGTTCAGTTCTGAGCCCCTCATGACAAGAAGGAGCTCCCGGAACATGTTCAGAGAGGAGCAGTGAAGCTGTTGAAGGGACTAGAAGACAAGACATAGAAGGAGTGACTGGGGGAACTTGGGTTGTTTAGGCTGGTGAAGAGGAGGCTGAAGGGAGACCTCATCACATTCTGTAGCTACCTGAAAGGAAGTTGCAGCGAGGTGTGCTCTTTCAGGCCACCAGGCTCTTTCTCAGGTGACAAGTGATGGGATGTGAGGAAAACGGCCTCAAGTTGTACCTGGAGAGGTTTAGATTGGGTGAAAGGAAAATTTCTTCATGGAAATGGTGGTTAAGCATTGGAACGGGCTGTCCAGGGAGATGCTGTCCCTGGAGGTATGTAAGAGACACGTGGATGTGGCACTTACGGATATGGTTTAATGGTGGGCTTGGTAGTGTTACACAATGGTTGGACTTGATGGTCCTAATGGTCTTTTCCCCGTTCACTATGTAAATGATCCTATGATTCTATGCTCCCCTCTAACCAGACAGGACACTCATTAAAGATTTGACCCTGTTGAAATATAGCAGAAAGCCTTTACCAGGGCTTATGGAAGTCATTTAAGTGATGTGAGGTCTTCACAGCTTTATACTTGATACACACATGCTATGTTGTGCTCCTAAGGGTCTGTTATGTGGCCCACAATACTCTGCAGTAATAGCTTTATTTACATCCACAATGATTTTTGTCTTACAAATGTCAAGGTGTTGCTGTAAGCTAATAAACATGTTACATGGCAGGAATAGGACAATGGTGTCATGCCACTACCTGACTCCTGTGGTTTAGCCCATGCACAGTGATAGTTGCATCCTGGTCATAGCTGTAGGCATTGGCATTTTATAGCTAGGCGGGAAACTACCACTGCACAGGTTACTTCTTTGATGTGAGTGACACAGGCATACTAGGCTTGACATTGTATTACAGTGGTTTTTCCTTTTTTTTTTTTTTTTCTTCTTTTTCCTCAATGACCAAAAGTTACAGTAGTAGGAGTGGTTTCTTCCATTGCTGTAAAGGTGCTAAGTTTCTTATGTTTAGCTGCATGATATGTACAAATAAGTACGTGGCCAAAACAATGGCCTTATCAGCTGTTCTCCATACCATGTGGAGCTCCCTCTTGACTAGGAGACCCCTTTTTGCAGGTATGCCTATACCCAGGATTGCAAATACTGTAGGTAGCCCCATTCCCTCAAAACTTCAGCAGCACTGTGGCTCTTGACATCTATAGTGCACTAAACCTTTTTTTTTATAACATCACTTCCTCAGTGGGTTGCTGTAACTCTTGGCTTTGATTCACCTTAGACCTCTTCAATATAAAAGTGGGGAGCAGAGAGGAAAATTCCTGAAATTCCTTGGCTGCAAAGTAATAGCAAAATGCATCCAAACAGCAGTTGATATTAGCTAAACATGAAAAAATCTGAATAGCGATTCTAATTTTTGAGAGCGGAGAACAAGCTTTAGCAACCTCTGCTATGAACCGCACGAGCACTGTGATGTAGATAGGTGAAAAACATATGGTGAACACACACAGATTCACAGAAACAATGTGGAGCGCTTTCTGGATTAACTTTGTCTCATGAAAGCTGCTGGCCATCTTCTTTTTGAGACATTGGATGACTTTTACTGAACAAAAAATTATAATTATTAGAGGAATAAAAAATCCAAAGGAAATGGAGACTAATGTTAAATACTTAGGTTCAGTAGAAAGTCTCTGAATGCAATACTTTTCTTCACTTTCTTGAAATTCTTGCTGGTAGTAGGAATAAATTATCTGTATTATCCAAAGACACCCACAGACAAAAGCTGATTTCCGTGGGGATCGAAGAGTTTTTGCTTTTAGAGGGAACATGATTGCAATGTATCGATCGATTGCAATCAGCATGATGATGTAGATGCTCATAGGCCTGTTTGTAAAATATATCATCTGTACAGCAAAACACAAGTCGTCTATGGGATGTTTGTTGTTGGTAAAATATATCATGAAAGGCAGGGAAAAGAGCAGGAAACAGTCTGTGACCACGAGGTTGAGCATGTACACCCTGGTCTCAGTCCAGCTCTTGAGTTTGCAGCAGAAGACCCAGAAGGCGACTGTGTTCAGCACAAACCCAAAGGAGAGGACTGGGATGTAGACGATCAGCTGAAAGAGCAAAATACCGTTCTGCAACGTTGTGTTGATAGCAGTGCAGTTCTCCATGGCAGGCTGTCCCTGCAAGAGAAGGGTGCAGGTGAGAGACCGAGCTCAGGGACGGGTCCCCTGGGACGGGTCCCTCGCTCGTGGCCCTGCAGCTCCTCGCCCCCCTGCACCACGCGCGGGGGCTGTTGGCAGGACGAGGTGCCACACAGCACTCCCCAGAGCCCTGCACATACAGCACAGGGGTGTCTGGGGAGGGTGCACGGGCAGACCCGCAGGGCTGATGAGCTCAGTGGCTCGCCAGCACGCCATGTCCCTGGGCCACCAAAGCAGCGCTGTTCTCCGCCAGCTGACCCGAAACTGCAGAGGCAAACCCCTCCTGCAGCTGCTGCGGGGTGGCAGCCTCCCTCTGACCTCAGGCCTGGCTTGCCCTCCCTCCAGCCTCCTTTCAGGGTTTTGGCAACAGCAGAGAGTCTCCAAAACAGGCTGACAATTTCAGAGTCCCTATTGGAGAGCTACTGTCTCTCTTGCATTAAGGCAGCTCACGGCAGAGCTGGGCAGCATTCCCCTTTCACTTTCCAAGACCCTTGCCTTGCTGTCAAAACCACCCCGTGGGCTCGGTGGGTCTTGTCAGGCCCATGGACCCACACAGGACTCAAGCCCCTCCGGCCGTGGTGTAGCCCTGGTGGCTTTGCTCCTGGGGGTGCCCCCAGCACCCACCTGCTCCTCCTGGGGGCAGCAGGGAGTTATGGCCCCTCACAGGCACTGCCAGCTGGTCTCAAAAGACAGAAGGGAAAATGAGCACACCTGTCTGATCTCAGCCTTTGAAATAGGAAGCCAAAATGCTACCAGAGCAAAAGACACGAATCCAAGACTTTAGCCTATCTCCTGGTATTCCTTTAAATAGTGCAGGGCAGCTGCTAGCAGCAAAGATGCTGTGGAGGATGAATCAGACTCAGTATGCAGCTTGCAAGAAAGAGTATACAGTGAGGCAGAGAAAGAAAACACACAGATTCCTATCATCTCTTGTAAATACATTGCCTTATAAGTCAGCGCTTTCTGAGTCTTAGTATCTAAACTGCAGAGCAAGCGTATGACTGCATGAACTAAGTGAAATGTTTTTAGTACCTGTGACTGGGAGCCGGATCCAGCAACGTCAGAAGAAAGTTCAGCACCTGCCTGAGCACCAGAGCTGGTGTGGCGTTACAGAAATACCAGGACATAGCAATTTGCAGGGTGGAATTTATGGACGAACTACCATGCAACCAGTGTCCTGTCTTTCCTGAGCTGCCAGCTTCCCAGGTCCTACCACATCCCCTCCAGCTGTTCCCTGCCAGCCTACTGCGACCACCCTGCAGTGGCAAAGCCACTCTCTGCATGCACAGAGCTGCCCCAAGTAGCAGCTGAGCCCCTCAAATCCCTCACGAGCCTGCTGAGCCTGCAATGATCTCCCAGGTCTCCTGCCTCGGTGTGCCTGGAGCAGTGTCCCTATGCTTGCAGCAGGTGCACAGCGAGAGGCACTGGTACAAGCCCACAGCAAGGGATGGAAACCTCCCCGAATAGCACATGTGGGTGCCAAACAGCAAAGCACAGCATCTGTGAAGGCAGGAGAAAGCCAAGGCAACTGCGTGCCAATGCATGATATCAAGGACAGCGCTGGGTAGCACTTCATTCAAGAGCTGAGGAAACAGAGCACACTGCCACACACCTGTGCAGGAAGAATGAAAAGTTACCTGCTACTTGCGGGGCTGCCTGCTGGGTTTGGTCCTTGGGAAGGTCACAGTGGCACAGGAGATCTGCCGAGGCTGTGGATGCTTGATGATGCTCTGTGCAGGGCACGGCCACCCAGGAGGCTGCTGACAACAGCTCAGAAGAGCTGAAGCACAGCAATGAACTCTTGTTCCCCAAAAGTGCTTCATTTATTATCTCCTCTTTGGGACAGTCAAATCTCTGGTGCCCTCTGTTGTTCCTCTTGCATCCGCTCAATGCTTCACCATTGGTTTTTGCACCCAGCCTACGTGCCCTCCCTCCCACCCTCCCACCCCACCCAAACAAGCGATTAAAATTTAATACTTTCAGTTGTGGGAAAACAAATCCTTTCTAAAATCAAACCCGTAATGGTTGCAAATTGCCCTTCTGGCAGCAAAAGGACCCCCCGGGAGTCCAGCATCCCGTGCAGCCTCTAGTGCAGCCATGGAGCGAGCCCTGGGCAGGCGGCACGGGGGGCAGCAGCTTTTTTTTTGGGGGGGACACGTTGGTGCTTGCACCCCCGTGGTGGTGGGCCGAGGGTGAGGGTCCAAGCGTGCTTCTCTTTGGTTTCTTTGCATTATGGGGGGGCAGGTGTGACAGGCTGGTCCTCTGCCCTGTGGTTCTAAATGCTGCTTATTGGTGTCACGGGAAAGCCCCTGCCAGTAGTGACAGTCTCCACCAAGACTCGGACAAGAGAGAGGAAAGTGAACTGTAGGTGTGAGGAAGGCGTCACAACCTTTGGAAGCTTGTTTAACAACATCCTTGGGGTATTTTTAGTCTTTGTGATGACCTCATGGGCCTTTAGCATCCATCAGTCCTGCAGGGGAGGTCTGACTCTCAAATCCAGTCACCTACACCGCCGCGTGTGCTCTCATAAGGCACTGCCTGGGCAGCCCGTGGCAGCAGGGTTAGAGATTTAAGTATTTACAGAGAAAAAAGCCCGGTCCTAAGCAGCATTTAAGCAACATGCTGGGGATCATCCCCCTCCCTGTCCTCCCCACTGACTTTTCTATGCTGCCGACTCATAGGACAACCACATTTCACCCACAGGAACTTCAGAGGTGGCGGCGTGGGTAGGCTGCAGAAACCTGGACACAGCTGGGACCCCCCTGCTGCTGCCAGGGACCTGGGGACCAGCCTGGAACCACAACACAGACCCAGGGAAAAGCAGTGCCTCGGTGGTGGGGGTCCAGGCAGGGCTCAAAGGGCCCCTTTCTCCCCAGTGGTGGGGAGCAGCATCCCCCCAGGGACAGCCACTGTAGGGCTGGGGCTCAGGAGGGGAGCCAGCAGGAGAACCCCAGTCTGAGATCTGTGCTCTGTGCCTTTATGGCAGTGGCCATGGCTTGTTTTCATCCTTAAAGTGCTGCTGCACATCTGTCTGACCGGTCAGCTTGGAGGGGGTGAGCAATCAGTGGAGTCTGGGCTGTTTTGTAGGTGCATGCACTTAGGCATATGGTGGTACCACCTGAATGCCCTCACCCCCACAAAAGCAATGTGGTAAAAATAAATTGGCCTATTCTAATAAGGCAAACAATCTGAAATGCACAGTGGGGTAAAGCACTATGCATTTTATTGTGCTGGCAATAAGGTTAAGTTGTCTTTAGCTGCAAAATGAAATAAAATAGGGTCACCTGTCTCCCTGTAAGAGTAACAGATAGGTGCTAGAAGGAAGCCGTGTTACCGAACAGCCGTCACATACTTGCTTTTACACCTCTGTATGAAACAACTTATTTGTTTAATAGCCACACAGAAATAAAAATTACAAATAACTTGGTAATGATAGACATAACAAAGCTGTCCCTGGAATGAAAGGGCAATGGTTATCCCAGTAACACTGAAGCTGTACGTTCTCTTGGCATTGCATTTTTTTGGTGGTGGTGCTTTGGTTTGTATTCTTCTTCCTTTCCTTTAGCAAGTATTTAACTGCAAGGATTGGGTTTGATTTGTTTTGTCAGTGCTGGATTTAGGCAGCAGAATGGCTTCTTGGAATTCCTTGGTCACGAAGTAGTAGCAGACGCTGTCCAGGCAGCAGTTGGACGTGGCAATGCACCTCGTCAGGGCAAAGAAGTCCATCATGACCTGCTTCAGGAAACAGCTAGTTCCAACATACTCCATTATGAACCTGAAAAGTACCCCAAGGTAGGCTGGCAGAAAACATATTAGAAACACAATCAGATTTGCATAAATAATGTAAAGAGCTTTCTGGATTAATTTCTCTTCCAGTGAATTTGTCTTCAGCTGTCTCTTAAGGTTCCTGATGATTTCTATGGAACAAAAGGTCAAGGTTGCTAATGGAAGAGAGAAAACGAAGAAAATGGAAATCAGGGTCTGAGCAATGGGTATGGTGTCATCCTTCTGAAAACAGACAGTAGCATGTCTCTTTTGAAATCTTAAGGTTGCACCGATTATAACAGAGACCCACAGAAGCCCACAGAGAAGGGCAGCTTTTGATGGAGACCTGCAGGTCCTAGCTTTCAGGGGGTACTTTATGGCAATGTATCGATCAATGGAGATAAATGAAATGACATAGGTGCTCACTACCATGTTGATAAAATACATTGCCTCTATAAACTGGCAGAGTTCATCTCGGTCTGACTTATTCCAGATCAAATAAGCCATGAAAGGCAAGATGCAGATGATGAAGCAGTCAGCAAAAACTAAATTGATTGTGTACACCCTGGTTTCCGTCCACTTCTTTATTTTGCAGAAGAACACCCACAGAGCAAGGGCATTAAATATTGATCCAAAAAAGAAAATGATGATATACAGAGCAAATTCAGTGAGACGGACGTGGCGATTCACTTCTACGCCTGTTACACTGCAGTTGTTGGACTCATTCATTGTCCTGATGTGTGGATGGCATGTGATGTTATGAGACCTGAAATGCGGAAAAAATGGTTAAGACTTTTCTCCTACCTCTTAAGAGATGCATGGCTTCTATAAACAAAAGGTATTTATTTAAATATTTACACTGTTATGAATGTGAATTTGAGTCTACATACACAGCTGTCTCAGACAGCCTGTAACTGGGATGCATCCTTGCGTCAGGCTCTGTTTATGCTTACTCAGTTTATGAGTAAATACCTCAGGATGCACTTCCAATAGGACATGGCAGGCAGCCCCTATTCAATAGTGGACTCTCAAGTAGGAGAGGGGAATAGCACTCAGACTAGAACCCATGGATAGCAGGGGCATGCTGTGACAATGTGAGCACTAATTCTTTAAGCCAGCCTGTGCAGATGAGGCAAAAAGACTCAGCTTGGTTTTGAGCTAGGCAGGGACTGCAGCAACCAGTGCTAAAGTCTAGCATAATCCATGAGCAAAACCTCTTCTAACAGGTCTGCTGGCTTGGGAGGCAAGGGGTAGACTTGGTGGGCATCATCATGTTCTGGCCCTTATTGGGCAGGTTTCTGTGCCTTTGGGTTGCCTTGCAAACCTAGTGCTCCTGCTCCAAGCTGAGGAAAACAGAGCTGAATCTGAGTCCTACATCCCAGAGGCATGCTCAAAACCCTACAGGCGTGAGTGAGACACGCTGCTCTCCACCTCCTTGGCAAGGAGGGAAAGATTAACATAATTTTAGGCCCATTCATTCCAGGAGAGAGTACGAGTCTACAGATATAAAGCAGAAAGACTTACCCAAAAGAGGAAGCACTGGTGCAGAACAAGGAGCCGCAAATAAGGGCTTTATAGATGTTTCCTTCTCAAGGTAAGCATCCAAGCTGCCTTGTGAAACTTATAAGCAGTAGGTATTGAGCCTCTGTCACACCAGCTACTAGATGCTTCACAAGAGCATTGGTTGTGTGAAGAGTATCAGGGGCTGATAAAAATCAGTTTTAATCAGGCTCCATCCTGTGCAGAGTAGCTCTGTGCAATGTGCACCTATTCTCTGAATTGGTGATTCTGGGCATGTCACTGAATTTCTGCTCGCATCTCGATGTACACTGGAAAGAACGCAACTTTTTGATTTCAAGTATTTCCCACCTCCAGAGAGGAAAACCTCTCTGAACCACATCAAGTAGCAGCAGGGAAACACCTTCATCCAGGGATAAAGCTGCCATGCCCCTAAGCTCACCACCTGCACGAGCAGTAAGTGACATTGCTGGTGTGGCTGATGCCCAGGTTGCTTTGCACTGACCCTGGTGCTGCCACACCGCTAGCAGCAGCTGAAGTATGTGATTCAGGCAAACCGTGCTGGTGTGCTCTGCAGTGTGAAAGGGCTCTGGCAGACATCGGCTTTGGTGCTCAAGGTGTGGCCCAGTTGCAGTTCCCAGCATCTGCTATCTGCCCTGCAGCTCAGGGCTTGCAAGTGCTCCCTGCCAGGAGGAACTCGAAGGCTGGCGGGGAGGACGGAGGAAACAAGCAGAGGGTTTTAAAGCAGGTCAGGCAGCACAGATAGGATATGGTTGAACATTTTGTGTCTTCAAGGAGATGCTGTTTGATAAGCTAGCATATCCTGTGGCTGCTGCAAATGCTTAAGTGGGGCCAGAGGAGATGGCTGCAGTAGCAGAGCAAACTACAGTTATGAGAAAAGGACAGAGAGAGCTTTAAAACAGCAGCTCAGTGATGCTGGAGGACCAGGAGCAGGATGGGGCTGGAAGGACAAAGCCACCGGTACAGTGTAGCATGTCCTCCAAGGTTTGCAAAGAGCTGGTCAGCCTCTGTCCCCCACCATGGGAACTGGTGGCTACCTGGGGAAGAAGGCCAGAGCTGGCCTAATTTTTCTCCAGCTCCTTCCAGACCTCAAACAGGGAGCTTGGAGGAAGAAAAGTGAGTCGGAGGCTGGAGACCCAGTGGGTGTCACAGCAACACTGGAGTGGCCAGCACCCTGCGGGATGCCTGCAGAGAAGCAGCAGCACTGGAGCATGCACCCTTGCGTGTAAAATCCTCCTTCCTTCTTGCAGGGGGTACTCAGAAGTAAGTGGGTAGCACAGGAGCAAAGGGTAAATGTGGTGGATGAAATGAGTAAAGACAGCACAGGGGCTGATGGGGGGTCTGCTGGGGTGGGTGAGGAAGGGACCTGGGACCAGGCAGAAGGAGAGAAAGAAGGAAAACGGGATGGGAAGGGTAGGGTACAGCTCAACCTCTGCTACACCTCTGCCTTCATGGGAGGATAAACACAACTGAAAGCAGAACTGTCCACATCTGCAGCAACTGCCCTGAATTGGACCTAGTCGCCTGATAAATTGGGTGAGTATCTGTCAGCAAAGATTTAAGAAATATGCTACATGGGCAGGAGGCTAGACTTGGCCTGGACAGCACTTCAGAAGGGTGCTGATGTAACCTGGGCACTGCAGGGAGGGAAGAGTGGCCAGGAGTGGGAGAGCCCTAGCTGGGGGTCCTGCCCAGCACTGAGGTGCACGGATTTTCCTCTCTGTTTCAAATAGCGTAAAGAAACCTGGCACTGCCTGAGCTAACCCTGTTGTTCAGAGCTCTCCCAAACACGATAAGCTGAGGCACAAAACTCTTATGAAACCCATATTCTTTCAGGCTTATCTCCCAGTACATCCCTTGACCTGAAGGGCTGGGCATGTGACTGCCTTCTTCTGCAGCACGCCAAAAGCTGTGCTTTGCTCTGCAAGAACGGTCTTGAGGACGGCCACCTGTAGTTGTTATTTAACTCTGGACGTCATTTTGTTTAACTTTTAGACTAGTTCTGATGCCTCCTGCCCAAGATGGAGAAACTAACAGTCCTTTCCTCCCCACCTCCTCATCCTCTGTGACTTCACCAACTGGTTGTGAAGTGCCTGAACTGGTCCATGAAAAGGATGCTGGAAGGTAAGTTAAACCAAGGAAAACAGCAAGGTGGTCATCCTAAACACAGAACTGCTTCAAAAGACCCTGGAAGGGGATGCAAGGGTTCATTTAGACAGGAAAAACAAACAAACAAACAAACAACAACAAAAACAACACTTCTGGAATCACTTATCTCCCATGGTGGGAAGAATTTAGCTTTCCAGCTGCCAGATGCTGTTGGAAAGTAACGTGCTGTGATCTTCCTGAACACCCCAGAGTAAGAACAGAGAAGTCTCAACAACAGCAACCTAAACAGGTCCCGCAGAAGGGACTGCACTAGGGTGGCAAAATGCATCCTCCAAAGGGTGCCTCCTCCACATCCTCCCAGCCACAGCAGGCCCCTGGGCAGCAGTTCATGCAGAGCAAGAGAGAAAGAAGCAAAAAGTGATGTTACCTGTGGGTTTAATGCCACAAAATCAGCCGCAGGTCCCGCTGGCAGCAGGGCATGTAGGGTGTGCGCATCCCCGCCTGGAGGAGCAGGGTGGGAGGCCAGGCACGGGCTGCACAGAGGCAGGTGCCTGCACCAAGGGCTCACAACTACTTGAAGGCTTCTATAGCACCTCCTCCTGCTGCGTGGGAGAGGATCTTGTGTCAGCTTGGTCCTGAACATCAGACAATCTGCTGACCAAAGGTCTGCAATGCTTTCCAGTATGGGCTCCGTGCTCATTCTGCGCTGCCTAAAATGCTGTGCTCACTGGCTAGCGGGGATACTGGGTGAGTGCAGAACTGAAATGCTGTGGTCAAACCTTAGCTAGACAAAGCCAGGAAGACACGATATCTATAGCTAGCTCGCTTGTGCAGCTGGATGTGCACTGAATTGGAGGAGGGAGAGAGGGCTGTAAGCCCCAAAGGGCTCGCTAATAGGCTGTTTAGCTGGTGTGGATAACCACTGTGCAATAGAGCTGGCAGGGAGCTGTCTCACCCATAATCAGTGTGCAGTAGAGCTGGTAGGGAGTTGATCACTGCCCACTGTAATGCCTTACAAGCTGCTTTACATGTGGTCGGTCCCCAGCCTGGTGTCTGGGGTTGTTCCTCCCCAAGTGCAGGACCTGGCACTTCCCCGTGTTGAGCCCCATGAGGTTCCTGCTGGCCCATTCCTCCAGCCTGTCCGGATACCTCTGAATGCAGGCACATCCCTCCTGTGTATCAGCTGCTCCTCTTGGTTTTGTGCCATCTGCAGACCTGCTGAGGGTGCACTTTGTCCCAGCAGCCAGGCTGCTATGGTTTGGCATCTTCATAACTTGGCCCAGCTTTGACCTCCAAGGGACCTCCCTGTGGACTGGCCTCCAGCTGGTCTCCGTGCTGCTCACCGCAGTGCTTGGAGCTCAGCAGCCCAGGCAGTTTTCAGTCCAGCTCACGGCCCATTTCTCTAGCCCACACTTTGCCATTCTGCTTACGAGGCCATCACGGGAGACAGAAAGGCTTTCAACACCAAAGTTCAGAGCAAGCACCGCCACTGCTCGCTCCTCACATCCAATAGCATGTCACCTACTCAGACGTGGCTATCTATGTGGTTATCAGGCATAGTTTTGTAAAACCAATCACCTTCTTGTCCTCAGTAGGTTTTGAAATTATTTAGAAGATGATTTCCTCTCTCTGCTTAGCAGAGATCAGGGTGAGATGGACTGTGGTTCTCTGGATGCTGTTTCCTGCCTTTCCTGGAAAGAGGGAGAGCATTTGAGTAAGCCAGCAGTGCCAGAGGGAAGAGCCTGCTCACATGCACACCTGGCTGGAAAAGGAGAGGAGAAGAGCAGCAGAAGAAAATGCCTTTGGGCAGGGAAGAAGAAAGGAACAGGGTAAGCTTTCCTGTGGAAAATGCCAACTCCACCTCTACATGCTGCTGTCCCCAAAAATCTGGGTATGGTGCAGTACTTTGTGCCTGGGACAGGAGCAGCTACAAACAGAAATGCTGCACCTTAGTGTCTGCGTGCTGCAGCCTCTTGACGCTGTGGAGTATTTGTGGTGACAGAGGGGAAGTAGAAAGGAGATGACACGTGTCACTGGTACACAAGGTTGTGAGCTCTGAACTGCTGAGAGGAAAAAGCCACAGGCTGGTGGGACAAGTAACAGATCCCCACAGCTTTGTGAGAAGTGATGCTTCAGGGTAACAGTGGCCTTCAACGTCATGATGGAAAGGCTGCAGTGGAAACCATCACAGCAGGGTGTTTCCCTTCCAGGGGAAACTTGCAGATAAGCGTGTTGGTGTCCGCAGGGTGAGAAGATGGTGTGGAGATGTGTCTCATCAGCACTGGCTCTGCAGAAACCCGGCTGCCACCCCAGGGAGCCAGGCTGCCCCTGCCTGGGGGGGTCACACCCATAGCCCTGTCGTGGAGGGGCTGGGCACCCACATGGAGACATGTCGGGGGGCACAAAGGGGCGCTGCTGTGGTGGACAGGGCCAAAATCACCCCTCGAGCTCCTCTTCAGCTCAGCTCACCTTCCCTGGCCTGCCTGCCAGTTACCTGTGTGAGGACACCTCTGTCTCAGCACTGCCGGGATGAGGACACAGGGCCTCCCGGGCAGCGTTCGGCAGCACAGCGAGTTGTTCTGCCAAAAAGCCTGAGGGGGACCAAGAAACAGTCAGCTTGCCCCACATACGCATCCACAACCACGTCCTGTCTCTGCAACTCGACTGACAGAACCGGGCTGCAGCGAGCAGCTTGCCCCAGCCGTGCCCACCGCCTGTCACTCCCACAGAGGTCCCCTCCCCAGTCAGGTGGGCACAAGTGCTCTGGTTTCTCCTGCTCCCTGTGTTTGTGGGGAAATTGAAGCCGTCAGCCTCGGCCCTCCCCATGCCGTTGGTGCCCGTGCTCATTCCGACATGTGGGCTCGTTTCTGGCCCTGCCGTGCGAGGTAGGATGGGGGGAGCGGTGACTCACGAGTCACAGGGCTGCCACACACCTACATGTCTCACCGCATGGCGGTGGCCTCGAAGCTGCTGTGTAATGGGGCCGCCCACGTGGTGGGTGCCTGGCCTAGCCACGAGTTCCCCTGTGGGGCTCTGAAGGCAGTTTGGGGCAGGTGGGGGCAGAAACGCAGTCCCTAGTGAGACATGGTGCTGTTCAGGGCCAGGGGACGACGCATCCCTGTGTGAGCGACCTGTCTGGGCCACATGGCAGCTCTGGGTGTTGGGAAGAACAGCTTTGGGCTGAGGAGGAGAGCAGAGAGCAAGGTCTTTGATACTGACTTTGCAGTGGCTGGACTGCTCTGCTCTATGCCAGCTCCCCGTGAAAGCTCTCCCGGTAGTCTGGAGGACGGGTCACCTCCTGCCCACCCCAAGCAGGGCAGCACTTTCAGCAAGTCCTGCCAGCGCTCGGCATGATGCCACAGAACGAGGCTCGGGCAAGCTTCACCAGGAGCAGTTTGCCTGCTCCAGCATACAGGGAACTTCAGTGCATGAAATAAAACCAGGAAAATCCACTTCTTGTTTTCTCTGGGTGGTGAGGGGAGCTCCTCAGTTCGTCTGTACATTTTCTTGGCATTTTTCATCAGTTTCCTACCAAATCCCAGCACAGGAAATTGCTAAACTAACAGATTAGATCTGGTTGTGTGTTGCTAAAATACATTGCTCTGAACGGGACTAGACTGTGTGGTTTTAGCTGTGGTATTAAATGGGAGGAACGCCTATATGGGATGATGCAAACCTTCTTGTAACAAATTGGGTGACCTTTGAGGGCACCATTTAAGAATTAACATGCTCTTAGTGTTTTTGTTTTGTATTGTTTTTAATTGTTATTTTTCCCTCTCGACTCCTCAACCATGTGTTTATAACCTGAAAGGTCACTTTGCAGTGCAGTCATTTAGTTGTGGAAGGACTTCAGCCTGAAGGGCACTGATGATCTGTCCTCATATGTGTGGAAGTCACACCTAACAGTAATTCAGGACGGAGGCACTTGAGTGATGCATTGTTACAGCATTAGACAGGTGGGGTATGGCTGCAGCTGCCCCCTGAACAAAGCATAGCTGGGCTTACAAACAGGGATCTCCTCACATCTCTGTGTGTCACCCACTAAAAACACTTCTGACTCATTTTGCTTCCAAGTGCCCTGTTCCAGGCTGGTGACAGCTGATGAGCTGAAGAGATGGAGCAGATTTTTTTTCCTCTTCCTCTCAATTGCATGACATAAATAAATAAATAAATACATAAAATAATAAAAATCAGCTCCTCCTAAGCTGATTTCTCCTCAGCCTGGGAGGAACAATCACTCCTACAATACAGCCCATGTGAAGACTAGAGGCTTCTGCTTATATTTTTGGACTTTGCTTATGGTTGCTGTCTTCTGAGCATGACTGGAATGGAACACACTGAAAGACAGACAGACTTAAAAACAAAGGTGTCCTTAAAGCTCAGTGCCCTCTGGATTCATTGCCCTCATCATCCCATGACCATTTTTTCCACTTGTCTTCCAGACTACATGACACCGTGGTTTGACAGGTGAGCCCGTGCAGCTGAGCTGTGAGGTTCCCCTGCCATCACAAACATGGCTCTGCTCGCACATCGGGCACCGAGGCAGCGGGCCCACCCGCAAGCAGAACAGGACAGAGAGAGGCAGTGCAGGAAAATATATCTAAAGTTAATGATGTAGGGCCACTTTCTCATTCCCAAAGTCACCACGTAGGGTCCCCATGTCCTACAGTGGTCCTGCCTTCACAAACAAATGACCCTACCCTGCGTACAGAAGCGTGTATTATTCACGTAGTGCATTGTTAAACTGCACAACTCATTGCCATGGGAGGCCAGCGGTAGGAAAGCAGCCAGGTTCACAGAGGCTGGGGGGAAAACGTGCCAGCATAGCCCCCAAATCCACGCACCTACCAGAAATGGCAGCTGAATTGCCTGCACACCGAGCCACAGCTGGTGCTGGTGCCCTTGACAGGCTGCACCAAACACCGGTGGGGACAGCGCAAGGGTGCCTTTTGGTAAGTGTCTCCAGGCAGCCAGGGACACTGAGGCAAGTGCCACCAGGGTAGACCATGGAGGAGGTGATTCTCACCTAGTTCCCCAAATGCCATGGGTGACCTGTGCTGGTGTCACTGCAATACCCAGCACCTAAAGTCCCATCTGGGCTCAAGCATGCCAGGGATTTCTAAACCATATGCATGAGCTGTGCTCAGCACAACAAGGGAGCTGGCAGCAGGGTGGATGTGACAGGATTGTGCTGAGGGTCTTTGGCACGCTGTTATCCCTTCTCCATTAACACACAGATAATGTCACAGCACACGAGCGCTGCAAGCACCTGTCCCAGCTACAGTGAAGATCCCTGTTTCATTGAGGATTACATGTCCAAATACTTGATTTCTACCAGAGATACATCAACTACGTCAATAACGTTACACAGCTACCAGGTAGGTCTGAATGACACCAGCCAATGATGGCAAATGGTTATTTCCTTCCTGTGCATGCTACTGAACATTCAGTAAAAACAAACTGTGCTATGGGAACAACCTGAAAGCAAACAGGCACTACCCCGAGCCTGCTGGATGGTATGAGATTAAGATCTGTGCATGCATTGGTGTAAAGTGCAGTATGTCAGAGATTGGATTGCCTGCTAGCCTTTGCAGGACTGCCTTTTAGATTCAAAGATCAAGTTGTTCATGTTTTCTCTGCTTTTCAGCACAGGAAAACACATGAGCGTGTATATAAATATCAACCATTCCCTCTTCCGGAGCTGTGTGGACATACTGCACTCAGCGAGTAATGCAGAATAGCAAAGAGCATGAACCTGGCAGAACAGCAGACTCTGGGAGACAGGTACACCTCTCCCTTGAATGGACTGGAAGTGAGGAAAATGTGATTTGGAAAGTTCAGCTCCAGGCTCTGCCAATGTAAGTTTAGGTTGAGCTTGGACGTTTTGACTTCCAGCACCCCACTGCTAAAACCCAGGTGAGGGAGCGGAGCCACAAGCAGTGCACCCACAGAGTGTGCACAGGTCAGCAGCGAGGGGTTTTCACTCTCACCCAGTCACTGGTTTCTCTGCACCATCCCACCAGTTGTCAGTGGTTACAAAAACTGCTGACCTCACGCCACAGGTGGTCTGCTCTCCCTGCTCCTGCATGCCCTAAAAACGTGATGGTTTTGTGAAAATACCCTCCATGGGCCTCGCACAGGAGGAACTTTGTGCATTCTAGACAGAAGAAACAAAGTTCAGGCAGGAGATTTGACCCCGAAGACGCCATCCCGCTTGTAGTGGCTGCGGGAGAACAAACAAACCATAACACTGAGCTGGGTCCCAAAGAACGAGGAACTTCATTTGGTGGCTGGGGTTTTGCCTGCTTCTCTCTGTGATATTTCATCTGTGTGAGAGCCTTTGACCACAACTTCCTACTCAGGAAAGTAGCAAGTTTCCCCACAGGTCCCTTCTGCAAACATCTGACCACAGCACATTTTCCAGATGCTGGTGATACGGACCCCAAACTGACAGATAAATAAACACCTTCCTATGACCTCTCTTCTAGAAGTGCTATCTTCTGCCTTGTTTGGGGTTAGTCAAGTGACGTCTAAACCAGCCCAAGTTTTGTGGTTACGCTAGCCACAACAGCCTGATATTCAGGTTCCCTGCTTCTTTACCTCAGTGTTAATAGTTTAAAATAATTTTTAAGCGTCCATTGCAGTATTGGTGGCCTGGGGGAAGGAAATCTCCTGTGAGAGGCTGAAGCCAGCGGGCTAACGGGAGTGACCATGGGGCTGTGTCCCTGCCTGAACCAACCTTGGCCGTGGGCAGCACAGTGCCGAGGAGTATGGGGGCAAACTGAGCTGAGAGAAGGAGCCCAGGTGCCACACGCCTCCGTTCTTCACCTCTCAGCACGTCAGCACTTCCTATTGCCCTAGCTCAGAGCATTTGGTGGCTGGGAGGGCAACAAGTGCAAATAAGCTGCTGTTCGCACACATCAGAAGCATGCACCAGAAGAGTGTCGATGGAAGATGCCCACAGACACATGGCAGCAGCCAGAGGAGGGTGGCCCTGTGGGCACAGCCTTCCCCCCTGCTCTGGGGAGGACCTCGCTGGCTGCCACCAGGAGCTGAGGGGACAGTGAGGGCCCCAGCACCAGATTCACCTGGGAAGAGCCCAGCCTGCACCTAGAGGTAGCCTGGGGCAGGACCGCAGGGCCGGGCACTGCTCCTCAGGGGCAGCGAGCCCCCTGTGCTGCCACTGTCCCTCGCGGCCTGCTCCCCTGCCCTCGGCGGCTGTCTGCCCACCACACCTCCGCCACGGCCTGCCCCAAGGCCACCTTTAACCAAAGCAGTGCAAGAGTCGGAGTTCAGTTCCCCTCACGCTGCCTTCAGCATGCTGGGAGCGCCTGCCCCCTCTTTCAGGCCTTTTGCAGAAGCCCCACAGAGCAGCTCCCTTCAGTGCTGTGCATCTATAGATGCCAGGTTGCTCGGCTTTGCATTGCCCCTAATTGCTCGGTTTAATTGCTTGCCCTCTCTCAGCAGTGACACCACAGCAGGGTGTACCATGAGGGCACCGGCCCCCAAGCACATCCTAGCTGGGGAAGGCCAAAGGAGAATTATTGTCTGAAAGGACAGTGGGGGCCAGGGTCAGAGGGGGGCTGTGAGGGAGGTTTCTTGTGTCAGCTCTTAATTACGCCTAAGCACCAAGAGCCTTCAAGGCAAATGCTTAGCAAGCAGGCTAAGGCCCCGATACAGGGCACTGAGCTGCCTTTGAGCAGCATGGCACTGCTGTCCCGAGCATTCACTGCCCTTCTCAGCAGGGCTACTCCGAGCACCTTTTTTCCTTTCACCATTCAGAATTCACGCAGCTGCACCAAGTGCAGGCTGCAGTTTGTTCCCTCTTGCACCAATCTAAATCCTCAGTGACACTGTCACAGTCAGACAGGCTTACATCTCATGAAGAAGTAATTGGTGCCAGTAAATCCAACCAAAACCAACATCACATGCTTACACAGGGAAGTGATTTGCTCAACTTAGTTGCATGCTTAATTCAAAAAAATTATGGTTCCTCCTTTCCTTTCCCTTCCACTCAGCTGCATTTCATCACAAACCTTTTGTCACAAGAAGTCTCTGCTTGACTCTTAACTTTGCTTTCAGTCTGGTTTGGACCAGCTAATTCCCAATTAACACTACTATCTTTGTAACCATTCTGTTGGATGCTGTAACAATGAGGAAGCCCCATTCAGAGGAAAATAGCATCACCAGCAGCTTAGAGTTTTTCTGTGAGGGCCTGCACCCTCTCCAAAACTTGGATTAACTCCACGGTGTGTGGACAGATGCTCATAGGTGTGACATTTCTTTTTGACATTTGGATGCTTGCTGCTCCCCGGGCCTCAAGCCCCTGCTCGGGGCGAGGTTCAGCCACATCCTTGGGAGGGTAAGATTGACCCTACCAATGCAGGAGGACTGCAAGTCTTAAACCAGGTCAGGGGGCGCATAGGGGGCCTACAGGTACAAAGTCATTCCTGCCTGAAACAATTTGAGGGTCAAAACCTCTCAGATCTCAAAGCAGACTCATTGGCATCACTGCTGTCAGGCAAAACCTGGCACAAGAAGCAGAACCAGCCCTTGCTGCAGCCGTGGGCTTTCAGAGGACTACAAACATATGGCCAACTTGTACCACAAGAAAAATACTGCCTCTAGGGTTGCTGGATTTCGTAACAGAAGAGGAAAAATGTGGCTCATTTGAGGAACTTTTTCCCCAGCTCAACAACTGGGTTCCTCAGCCTGCTGATGGACTTGCTGCTGAGCTTCCCATGCTAAATGAGAGCACCAGGTCCTCACTGAAGAGGCAATGTCTCAGCAGCTTCTCACCTTAACCACCACGGCCGGGTCAGAGGCCACATATCTGAGCCACATGCAGGGATTGTCATGGTGGCAGGCCAGCAGAGCTACCCAGAGCAGGGCCAGCGGAGCCTCCCCACCACAAGGAGCACATGGCTTTGTCCCTGTGCCTATGGAAAACGAAAGCGATGAGCTGACCCTAGCTGTGCCCGCAGTCCCACCAACACACCAGCATCCCGAACACATCTTCTGCTTGATTGCTTTGGTATTTCAGGCTAGGTCATTGAAATGCTGGAGATCAGAGCCCTGGATCCAGCAGGCCAGGTCATATCTTGTACCTTGAGCTAAAGTACCTTGCTGCCATGAAGGTTTAATTCATTTAGGGAAACAGTAGTTCAAATTATTTTTAATGCAGGCAAAGTGGGGAGACTAGCTCATTTGAGATACTAATTAAAACTCTCAGGAACCATCATTTCAAAAGTTCTGGAGCATGCACATTTGTTACAGTGTGTATTTGTGCAAGGCTGAGTCCTTGCTGCACCCTCCTCACACCTGGAGCACACAACTAGTGAGCCAGCCCTTGTGCTCTGGATAACATCACAAGCCACCAGCACATACAGAAAACCTCTTGCTTTGTAAAAAATGAATAAATAAGTACAATTCAGTGTCAGTGCTTGATACCCGCTGAACCCGCTCGCATAGTCAGGAGCTTGTAACATCAGATCTGTGCAGAGATCTATGTGGGTGTAAAATGGTGCCAGGACAAGATAGGGAGAGAGAGCCCTGTCACAAGAGCCCCAAGCACCTGGGTCACAGCACAGCTCCAGCCTCAGCTCTTCCCTGGGCCCTGCAGCAGCAGCTCCTGCTCAAACTGAGGGCAGGATTTACATGGGAATCTGTGTAAGTCCTTGGGTGTTTCCTAACCCTGCAGCCCCCAAGTGCTGGATGCATGGGGGGAGCTGGTGGGATGTGACTTGGAGCTGCTACATTGCAAGAACATGATCTCCATACTCCTGAGAAGGCACTGTAGAAAAATCAAAGCTTAAACTACCAATGCCTTCCAGCTTAGGAAGCTGTGTTCAGGGCTGGCCTTCCATAAAATGCCTTTCCAAAGGGGATGCCAGGTTTACAGGACGACACTGTGCTGTTCACACAAGCAAAAGAGATATTGGTTGTGATTGGGACCTGCTGAAGATACAAACTCAGAGGCTCGCAGTTGCAACACACTCCCCCTAGCTTCACAACTCGGGGGAGAAACCACTGCACCTCACCCACATCCTCTTCTGGTAGCCCTGGGGGTGACTCTCAAGAGAGGCTACATATCCAACCCCCTAATTTTAGAAAATACCCTAAAAGAGGTGCACGCAGTCATGTTGGTGTGTGTCCAGAGCCTTGGCTCTGCTGACTTGTCTCCCACACCCTGCTGGTTTACGAGTTTCAAGCAGCCCTGTCCTGCAGCTACCAGCTCAGGGGGTGCCCATGCTCCAGGCAAGCCCAGCTGTAAAGACCTCAGCCAGCCCTGGGCACAGAGGACAAGCTGCTGGGGTGCTGCAGTGAGGTGGAGCATCCTGGAGGACAAGACACAGGTTCTGGGGATGGGACACTCTTTGGGAACCTGCTTTTGTGGTTCCTGCACACAGCATCCCCTTCTGTTCGACTGAGCTTGCCTAGGGAGTACCCCGCTCCCTGGGCAGCTGGTGGGCAGAAGCTCCCCGCACGCTCATCCCTTCCCAGTTCTGGAGGAATCATTTCTGTAAATGGCTGCAGCCCCGAGTGCACCGGCCGCTCTGGCTTTTAGCACGCTTAGAGAAGCCTTAATAGGCTTTGAGAAAGAGATGAAAAAGCCATTAGCTTTTTTTCTTTATTTTCACAGCCTATTATCTACCCACTTTGATGCTCTGTGTGGTGACCTGTCACAGGGAAACTAATGCAATGAACTTTCTCAGAGGACTGTCACCTTCTGCACTGCTTGCTGCCCTGGCAGGGCTGTGTGGGAGTGAGCTTAGCTCGGCGGGCTGGGATCTGGAGCAGGGACCTGCTCTGTGCCCTAAAGCACACGGGGCTCTCTTTGCACAAAGGTTGGTTGTAGACCAGAAATTTTGTGAAGGACCTTGACTTTTCTACTACTGTTATTACAATATGTATATACATATACACACACACTTTTCTTTGTCTTTTTGGTGTCTAATAGCCCTCAGAGCTAAATTAACACCTTCTTTGCAGTTTGATACAGCTCAGTTTTAATTTTCAGTCTCCCCGAGTCACACCCCCCTGCCCAGGCCGTGCCTGGAGGAGGACATAATCTCCAGGCTCAGCTGGAGCAGTAGCTCCCTGTCTTTTTTTCTTTTTTAAAGGAAATCTCTAAGAAAGAAAAAAATACAAACCCCAAATTGGAAATGAGACTAAGTACCAAATAGAAAAGTCTGTTCCAAGGCTGCCCCCGTATAGCAAAGAGCAGCACTTACACAGGGATCACACAATCATTTGTAAACTCATCAGATAACATGCTTGCAGTCCGTGATGATATCTTATCTTTATTCCCAAAAGCAAGAGGAAAAAGCTTCACCCATATGCTAAATGTTCAACCATGAGTGGTTAGATGGGTGGTTTTGGGGGGAACTTAAGCCAGGAAAAATATGACTTCATTGTCACCTCTGGCCAAACCCAAAGGATGTAGGGTAGAAAATGCTAGATTTTGTCACAGTACAAAATCACAGAGTCCAGACAAATTAATGAGAATTTCAATCCTGGCAAGTTAATTTACCAGAGTCCAGATAAATTAATGGCAAGATAAGTTTATCACACATGTCACTGGCAGCCAACCACCTGCAGTTCTGGCAAGTGAAATCCTGGTAAGTGTTAGGATGTCCGACCGCTGTGATGACCTCCCAGCAGATTCCCTGACATCACATGCATCTGGCTCCTTGTCCCTTGCCAGTGCTTTGAAGGCAAGGACAGACAAGGCAGAAGCGTCCCCCAGCCTCCCCCCGTTCTTCCCAACACTTGTCCCAAATAGCTGAGGACCTGTCTCTGAAGCCACACAAAACCAGCCATGCAATGCCAGGGAGACACCCAGAAAGCAGTCAGACCAACAGACATCTGGGGAACTTTCATTCCGTTCTGATGGCAGTGGGAAGGACTGGACAGCTTCTTACCATAAGTCTGCTTTTCACCTGTAAAGGTGAGCATCCAAACTCTATCCTGTCTGTTTGCACATTCCTAGGGACCTGTGACAGTTCCTAGGCACCTGCTTGCATTTTATTTTTTTGCCTCTTGAATATCCAGAGAAGCGACCCTGGTCTGCTCTTCCCTGTCTGCCCAATTCTTATGGAAATGGGGCAATGGAAATGGAACAGGGCAGATTTATCCAGTAGGAAGCAGGCTAGGTGTTATGTTCTTTGAGACAGGTAACTCAAGTTTATTGTAAGTCAAAACCAACCAGAGTTTTGCTTTTACATCATTTCCCACTCTTTTCCTTGCAGCATTTAATCCTCAGTGATTACCTATGCTGAGATTTACTGAGGTCAGAATAGAGAGAGACGTGTAGAAAATAATAATTGCTACTCATAAAAGCCTCTTTTCCGTGTAAAAGGTAACTCTCCAAATACTGTCAACGGGAGTTATTTTCATAACCATAACTTCATCAGCTATATTTAGTCCAGTAGGAGGTGTGCTCACGGTGTCCTCCTGCCAAAACCCATTCATGCCATGCACCTCCTGAGACAAAAACATCCACCACTGTCAGTTCCTTTCTTCTGCCCTCAAAGCCCAGGTCCTGCTCTCCAAAGGAACTTTAACACCTCGATGTTTTCATCCAATTGCAAATCAATAAGCTGCAGGCTCTTAAGGGGTACCCCTAAGCAGATTTCTAAACTTTTAAACCATTAAGTACCCAAATCAATGACAAGAAAAGACTTCAAGAAGATAGGTCCCCCAGGCTGTGTCACAGCCAGACGTGACCAGAGCATCAGAAAATCCAAGATGCAGACCACATCCCCAAAAGGAGAGTGACCGAGGTGCTCAGACACAGGTGCTGCAGGGACAGAGCTTGTCACCTGTGCAAAGCACACAGCTTCTTTGCTATTTCTGCCCTGCCTAAATCTCTCATTCTCTTGCTCTGTCACTCACTCATTATTTAACACAGCAAAGGGATTTGGCATCTGATCTGCAACCAAAGTGCTACACAGCAGCACATCAGTTTATCTGATCATCTGGTAACTTGGCTGAATTTGCACAGATGCTGGGTAAACTTTGAAAAATGGGTACAAATAAATGCAAAACCGCAACAGATGTTTTTCATAGATTTACTTTTCAGAACACAATTTCACATCAAGTGTGTTCTCTTTAAGGTAAGTGCTGTGTTTCTGTTTAGTAGGGAGTGAGAAGTGCTCCGCAATATTCAACTGAAAATCTTATCACAAGACACAATGGTCAGTTCAGAGCGTTATCAAAACGATAATTTTACATATTTTCAACGAACGGCCTAAACCATCTCAAGCCTGTGGGAACGATCTTTTCAGCTTTGTTGCCAGTGGAGGCAGCAGTCTCTTTTTGTCTCCATTACTCTTCAAACAAGCTGGCCCCAAGTGTTCCTTGTATGACCACATATTTATAACTACATCAGAGCTTCTGAGTGTGCCACCAGACTCTCCTCTTCCTGAGTGCCCAGCAGCCAAGTGAACCCCATTCCCCCCGTTTCCGCTTGCACAGCCCTTCGCCTGCCTGCACAGGCAGTGCCACATGTAGGCAGCTTCATCTTCCCTACACCGAGGGGGCCTGCGAACCCTGATGTGCAGCAGCCTTTATTGCTGTGAGCAGACAAACTTTCCTATGCCCCCCCCAGCAGCAGAGCCATCAGCAACAGCTGCTGAAAGCCCTCCCAAGCAAGCCTGCAGGATGTTATCGCCCTCTCTCCTCTAGCACAGCCAATTTCGAGCTGCAGGGTCCTCGGGGCTGAGCCCCTGGTGCCGGAGGTGCCCCGGACCCCCTCGGGCTCCCCCGAACCCCCCCGGTGCGGGGCCGGCCGCGCGGGGGAGCTCCGCGGCCGCAAACCGGGGCTGGGCAGAGGCAGGCAGCCGAGCCGAGCCATAAAATGGAAGAATTTAAGGCGGAAAAGTGCCTTTCAGCTGCACTTTGCAGTAGCTGCCCTCCAGAAGGTCGGCGGGGTTCTGGCAGAGCAGCCGCGGGCTGCCAAGAGGGCGTCGTTCCAAGCTGATGCTAAAGATACAATGAATGGATAAAGAAAGGAACAGAAGCGATGCACCCAGGTGAGGGAGGAGCCGCCTCCTCCCCACTTTGCAAAAGAACGGCACCGAGCACTGTGCTTTTTCTGGTTGTGCTGGACTTTGACAGGGTCACTCAGGTCTCAGCCAGCTGGAGTTTTAGTTTTAGCTCGAAGCCAGCTGCAGGGAGGTCAGAAGGCTTATTCACAGCAAACCAGTCCTGTTGTCACCCTCTCCCCCTATCCCGCCTTCAGTGCCACATTGGGACTGTTCAGCTGTTATCTGTCCGTATCATTTGCAACCAGTTCAAGGAAACACAAAAAAACAAGCAAAGAGACAGTCCTCGCACAGGGCGCAGGGAGAAAGGCAGCTCATCTCACTGCAAGGGCTGCAATGTAAGAGCCTACAGGGGAGTGCTCAGGCTTCACGCATCACTTCTGTTGCACGGCTGCTCCTGAGGTTGGCAGAGACCTCTCCCCCTTCAGAGCCTTCCAGGTGTGATCTGCTGTCTGCGGTTTCTCACACAGAGAACACAGATGCTGAACTTCAGGTCTCTAGGTCCCTCCCCTGCCTCCCCATAAACAGCTCCCAGCTGAGCTGAGATTTTGCTGCTTTGGTTTCTGAAGATCAGAAATCTGATTCACTTCTCCAAAAGTGTGAGAGTGAACCCTGAAAAAAAAAAAAAAAAAGTGCTAAAAAGCAGTGTCACGTATGATCCAGATCCAGCTGCTGGCAGGGTCCAGGCAAGGCAAGGGGGTGGATTTTAGCAAAAGCAAACCGAAGGCAGTCCCCCAGCATGAAGCTTAGCCCTTGAAAGCAAGCCAAAGCCAATCCGTAAGTGACCACAAGCCATTAATTTATCCCCAAGGGATATTTGATTTTAGTTGTACTAATCCACCCAGTGCAGAGAGAATGAGGTGGGGTTACCAAGTCATGCGTTTGGATCATCAGGCACAGGAGAAGCATCTCATTGAGCACCACTCTGGACTGTGATCCCAAAAGTATTGCCCCAGAATGCCACCACCCCATAAAGGAGGAACATAGCAAGGTAACACACATGTGAAGGTGCCTTCAATAGCCAAACTTTATCCTCAGCATCCTGGGACCTAACAAAAAGGTGGGTTTTCATGCTCTGTGTTACTGCCAGAGCACAAAGCAGTATGGGCAAGAAGTCCTCTGCAGTATGAAGGGAGCAACATTTCTGCAACAGTTCCTCTCTCTTGCTCTCTTTTGGGCATCTTTGCACAAAATCCCTACAGAATGTGCACCAGCTATGGTGCTGACAAGAACAGAAAGAAAAGAAAAAAATTATTTTGTGATGCAGAGCTGGCTTTGCCAGGAAGCACAAAGTATTAATGAGCCAAATAATCTATCTGCTGGGCTCGCTGGTACTCAAGTGCTTTTGTGCTGCTTTGAGGATGAACAGGTCCCTTCCTTGCATGAGTCCACATGGAGCTCAGCGTTAGAAGTGCTCCGATGCCGTCACTGCAATGAACAACACGGGTCTGTGGGACAACTTCGGGCAGTACTGAAGTCATTCTCAAGCAGGGCTGAAGCCACTGGGGAAGCAAGAAACCCCAGCCATCAGGAAGGGACACTGACACCGCTGCAGTCACACTGACTCCTCACAAGCCACCTACTGACATGCCCAATATCTGCTGCCCTGGTTGACGCAGAAGTTTTTGCTTTGCTGTGAATAGCATCTGTGTTTGGCCACGGCTCCCAGAGATGAACATTCACTCTGAAGCCTCTGCTTGGGCAACAAGTGAACACGGGGATGCTGCAGGTGGATCTCCAGCATCTGCGAAGAGAGAGGAAGCTTGTGTGGATTTCCAAGCATGAGGGCTCAACTCCCTGCAGGCTACATCTCTGCTGACAAAGATGGACTTCTGGTTGAAATTAGTTAGCAGTCTGTGGCAAAAACAATTTCTTACAGATGTTTTATTTCTTCCTGCACGTAAGGTGTTCTACTACCCATAAAATCACACTTTGTCCCAGGCAAGAAACCAAGCGCAAAGATTTCTGTGTTCGGGGATTTCTGTGTGCAGCTGCTATTGCTGGAGCCTGCACAGCCCCCTGCCCACAATCCACAGGCATCCTTGCTTCCTCCAGAAAGCAGGGTTTCCCAGCCTGGGGAATAACTGCACTTTCTGCTCCCAAAATTAAGTACCAACTTCATGTTTAATCAAAGTACTTTAGTCAAAGTACTTCAGCTAGAAATGCAGGTAGCACGTTCCTAGGTTTTTCACAGGCAGTGGTAAGCTTTTATACATAATGCAAAGACTCTGATGGGATGCAAAAGCATCCCTAAACATAAACTCCAAAGCTGATCCTGCTTCTGAATGGTAGTATCAGCAACTTACTTGCCTTGAAGAATGTCAGTATATCCTCCCAAGAAAATTTTCTTTTAAATATGAGAGAGAGTGAGCTACTGCTAAACTTGCCACCGTACCACTGCCCATTGTTTCAGAGCTTCAAGGAAATGCTCATTAAGCCTACAGAAACTGTTTCTGAGGGTAACTTCTAACACAAGCAGTGTTCACCTTCATCTGTCTGAAGAACTTTAGTTCTCTGGTTCTGGACATCACCGAGCAATTACCATAGCCATTGCTGAAAACTCGTTCTATTTTCACAGCAATGTGATGACTCTGTTATTTCTGCGCAGTATGTATCAGCAATATCAGCCAGGAATTTGCTGTGTCCACAGTAACCTCTATTTAAAACATGGCCTTGCTTTTTGCTGCATCAGTGTCTCCTCCATATCCTTCTGCCCGTGACACCCACTGCTTCACCACATAAACACCGTGTTGGAAGCATTTCTGCCCAAACTGTAGGGTGAAAATAATCCTTTCCTACTGCTGGCAAATGAACTAAAACTTTTCCTTCTTACCTGTGAAGCCATTCTCTGGCAGAATGAGTTTGAAAAGTGCGAGGTATTTTTTAGGAAGGGAGTAAATACTTAAAAAGAGCATTAAGGTGATACAGGTTTGTCTGTCTTCTCTGACCTTAACCTGAAACAAGAGGAAAGGTTTGTATGGGCTTCCTTTGAATAATTAAATACAAATAATAGTAAAATGAAAACAAACAAACAAAATCAATTCAGTGCCTCTCCACCAGAGCCCCAAGGTCAAGTGCTTACAATGCAAAATGCCACTCTTCTCCCTCCTTTAGGATCCCACAGACACACGCCACAGCCCTTCGCCCAAATCCAGCTGCTTCTGCTTTACCACACAGCCTGATCATCCTGTAAAATTTTACACCAATTTGTGGCAAATTGAAAACAAAATAAGATCTGAACAATAGGAAAATATCATACAAAATCACCTGCACTAAATACAGTAGGAAAAGATAAACGTGAGCTCTCTCTCTGAGATGTCTGTGCATAAATCTGAGCTCCTAATGCCTGTGGGTGTATGAGCAAAATACTCACCTCCCACTGATGGAAATATTGAGATTAACAATATCATTTGCCTTGTGGCAAATAACACTTTTTTCTTTCAACTCACAGACAAGTGTCATAAAAGATTGAATGTGCACATTCACAGGGTGCTTATGAAGTACTTGGTATTAGAATTCCCTGGGTGGGCAATTACAGCCACGTGCTGCTTTTTGAACAGTTTTTAATTAGTCTCAAGGTGACTCAGCTCACAAATACCCCTGCTGGCTTCTCCATAAAGCTTCCCGTAAGCACTTTTGGTGCTTCTTGGGGCACTGTGCAGACGGGCTTGCATGACTACCTGCTCTGGGCTCGTCTTGAAAAACGGGGCTCAGCAAAACCCAGAGCTCCCCTTGTGCAGGGAAGTCACACGTTGCAACGTCTGCTCTGGACCAGCAAAGTTCAAACATCAAAATCCTGCAAAGAACAGAATTTGGGAGGAAAAAAAAAAAAAGTCATTTCAGAGATGGCAAAACACTGATCAAAAGAGGGCACTTAGGGGCTCCAATACCACCTGCAGCACTGTGCTGCTTTGCTCAGGTGAGGAGCAACGTCTGCTGCTTCTCCTGGTGCAGTCCCCACGCCTGTTCATTTCTGATCATTTTAATTTTGCAAGTCCTGAAGAGCTGGAATTATTTGAAATTAACCTTGTAGCACTTTTAGGTTGTCTTTGATGATTTAAACTCACGGAAACATTTAGAACAGAAGCATAAACTTTTATAAAAGTCCACAGAAACATCTGGTTTTAGGTCTGGCAGTAAGTGGGGGTGTTCTTAGTGGGGCACAAGAAATCCCCAGCAAGTACAACGTTGCTGCAGGCCTGTCCCCCAGCCCTGTTCACATCTCGGAGGAGGACATGCTCCCTTCTGTGCCCGCGCTCAGCCTCGGGGAGAATTCCCTGACTTTTTCACTGCGGTATGAGCAACACTTTCATTTCCTCATTATTTATTTTTTATTGCAAGTTCTCCCATGGAACTGCCTGGAACGTCAAAGAGACGTTCCCATTGCCTAGCAGGGGAAAGCATCCGAGCAAAACAAGCGCTGCTCCCACGCCAGGCGGCACCAGCCCCATCCAAACTTTCCAAACTCGTAACTGCGACCTGCTGACTCCGCTACCCAGGGGAAGGATGGGAGCCCTTGGCTAGCTGTGGGAGCTGGCATTGCTTACAGAAAGCTGTCACAAACCAAGGCCAAGTCATGCTGCAGAGACGTGAGGATGTCTGGCTAGACCTCCACGCACGTGGCAGACTTTGAAGGCTGCGGTCTCTGTCCTGCAAAGACGATCAAGCAACACCTCAAACATGTGTGGCCCCGGTTACATCAGCTGGGGCTGCTTAGAAACTGCAGGTTATTGTTCAGGATCACTGCATGAAACAACACAGACCCTGTGGAGGAGTTATCTTCTCCGCAGGTGCTCATTGAATTCATTTCTTAACACATACAGCATTACAATGCAGCAGATTGACAAATTCAACTGGATTTATCCGTGCTAAACGTGGCCCTTAGGCCCACCACAAAGTTTTACTGCTAGGGTCAGGTACGTGCTTAGTCTGACTGTGGTTTTCTTGGCCCTTTCAGAAAACTCCAGCAGCCCCTGAGACAGCAGCAAGATACGCTGAGGAGCATGGCTCAAGCCATGGCAGGATGTGTCCAGGCTAACCTGGGACCAGCTAAGGTCCCAGCAGGGAAAACTCCTACAGGAAAACGTCTGCTGCCAGCACCCCTGGAGTGACAGCCCAGGGCAATGCCTCTATCAGAGATAATCCCGTGTTGTTATACCCAAATTGAGCGGTTTTCCTCCTGCAGCATCCCTGGGGGGTGGCTTTGTGAGGCAGGGCTGGGGGCTGAGCAAGGAAAGGAGAAAAAGCCCCATCACGGCCAGAAACAGGGATGTGCCCTGCAAACAGGACATGTTGGAGAGTCCAGCACCAGGGTTCCAGCACATCAGTTCCTGGTGCTGTGGAGACCTAGGGGGGATCTCTCAGTAAGTGATGCAGCTTTTGTTTTCCTCCCATTTCAAAGCATTTCTGAAATGATTTCTGTGCCTGTGTTAGCACCCTGCTGTCCCCTTCTGTCAATGTTCAGAAACCTCTGATCCAGAGAACAGGCTGGACAAAACAACACTGTCATTGAGAGAGAGCCTCCAGGCAAGGGGTAAGCAGAATTTAGGGGACAGGAGAGCATTTTGCGCTGGAAGGAGAAATTCCCTGTCTGCCAGGCAACAGCAGAAAGACGGCTGGTAAGAGCCTCACCTGAGCTCTGCCAGGAGGTCACACCACAGAGGATCTTGGACGCAAAAAAAACACGACCAAGACTGCACAAGGAGGCGACCAGAGTGGACTGTCAGGCCCAGAGGGACTCATGGCATCGCTGAGGTGCCAGGGACTGCTCAGCTTTCTTCCAAGGCAGAGAGTTACACGGAAGCTTAGGGGCTGGGGTGCTCGCTCAGTGCCTGCGCTGCGCTCCCCTGTCACAGGAGGGGCTGGAAAGGCAGCCCCAAATCCCTTGCCATCACTGTTTCAGGGAAAGAATAGCTTAACAGATGGCAATTAGTAACTCCTCTAAAGGAACACGCAGCAGTGGTTTCCTGGAAGCAGGTTTAATTACTGTGAACACAATCCCAAATTGCTATTAGTATTCCCTATCAGTGTTACAAGCGGTATTGTGGGATGGGCAACAAGCAGGCAAGCATTCAGCCATCTCTTATCTGCTCTTCAGAACCTTTCATGTCTGAAAAATAGCCAAATGACTGAAAATTTGCTCCTGGAACTGTTTTGCATCCCATTTTTGTGTGCCAAGGAAATGCTGTCTAGCTTAAAGCCGACATTTTACTGCATGCAGAACCAACCCCTGGAAAGTCCCAAGGGAGACTTTGCATAAATATTTGGGTGTAAATCAAAGGATCAGATGTATGGTTAAGCTAAACCAGTACAAGAGGAAATTAACAGCATCTGTATAGCATCTGCAGCATAAACACAGCCTGGATTTTAGTGTCCTAATTAAACAACCTGCACTAGCACAGCCTCTCCAAGCTTGCATTGACCCAAATGCATGCAGGACTGGCAGAAATCCTGACCCAGGCTGCTTAACTGCTCTTCTCATTAACCAGAAGTGCTTTCAGGAATGGGAGAGTAAAATAAAAGGAAAAATTCACTGCTAAGATGGTTGACAGCTGATCTGCAGCTTCAGCACTGGGACAGGCCAGTGGGACAGCAGCTCTGCCCTGATCCAGAAACTGATAATTGGGCCCAGAATCACAAGAAACGGGTCAGATAAAACCAAGTTCACCTTTTTGGCATGGTCCCACATGCTGACACGGGCACACAGGTGTGAAGAGAGGCTCTGCCCCAGGCCTGGCTCCCCCAGCTGGTGGAGCTGCCCTGGACCCAAACAGCCTCCTCTTTAATGAGGCGCCCCAACGAGAAGCTGGTGGCTTCTGCACAAGGCAGCTTGGCCCAGCTACGTTCCCACAGCACCCTAAGCTACAGCTATAATTAAAGACGAAAATGAAGCCAAAGATCTTAACGAGCTCAAGGGATGCCTGCTGCTACATCCTGATGGCAATGCATTTGCCACGTCACGTTTGATGCTGCTAAGGAGAGACTTCCCAGTGCTTCCAGCCACGCAGCAGCCAGCATTAGACTCTGTAACCATGTTTTCATCCAGTAAATCAAAGCCTGATACTCACAACTAATGAGCCCCTGCAAAATACCTCTCAAATATGAGATTTAAAAGCCTGAAGTGCTTCTGAAGGCAAAGAAATTGAGAACAGGCTCACTAATTAGGGTTCAAGTGAAACAGTAGCAATCCAAATACACTAAAATGCACTTGGTACCAGCCACAAACAGCTCTAGCAACAGGCACCGTGAGCCAAAGAGAAAAACATACTTTGAAAGGAAACACAGGAGGGATGAATGCAGAAGACCTGATTTTGCTCATTCCAAATTGCCTGCCAATGTACTTATGTAGCCTGAAGTGGCTGAAGCGTGAATTTCAGCAGCTATGAAAAGAAAGGTATAAAACACAAGGTACAAGAGGCTTAAGTCAAAGAGAACACAATCCTGTTTTATCATAAACACAGGAAACAGATTTAGCCAAGCAGTCATAGATAACAGCACAAAGTGTCCCAAACAAGTATTTCTAATACTTTCTAAACCCTGTGGCTGGTTCTGCCGTGCCTGTACACCACATTGGCTGTACAAAGACCGATGGCTTTGCTACACCAGTTTAAGGTCTGTTCACACCCCTGGAGCAATGGGGGAACGAGGGGATGCGGCAGGCTGAAGTGGCAGTTGAGTGGCTGTGGGCTCCAGCCTGAAACCAATCCTCTGCTGTCACAAACCCGTCCCCTCCAAGGGTAGTCCTCCTCCTGGTATGTCCTCACCCTTCCTTCAACCCCACTCTGCATTTGGTTTTGCTTGTTTGTTGTTTTTAAGCACCTCTGTTGTGGTCCTTTCAGAACACCTCAGGTCGGCCCCTTGCTTTGGAAAACTGTCAGGGTGCAGTCATTTACTTGCATCAGACTGGAGCGACTTTTGCACAGAGGAAAGATCCCACCTCGCACACGTACGTAACTCAAATACAGTCAGAAAATTAGGGTATCCCTGTGTAAGGCCTTCTGCAATGACAGGACTGCCTGGAGCATCTCTGGCCCCCATCCCACACACGTACGCAGCTCCTCCCGAACACTTCCCAGCCGCTCCATCCAAAAGCACCCCGGTAGGAAGCTGCAGTAAGTTTGTGCAGCTAACTAGGGAGGCTGGATCCTGCACGTGAGTAGGAAAAAAATAAAGGTTTGCTATCCTGGC